TGGAGTTCTGTTTTTGCCAACCCAATTTCTCATACAAAGTATACACCGTGTTTAACATCTTTGATGTGTCTAGATCCAGCCTGGGTTCCTTCTGGAGGGAGGGCAGGGTAGAAATTTTGCAAGTAAATACTGGTATGGAGTAAAAAACCCCAAAGTTGTGGATAAATGCCCTTGTGGTAAAGATGTCTGCTATCTGTAACCCTGACTATTTTATTGAAAGGCGTCTCCCAATTAAGGGCACATTGCATAAACTTGACACACATGATAGATAATTGGCCAGAGTTGCTACCTGCTGTTTTGAAGTTGCAAACCACAGAATGTTGTAAACACTGAAGCCTTTGAAGTAATTGTGTTTGTCACAGAGAATGAGACTCAGCATGGAGCAATATGCTGGACTAGAATGCAGTACCCAATTCTGACATCAAATTGTCCTGGGCTGGCCCACCTATGAGGCAAGATGAGGCAACTGCCTCAGGCAGCAAAATCTACAGGGGCAGCAGATCAAAACGTAGATCTCACCCTTTCTTCCCTGGCAGGGTGTGTAGGTGTGTGTCATTTTGTGGTTCTGCTTAGGTGCCAAAATGTCTCAGGCCGGCCCTGGTCCTGAATATTCTGCTGATGCTGAGGGAGAGACAAGGAAGGACTCTTATTAATGTTGCCTGATATGAAACGCAGCGGCGTAGCGTGGGTTGTCAGCACCCGGGGCAAGGCAAGTAATTTGTACCCCCTAACCCGGGGCAAGGCAAGTAATTTGCGCCCCCTAACCCCTAAGCTGCCGCCGCTGCCAGCTTCTTCTTGCTGCTGCCTGGGCTGGTCTGGTGTGGTTCTCTCCCGCGCTCAGCGCTGCGCTGGGCGGCCGCTGCACTGTCCCTCCCCCAGATAGTCCCTCGCTCTCTCTCCACACCGCACGCCTGGCACCCACCCCCTCCACAGTGGGTGGCGACCCAGCAGCTCGGATCGGATTCGCACAGCCAGCACTGCAGTGAGAGAGAGAGTGAGCCAGGTAGGGGCAGAGAGCTGCGAGTGCGAGCGCGCGCCCCCCAGATGTTGCAGCCGGTGCGGCCGGCCCCCCCCTGCACCCCCCACGCTACGCCACTGATGAAATGCAGCCTCAAAAGGCTCCCAACTTCCTCCTGGCTTCAGGAGGAGAACAGGTTGTGCTCTAAATACAATCTTCTCTACCAGCTGCAAAGAAAAGCATTCTCAATCAAACTTTTAAACAATTATGTAAATATCTGATCTGAGATTGATTTTAGACAGATGGGAAATATCTTCTAGTGTCTGCATTTCCAGACAACAGAAGGATCAGAATTAGCCTTGCACAAACCCCTAAACTCCAGTTCAGTTCATTTAAAAATGTCTCAGATGTGGCCTTTAGCTTCTGAGTACAATTTTTTGGAGGAAGTCACATTTTCTTGTGCAAGATCACTCTGAATGTGAGCAGGAACGGGTTGTTGCAATGTGTCAACACATTATGAAACCTCAAGGTTTAAATACAATTAGCATGAGCCATTAGCGTATAGCTTTTGCAATTAGTAATGAACCCAATGAGTAACAATCAAACCTTATAGGATGTTTTGTAGCAGGAGGGAGGAGCATAGCTAAACTAACTAGAAAGTCTTGTTCCTGAGAATACAGAGAGGTGTTGTCTTCCATGAATTTTGTTATCCTTCTTTGTTACTATTTCAGCAAAGTGCTAATTTTGCTGTGGTTAGCTGAGAACACACTGCTTGAAACCAAGAATATTTTGCTGGTAAGTGATTTGTTTGGTGTTCTGTCTAACCTGATCAAAGTTTTAGAATTTTACTGTCTGGCTGTATGTAGTAAACCTTACTTGGCTGGTGATTTTTGTGTTATATATGAAATATGATTTCTCATTGTGTGGTTAAGAAAGGTTTCAAATCCATCTGTTCTGGTTTCTAATTAATGGATAGTTCACAACCACTATAAGATAGCAGTTCACGTTTAACTGAACTTTAAATCTGTTTAATGCTAAATGCTCTCAAGCAAGAGACTATGGGAATTGTAGTTCTGGGAGAAATAGGGGAATGATCTTTAGCACTCTACTACCTACAACTAAACCTCTTTCAGCTAGTTTAAACATGTAATGTAGATTTACCATAAATCAACAGTTCAATGAGTACTTCAAAGGAAAAGATGAGAAGTTTCGTCCAGGTTACCTCTGCATCTGACACCATACGGTCTGATTCCACACTTATCATGACACATTTCTTGGTATCTCTGAGAATTTTTACAAATCTTCTCTTCTTCCTCTTCCTCTGCTCTTCCTTCAGCTCTTGCCTGCCCTACACCTTAAGGTGCCAATGGGAGTTACAACATTATTATAAGAAGTTTTGTTGATTTTCAGTGTATAAACACAATTACAAAGAGCCCCCCATCCCAACTAACATTAAAACAAATAAGGTGGCTCCTAAAAATATACACCTCAGGTATTGAAAGCCAGGGTAAAGGGGTGTGTCTCCATCATCCTCTGTATAATGAAGACATCCAGCTGTCTCTCTCCTTTTAATCTAATTCAGTTCAAGTGGTAAATGTGCTAAAGAGATGTCTGCTGCCAGGGACTGGATTAGGGCTCATAAACTGAAGCTCAATTTATTAGACGGCTAGGCAGGGGTATTGTTGTTAGTTGGCTTTATGGGAGTGACTATAGCTCGTGACAGAGCACAGGCAGAAGGTCTTAGGCTCAGTTCCTAGCATCTCTAGTTAAAAGGATGAGGTGTGTTGCTCAAGTACATTTCCCACGAATCCTTGCCTTTGGCCATGTTGGCTGGGGCTGATGGGAGTTCATTGACATCAGTGAGAGGGGCACAGGTTCCCCAGTCAGGCCAGACAGATGAACAAATAGTCTAAGACAACTTCCTGTATTACTGATCAATGAGGTGGGGTTTCCTCTTCTGGACGGTGTTGTATTTCCCCTTAAAAATCAAGTTTGCAATTGGGAAGGACTGTTTGATCTCTCCATTACCTGGGAAGTCCAGGTGGTATCTGTGGCATGAAGAGCTAGCATCGTTTGCAGGGCGGACATGGTTACAGCAGTCAGAATCCCTCCTCCTCCTATTCCTTAAGTCACCAACAGAGAGAGCAACTTTTAAACAGTTTAAAACAAGGATGGGTGACCCCTGTTGCTCTGGAAGTTGTTGGACTCCTATTTTCCCCTGGGAGTTGGGAGTCTAGCAACACTGGAAAGGCTACAGCAGGCTTCCTCAACCTCAGCCCTCCAGATGTTTTGGCCTACAACTCCCATGATCCCTAGCTAGCAGGACGAGTGGTCAGTGATGATGGGAATTGTAGTCTCAAAACATCTGGAGGGCCAAGGTTGAGGAAGCCTGGGCTACAGGTACACTGCTCCTGGCTTAAAGGAGGAAGCAGCAAAATTAGAGGCAGCTGCCACTACATGGTAAATGCCGGATCCCCTCCTAAAAACCCCACAAATTCATCCCCTAGCCCTCACAATTTGGGAGAGGGAAGTCAAAATGACACTCCCACATAAGGCAAACCATTTTTAAAAAGAAATGCTCAATGGAACCCATGTTGTAAATGGGTCTGTCTTTTTGAAAACTACGCTGCAATTGGTGCCATAATATAGCCACAGGAGTAGTAAACAACGTTTCCGTGCACTCTGGCTTCCACCACAGTGTTGCATTGCTCCAGAAGTGGTTTAGTCATGCTGACCACATGACTTTCTGTGGACAGCAAGATGAGCACCACATCCCTTAGTCGCCTTTGACTGGACTTAACCATCCAGGGGTCCTTTACCTTACCTTACAGGAGTAGTGACTGGAACTGGCCAGTCAAAACATGCCTCCTCAGCTTTACTGGCTTTCTATGTTTCTGGACACAATTCAAAGAGCTGATTATAATATTTAAAGTCATGCACAGCCTGGGGCCTGGGACTACAAGGACCCACAAACCAGTCTCCTGGATGTTAAGATTTGCATCCATAGCTCTTCTCTGGATACCCCACCTGTGAAAGCTTAGGCTTAAGTTACAGTTCTCATGAGTTTTTTGAGGAAGTCATGTGCTTTAGATGAATGCTGTGGACCAGAGTTTTTCTTTTAAGATGTTTTCCATTTGTTTCACTGCTGAGTTCCAGCAAGTTCTGGCTGGGAAAAAGCCCTGATAATGGGCCTAGTGTTTGTGGTGTTTTCTTTTTGTTTGAAAATTGGTTTAGAAATTTCAGTTTAAAAGTTGGCCCATTTGAATTTGAACGCATGAAACTGCTGAAGCTTCTTCCTCTCTAGGCCCATTATCAGGGCTTTTCCCCAGACAAAACTCGCTGGAATTCAGTTCTGGCACCTCTCAGGTAGGCACCATTGCTATTCTAAGAGAACGAGGATGGTGTTCATGGTGACTTCTGGCACCTCTTTCTCTGGAAAAATAGCATTGCCCACTATACTTTCTCTTGGGAGCACATCTCTGATAACCACTCTTCCCAATTTCCCCATATGATCTGGACATGAATGTGTGGGAGCAGTAGAGTCAGAAGATATATTTGCATGCCATCTCCTAAGGCACTGAAAGCAGGAAATAAACTCAGTATCATTGTAACAGCTAATAACTGGGTACCTCCCAGCCTTTCACTGTAAAAGAGACATGCAATAACGTGCTGCCCTTATGTGTCATTTTATCCAGTTCTCAACATTTGGCGTGTTAGGAAGACTAGATGCAAACAAAACCACAATCTCCTGCCACCCCATTTGCATTTCCTCCTTTGGGCTTTTGTGTCTTAGAAGGGATATAAAGCTATTATTGGCTGGCTGTACATGAAGTGGTGTGCATTAATGCTAATCCAATGTCTGGGAGCTCCTAGAGTTACTATCTCGGTGGTTCTGTAATGTAATGAGATTTTCTTCACTTAAATTTGAATCGATACTCCTGATATTGTCAGCTGACTGGTTTCCTGAGGCTCAGACCTCAAGAGTCTCGGGCACTAAATAGCAGTGGGGACTTGTTCTCAGGAAGAAAATGGTCAGTGCCCCATGACCACTAGCAGACTGTGGCCAGTCTTGCAGAGCCTGAGCCCACTCCTTCTCTCACTATCAGTATTCACTTTCCGTTGTCTGTCTTCTTGCTTAGAGTCTGCGTCACTGTGGTGTGACTCCATGCCCATAACACCAGAAAAAAGAACATATTTTCCCCAAACAATTCCCATTGAAAATGGCTTTCTGGAAAGGCAAGGACACTTACCAACTCTTCCTTGTGACTGGCAACACCTAGCCAGTTATTTGCATACAATCAGCCTCAAGCACGGTAACTGCTGGTTCCCATGAGCCAGTTTTAGATTGCCACTGAAAGCAACAGGGATGGCAGTGGAGAGCACTCGGAGCCAGGCCAGCAGCAGTTGCTAGATAGCTTCAGTCTCTCTCCCCCACCCCCCACCCCGCTCTCATGCCCTACGCTCCCAATGAGAGCAAAATCACAACAGTCTTGCCCACTCAGATCATGGTGAACTGAAACTGCACCAGCTGCTGTGAGTCAGGTGGTTGCCGACAGCAGCTGATCTCAGATTACTCGACACAGAGTTATGATTTGTCACACACCCAGCTCAGGATGCACAGTGACATCCTGCATGAGATACACACCCAGGTATCCCTGCTCTAACAAATAATTATTCCTTGGCCATTCACAGTTCTCTCTTTTCTTTCAGGAAGTTCATCTCTGAAATAGGAAGACCAACCGAATAGCACTTAGAGTGACCAAAGAGACAATTATACATAGTAACATCACAGGTTAGTTGATTATTTTTCTTCTATGCCTATGTCATTTTCTCTTGGTAGTAGTTTTACTATAAGTACATGGCTGTTATTTTACTTCCATGTGTGGAATTTAAGGCTCATTGACTGGATTCAGATAAATAGTTCCCAACAATAACATTTTTTCAGGCACTGTAGAGTGGGGATTGAAAGGCAGGAGGTTGTGTGAAGCAGGTGTATGTTGGATTCACAGCCAACACTTGCTGAAGAAACTGTAGCCTAGCATGTCTAACAAGCCACAGAAACCTTAATGCACTGAGCCTCTTCAGTCTGTGACCATTTGATTCCCAATACATAGTCAAAAGTCAGTAGAAAAGAAAGTCTGAATCTGCCTACTACCAAATTGATAAGGCACCAGAAGTTTGAACAAAGAGAAATGTAGAAAGAAATTATTCAAAATGTTCTAAGTCAGACTTTACCAACCTGGAGCCTTCCAGATGGTCTTGGACTACAATGCCCATCAGCCCCAGCCAGCACAGCCTGATGGGGTTTGTAGGCAACAATATCTGGAGAGCACCAGGTTGGCAGAGGCTGGTCTGAGTCTTTAATATAATTCAATACAACGTTGAGCCAAAAATATATGTTGTTTTATTGTCCACTTTGTGCCTTTGATGAAATAGGCTTTTGGCTATGAAAGGTTAGCAATACACATGTTGCTTCAGTGATAAGCAGTGTCCTCTTTCTGGAGTTCTGTTTTTAAAATAATGCAGTGTAGGCAGAGATTATTTTTCAGTATCTACTTCTATAAGAGCTATAAGCCTAAATTAACTATTATTAAACTTTAAACTATTTTTAATTAAGCTATTATCGCTAACTAAATTAATGATAATGCTTAGATATTACAACTAATTACTAGGAACGCAGGAAGCTGACATATTCTGAGTCAGGCCATCGGTCCCACTGGATCAGTACTGTCTACAGCAGGCTTCCTCAAACTCGGCCCTCCAGATGTTTTGAGACTACAGTTCCCATCATCCCTGACCACTGGTCCTGCTAGCTAGGAATCATGGGAGTTGTAGGCCAAAAACATCTGGAGGGCCGAGTTTGAGGAAGCCTGGTCTACAGTGACTGGCAGTGACATCCCCGGATTTCAGGCAGAGGACATTTCCAGCCCTTCTAGAAGATGCCAAGGATTGAAACTGGCACCTTGTGCATGTAAAACTGTGACTCTACCACTGAGCCACTTACTTTTCATGTAAATAAGATAATGCAATTCCCTGTCCCTTTCTCGGTGGAATTGCAATACTTGATACGCTGCTTCAACCGATATCACCTAACCACTTGATCTGCTGTGCATCGACTTCATTGATGATGTATTTGTTAGACAAATATATTATAATTACTATTCATGCATTTCAAGCTTAATTGTGTCATGTTAGCAATGTATCATAGAAGCCAAGGCACACCCAGGCTTCTCCCCCCGCCCTTTCTCATGGTATGTTGCCTATAGCAGCATTCTTTCAAACCTGTAGGATTCCTATGTGGAAATCAAGAAATATTATAAAATACAAGTGCAGAGAACTGATGTTGCAGGTGTATATAGTTCTCACAGCTATTTGGGCCTTTTTTGTTTCATTGGGTTGGAAACGAGCAAGTAGATTCCAGTGGCTTAGGAAAAGCGTAATGATTAAAATGAATTCCATTTCTGAGGCTCAGCGCAATTCACAGCCACTCATCCAAGCATGAAGCTATTTCATTGGCTCCTCTACTTCACTGCAGGCCACTTGTCAGATCAAGCTATTTTTTATATATATATAAAAAGAGGCTCGTCTGGAGTCTATTTTCATTACTTCAGTAAAGAGCTGTGAGGCTCAGAAATGAAGGAAATGAAGGACAGTCCTATAGAATAAGAAATATCCCTTCAAATGTGAGACAGTTGATCACTCTAGGGCCAACAGTCAGGCTGTGTTCCAGTGAGGGAAAATAACCCCCAAATTATCTGAACAAACTGAATGATGTGGATTCCCAGGTGGTACCAGCATCACTGAAATGGTACATTACAATTGAGGACAGTTTGTAAGCTTGTTGTCATTACATGGTTTTGATTTGTGTTGTTGTTACCCTGCTTGTTGACCGTTTCTAAAGTCACTGCCGCACGGATTCTAAGCATTGACAACAGGGAACCAGCCTCTAGCCATTTGTTTGTCTGCTGAAAACATTTCTGTTTCCATCATTCAGAACTAATCTTTCAAGGCAGCTAACAAGAAGAATGGCAAAATATGGAACAGAGTAAAATATTGAAACAATGCATGATAAACTATTGAAAGAAAACCATACAACGCTATGCTAGAAAACTAAAAATAAAAATACTGAAGGAAGAGGTAGTTCATAATTAATTAAATTGGGGGGGGGTCAATTGTTGGACTCCAACTCCCATCAGCCTACTGACCAGAAGACAGGGATGATGGAAGTTGTAGCCCAACAGCATCTGAAGTCCCATAGGATCCGCATCTATTAAAAGCATGAGAGCAGAATGTTTTATTTAGCCGGTGCCTAAATGCTAGCAGATTAGGGAGATCATTCTGAAACCTGACCATGATCACAAAAAGAAGCCCTGACTTTACTCACTACCTGCACCATTTCTGCGAGTCGGGGGAGCTGGAGCAGAGCCATAGCTGTCAACATTTCCCTTTTTTAAAAGGAAAATTCCCTTATTCCAAATAGGATTTCTCGCAAGAAAAGGGAAAAGTTGACAGCTATGAGCAGAGCATCTGAGAATTATCTCAACTCGTGGGCAGATTTATAAAGGAATAAGCAGTCCTTCAGATACCCTGGTTCCAAGCTCTTTAGGGCTTAAAAGGCCAAAACCAGTATCCCCAATTGCCCCCAGAAACAAACTGGAAGGGAGTGAAGCTATTTTAATACCGATGAAGTGTTCTGACCAGTTGGTTTTGACTAATTATCTGGTGGCTACCATATGTTGAAATGAAGTTTCTGAGTAGTCTTCAGTTCATTGCAGGCTCTTCAGCACTTCTTCTACCTCACCTGATGATGGCATCCCATATTGATGGCATCACATGCCAAATCCCTGAGCGACCTTTCTGAGTTGTTGCATGTTGCATGAGATGCAGTATAGAGCTCTATGGGACCTCCTGGCCCTAAAGCCGTGGGGAAGAGGAAACATTATCCAGCATTATCTTCTGAAACCAATCAGTCGGGTAGGGACAGAAATGCCACAGTATGATGCCCCCAAATCCCAACATAGATAATGTAGATGAACACCATGGTCAATGGCAAAGAGTGCCACTGAAAGCTCCAGGATAAGTCATGTGACCAGAATGCCACTATAACGTCGTGTTTGTGACTTAGCATTGCTATAGCTGACAATAAAACCTGTTCCTCAGAAATATGCTCTCATTACAAGTCATGTGACTGCTTCATGTGTTTCTCTTGTATCATTCAGTGCAATCTTAGGTACTCATAAATGTCTCAATGTGTTACCAGGATTTCAAAGGCGAAATTGGTACCGGGGGTGTGTGTTTCCAAAAGGTTGTGCTGTCCTGGATTTTAGGCAAGCCAATTGGAAACCCTTAACAACTTTCGGGGTGTCCTGGTTTTTACTTTTTGAAATATGGCAACCCTACAATGTGTTAACTGGGCTTACTCCCTGTTAAGCATGCTTGGAATTGCAGCCTTACTGCAGTACATAAAATGTCATGTCACATGACTCATGCGTGAAGCAGTTCTTTCTCAAGGAACTCTCAGGTTTTCTTATTTGCTTTCCCCTCCTTATTTTTTAACGGTTGTTAACACTTTCTGCCTGAACAGATTTGAAATGGATTATGAAAGATCTGAAGGACTTAACCAGATTTACAATCTCTTTCCCCATCTCTTTTAAACAGACACAACAATGAGTAACTCAAATTCTGCTGATTTACTTCATACAGGAGGAAAACAAGGTAATGAAAAGATGGGGAGACTAAGCCTGGGGGCACATTATTGGCTTAAAAGACAACTGGGCAACCAAGTATAATATATTTTTGTGTGCTTGGCTGTACTAAAGCGACATTTTTCAGAAGGCAGACATCCATGTCTTTTGTTTCAGCTTATTCTTCTGTAATATTTTGAGTCATACCCATAAAATAGTTTGATACCCAAGTCTGCGTGCTCACATCCTGATTTTGGGCTTGGAATGGGATATGTGAATTGGTGAGATCTCTCTTTCAGTTTTAACAGTACCACTGTCTGTAATTTAGCCTTTCCTAATTAAGGTAAATTTTATTTTTATGGAAATTACTCTATGATTAGATTATTCTTATTCTAATTATTAGTATTCACCTTCTATAGAATTGTCTCAAGGCAATGTACAATAAAAACACTATCCGCTTATACTGAACTCTCATTTTAAAATGGGTAGCTATGGCTGTCAGTACTAACACCGAGGGTCTTCTCGGTAGTGGCACCCGCACTGTGGAATGTCCTCCCATCAGATGTCAAGGAAATAAACAACTATCTGACTTTTAGAAGACACCTGAAGGCAGCCCTGTTTAGGGAAGTTTTTAATGTTTGATGTTTTATCACTTTATTATTATTATTATTATTATTATTATTATTATTATTTTGTTGGGAGCTGCCCAGAGTGGCTAGGGAAACCCAGCCAGATGGGCTGCATATGTATAAACAAACAAACAAATTATTATTATTATTATTATTATTATTATTACTACTACTACTACAGTATGTAAGGCTAACTCTGTTTAGATATGTAAATTATACATGAATAGATATGTAAATAATCTAATACATGTTTAGATATGTAAATAATACTGATGGCTTTACCATCAGTAGTACATCAAGAAAATCTTTGATGTTTTTCCTCGTATACTTTGAACAGGTGGGAAACCAAAACGAGGCAAGAAATTAAAACCGCAAAAAGAAAGTGAGGGTGAAAGTTCTTCTGAGGAGCTTAGAACAGAGAGTCCATCAGAAGGTAACTCCAAAAGATTGTATGATGCTTTGTCTGTGTGCAGGGAGAACAGATCTTCACTTGGGAGCTAGCACTTGCAAATCAATATTCAGATAAACCCAGCAGCCAAGTTCAGACTAGTGCTGAGCTGAAACAAGGTGGACCTTTGCAAACCTTTCTCTCATCCACTCATTCTGCACAAAACCTGCAGAATGCCCCCTCTGAGATATGGCTGGCACTGAGGAACTTTTGGCATCAGCTGTAGACCCATCTACAGTATTTCATCTATTTCCGCCCTGGGTTTTTTTTTGAGAGAGAGAGAATGGGTGGGATATGAATTCAATAAATCAGTAATAATAAATGCACAGGACTTTGTAATGCCTTGTCAAGTTTTGTTGTTGCCTTTCACTATGTTAGTATTTGTTTGTAGATGCTGTGTCAAATTATTAAAGAAATGATAACCTGCCTTTCAACTGAAAAGGGCACAAAAAGAAAAATTAAACCACAAAAACAAACTATAACAGGAGTTTCTATATTTTGACAGCAACATAAGCTGGAAAGTTTTACCTTAACCATACTTTTATCTGTTCTATATTTGTGCACTATTTTAGATTCACCCAGAGAAGTCGTTCCATATGGTGAATCAGGTAAGTTGACTAAAATCCTGAGCAGCACAGTTTTTGGGTTTGAGAGGCCCTTGGGTAATACCCCACACTCTGCATCTGTGAGTGGACCAACTGCTTCCTCCTTCATGTTGCTGCTGCTGTTCACTTCACCAGGGACGTCTTTACCATTGGGCGTAGTGGTGAGGCAACCAGGGGGCCAAGCTGTGGAGGGCGCCTGGCGGAGAGTCCAGGGAGGGGAGAGCGGGGAGGGAAGCGAGGCGAAGCTGGGGCTTGGTGCCTGCGCGCTTACAGCGCCCTGTTTGGACCCTGTTCCGCTCTGCAGCACCAGGTATGAAGAGTGAGGCAGAGGGCAGGGAGAAGGCGTGGGAAAAGCCGCCTCAAAGAGCTGTGTGAGAACTTACAGTGGTACAGTTTTGTAATTTAGGCTCAAGGCTCAATGATCTTGCAGCAACAGCCCCGAAATCTGCCCCAAAGTCCTGCCTTGTAACCTCTCCACCCCCCTTGCCACTGTGTGTGTGCGCGCTTCACCGCTTTAATCTGGAAACGGTGTTGTTTTTTCCTGTCAGCTGGAGATTGTCTATTGTGATTGGTCCTTTTTCAACTGGCTGCATCAGTGGCTGTTACTGATTGGTTGTAACAGCTTTTGTTGTTGTTCTGTATTTTTTTCGGCGCTTTGGCTGACAAAAGCTGTTTTGCGTGCTAGTTTCAGCGAAGGTATTATTTGTCATTTATTAACGATCTGCCCCTCCTTTAAAAAAGCGCAGAGGCCCCCTAGAAAAAGCTCACTAAATATTGGGAGGCCCCCTAAAAAAAGCTTAACAACTTTGGGGAGCCCCCCTAAAAAAACTAAATTTGGGGGCGCTGGGCGGATCTTTGCACCAAGGTGCTGCATATGCTAAAGATGGCTTTGGACCTTTTCTTCTCTTTCTTTGCTTCTCTTCTGGGCCAGATTGACATGCCTCTCTCTTCTGGGAGAGACACATGTATCGGTAAACCCTATTTGCTGCCACAAAATGTATGAATTCTTCCTTAAACAAAAGGCTCCACATGGAAAGAAATGGGTTATGTCGAGCTTGAACAAAGCAGCTAGAATTTTCTAGCTTTGGGATGTTTCAAGACAAGTCTTCATTGCTCCCTCTAGTGGTAGCTTCACTCAACGGCTTCTGTGCATGGGTTTTATTGTTGTGAACCACCTGACCTTAGGATGAAGGGTGGCATACAAATTTAATAAAATAAGTAAAAATAAATAAAACAATACTGTTATTTGGGTTGATGAGTTGCAGTCAGAAAAGCATGGTGAGCAAGGCAAGGAGCTGTTACAATGCATAGAGGTTTATTTTTGGCCAGGTAGGAAGAATCTTCATATATATGCATTTCCTGGTATTGTAATGTGGTTTGTTTCTGGTTTGTTTTGCAAAAGGAGATGCTTGTTTGCTTTGGTCCCCTCCAGATGACCTATTTATTGAACAATCATTCTGATTTGTTTCCACAAAGATAGATTAGGTAATGTCAGCTGTTTCTTGAGCATTCACTCTGATTTGTTTGCAGGGAGATTTATACATCACTGTATTAAGTAATTATCCCATGTTTTCCAATGCATTTCCCCATCACTTTAATTCTAGCAAAAAAATTAATCCATTTTTGGGTGGGGAGGAGGAGGAGGAAGAGGCAGGCTTGTTGCACAAGATTGCCAGATTAACTTTAATTGCACACCCTGAATTTGTCACTATGTGACTGAATCCCACCTCAAAATCGTGAAAGTCTGAAAGCACCTTTTATATCAGTCTGTGTTATTTTTCAGAAGTTGTGTGCAGAGACGGGGAACCTGCAACTGGTAAATATAAATTGCAGATTATGTTGTTCTTTTCTATATAACCCCTTTTAAGTCTTTTAATGCCTTTTAAGTCTCATACAAGTACCATGTTATCTGCCTGGGCTATGAAAGCTTCAACATTGCATGATCTGCCATATCATACAAACTTATAAGCATAGAATGGTCCAACCCCCTGCAATGTAGGAATCTCAACCAAAAACACCCATGACAGATGACCATCCAACCTCTGCTTAAAAACATCCAAGGAAGGAGAATGTTTGCTTTTACTTACAAAGTGTTCTAAGATATTTTGTGAAATAGATTTGTATTTTAAAGCATTTTGGGCCACTCAATGGCGGATTTCCTAAAACAAAACAAAAACAAAACATAAACCAGAGCATATTGATCCAGTTTTCAAACTAGTCCTTGCTTGTGACCACAGGTGCAGCTCGGCGTTTGGCTTCCTACGCCCCCCTCAATATTGTGGGGGCTGAGCCCCCTGTTAAACAATATAGAGTCTCAGCCCATAGGAGTTGGTGCCTATGCTGGGTGGGCAGGAGACAGGCAGAACTGGCCAGGCGGAAGACCCCCAGGCCACAGGGCCTGCAACAGTTGACCCTATTCCCTGCTCCCAGGAATAGCCTTTTAAGAAATGCTGCCTTTGATGACTACCTCCACTGTGGGAGGCAGTGAAACTGAATTGCTGGGAATCACAGGTGGGGAGGTTGCTTTTATGCTCAGGTGTGCTTGCAAGCCTCCCTTAGGCATCTGGCTGGCCAGTGTGAGAACAGAGTGTTGGATAGGATGGGCCTTATTTTGTCCTTAGGTATTGCAAAATGCCCTGAGGTCCATTGACCAATGCACCAAATAGAAAAATAGCAACAACAATAATAAAGAATAGAATTCAGTGGCTAATATGATGTGGCTTAGCTTCAGTTTGTGTACCTGGGATTGACTTTTACTTTAACTGAAATTTCATTTCCCATAGCGTATGAAAATGTTCCCTGCCATCCACCTCACCACCCAAGATGGTGGCTACCAGGCATACGAAAAGATGGTAAGAGTTTTTCTGACCCTCAGACTCAGGCTGTGGGCACATTACCATTTACTCTGGCTCCAATGCACTCCCGCCCCTGAGTGCATGTGACATTAGCCAGAATCCATATGTATGTTGTGGTTTCTTGAGTAATGCTGCTGTTTCCCTCAGACATGTGTTTCCATCCTATTTGAAGATGTAAGCCATGGTTAAGCTGAGACGTGTGTTTCAGACATCCATTGTGCATGCACAACTCTGTTGAATAGGACTTGGCAGAGAGGTTGCAGGCACAGAGAAACAAATCGGGTCATAGCACGTACAGCACTTTAGAATGCAACTTGAAATGCACGAGGGGAAAAGCCTAGCTGTGTTTTCAAGCCATTAACATGCACATGCCCTTAATTGCAAAACCTGCTCAGTGTGAACCAGAAGTTCTCCCATGTGCAGCTACCTGATAAAAATGCCAGAATTCATTCCTAGAATTGTGAATAAACAGTGTAGTGGTGGTTTAATTATGGATGTTTAAATTCTAATGCTTGTGTAATTGGTTTACACACTTGCAAACAGCTTCAAAGACCGTTTTGTCATTAAATAGTATACAGTGGTACCTCGGGCTAAGTACTTAATTCGTTCCGGAGGTCTGTTCTTAACCTGAAACTGTTCTTAACCTGAAGCACCACTTTAGCTAATGGGGCCTCCTGCTGCTGCCGCACTGCTGGAGCACGATTTCTGTTCTTATACTGAAGCAAAGTTCTTAACCAGAGGTACTATTTCTGGGTTAGCAGAGTCTGTAACCTGAAGCGTATGTAACCTGAAGCGTATGTAACCCGAGGTACCACTGTATAAGTAAATAAATACTGCATGTGAGCACATGTAGGACAGAGTGCCTTTTCCACAACATTGCATAATCATAGGCTTCCCGTCTTGGACTTCCATATATAAAGTTCCTAGTAATTAAGCAGTAAACTCACTTAAAGTCTTCACAATTAATTGCTGATTCTTGGCGTTTTTAGCTGTGTGGGAATAAAGCATAGTTCCATATTTTAAATAATGTATATGGCTAAGAAGGTTGCTGACTTAAGTTCTTCACTTGAGTTGATGCCTCTGGAAAGTATACATAAATTATATATATGTACAGTGCAGTTAGTGAAAGTACTGGCTGTTGGTCTAAAGTATGTGAGTAATCATCCCCTTACCCCACCCTCCACAAACATATGTATTCCAAAAGGACATGACCTTCACTAGTACAGGAAAAATTTAAATTGCAGCCAATAGGGGCATTGAGTTTGATTTTATGATATCCTTTAAGAATGTAAGACCCCTCTCTTCTCTCTCATTTCAGATGAATTCTTCCATTTTGTCATTCTTTGTTTTGCCATTGGAACCTTGTTGGTTTGCTATTACAGATATAAAGGTACATCAAAACTGGAATGCACTGCTTTCATTTGGCTAACACAGAACATAATGTAATACAAACATATATATGTATATTTTTAGACTGGACAGTTTCCCTTGGTATTGGTTTGATGACCTTCGCAGGCTTAGAAACAACTGGAATATATTTCGGTCTAGGTAAGTGTTTCACATGTACCACTTGAGACAGCAAAATAAGCTGCTTCGTGTATTTATACCTAGGTATAAACTTTAAAATATACCAACATTCATTTGATGTTTATATTACAGTTTGAGCTGTAGTGGAGCTATTAGCGTGTCCAGTTTTCTTTGCTTCTTTGCCTATAACCATTTGTCTTTCATTTCCCTAACAGTGCACCGCATTAGAAGTATCCTGGAAAGTTTCATCCCCCTGCTTCAGAGCGTCAGAACGCCTGGTAATACCTACTGCCCTCTTCATGTGTCTTTATATACCCCTGTGGAATCATTTGGGTACAGCACATAGATAATAGTTGTAGTTTTGCCATTTTTTAATAGAAAAACTCTATTCATCCCAGGAAAAAAGGGCTCAGGATTAGGAGATTGCGTGTCAGCTCCGAAGATTGTCATGACTCCAGGTTTTGAGGGGAGACCCATGTAAACTTTCCTGAGGGTCCTTAGAGACGGAGTACTAAAAGCACAGACTTCTTCATGCTTTTAACCAGCAGGCTTGTGCCTATTGGGACTGCTGCCTCTAAAATCCCTGCTTCTTTCAAACTTCTAAATTAAATGCTCATGAAAGTGACACCGAAGTGCTATCTTTTCTGACCCACAGACCAATGTGTGGTATTTTGAAATAATCATACTGACGAGTTTCTCTCTCTCCCTTTGTCATTGTGTAGGTTTGAAAAAGATTAACTAAATTGGAGGTGTCAACAGAGCTGGGTGGATCCTGTTAATATTGACAAGATGTTTACAAGACTATTATGGCCAATGTAAAATAATATGTTAACTATACAAATGTGAAATTTCCTCAGTTGGAGAAAAGAATCAGGCTTACAGTGAATCCTTTGCTTCCTTGGTGTATGTTGAGAGATATATGTAAAAGTTGCCAGCCTTTTCGCATTAATTGGGTCTGTAGCTGTATGCTGCAACCCCACTTTGTGAAGGAATATCAGCTATTTCCACTCTCTTGTATTCTACCATGCACCAGGTCTCACCAACACTGAACATTGCTGCTCTTATCTATGGCTGAAATCGCCTTCCCTACACTTGGTCAGGACAAAGGACTGTGCATAGATAGCCCATGGCTACATCATGGGAAGTTCTTTACATATTCCGTGAGCCAGCTCATATGATGAGTAGTATGTGAAGTAGCTTCAAGACACGTTTCTCGAGTCATTTGTGATTGTGTGGGAAAAGCTAGTTCACATGGTAATCACTGTGCATGACCACAGCTGGCCTGTGGAACAACTTGGAAGTGGCCTCCATGTGGCAGCCATGAGCCATTACTGTGGGACAGCTTCTAATCATTGTGGTGGAACTTCTATGGACGTCCTTGGCTGGTTCTTGCTCTTCGTTGTACTACCATCCTGTCATCCATTTGCTTATGCAGCAAGGCTTGCCAATGTCACAGGAACGATACCCCATTTCTCGCTAACACATGGGATACGCTTTAGAAAAAAGTTATGCTACGTAATGCAAGCAGTGGGCAATCCTAATGCCCATATCTTGAGCATTATTTCAAAGGTGTAATTTTGCGTGCAGTGTTTCCCCATCTCTTCAAAGAGCAGCCTTCTGTTGCTCCTGCCTTTATCTGGATCATGGGGCATCAAGCACAATGCTATGCATTACATTCAGGTGAGGAATTTTACTGTACCTTTATCAGGATACTGTTTGTTTTGGTAAGGCATGGTAAGATAAGGTAACGAAAAGGCTGGGCAGTGTAAATGTACAGTAGGGAACAAAGTCTTTATTGTTTGAGGAAAGTAGTAAGAACTCTGATGTGAACATACCTGATTTGCTTTAGTTCATTAATGTTTAATACCTTTGGGCAGGTCTTATTTTCTCTCTTGGCCATTTGACCAAGAATTCAGCTTCAATACCTCTTCCAATCTTCAATCTTGACTACTTCAAATTTTAAAAAACTGGCGTTTCGGGGGGGTGGGGGGACGACTGTGGCAAGGAGTTTTCTGAAAAGTGAATACAAGCTCAAATGGCAAAGTAAACTTGGAAGATCTGGTAATATTGGTACTTCCAGTTTGTAAAAAAGCAAACAAACACAAAATGTAGCTGAAACTCAAAAGCAATTGTTTTGAAATATTCATACTAAATCTGGGGAAATATTTTGAAATAAATGCCCTGTATCAAACGCATAGGGGAAGAGCAAGTATTTTTAAAATTAGGAGGTGGGAGGAAGTTCCTAACATTCTTCTTAACTGTATTAATGTAATCCAGCTATTTCACTAATAATTTATGCTTAACTAAAAATATCTGTCAAAAGAACAATGGCTTGAATGACTGGAATTTATATCACCTTTGCTTCATTTCATGCTGGCCTGAATGATGTCTGAATTGTGTCCTTTAAAAATGCATTGATGCTGTGTCATTACATTGATATACATATGAAAGGCTACTGTTGATGTTAACAAGTTAGATTTTCCGTTTTGTTGTTTGTGCGTGGTCCTACCTCTGCAAGTATCATAACTTCATTTAGAATCACAAAAGTCCAGTAAGGATTCCTGTAGATGCAGAAGGTCAGTGTGTGCACTCGATGGCTACACACATCTAGTCAGATCAGGCACCACACTTTCATGCGAGGCCCTGAAATGTCATTTGTAGAAGACAGCAGAATTATATTTCAAAGTGAAATAGGTGCATACATCCTTTGGCTTCCAAAGGCAAGCCAAATCTCACTACCAAATGGACCCATGCCTGGGAAAGCTTAGAGGCAGAGTAGTTGCTTTTATGCAGAAGACCTCATTAATCATCCCTGGCATCACCAGGCAAGGCTGAGAATGTTCTGCCTGGAGTCCTGGGAAGCTGGTGCCAGTCAGTGCAGCCAAAGTTAAGCTAAACCATGGGTAGGCAAACTAAGGCCTGGGGGCCGGATCTGACCCAATCGCCTTCTAAATCTGGACCACAGACTGTCCGGGAATCAGCGTGTTATTACATGAGTAGAATGTGTCCTTTTATTTAAAATGCATCTCTGGGTTATTTGTGGGGCATAGGAATTTGTTCAATTCCCCCCCCCCAAAAAAATAGGCCAGCCCCCCCACAAGGTCTGAGGGACAGTGGACCGGCCTCCTGCTGAAAAAGTTTGCTGTCCCCTGATCTAAACGGACCAATGATCTGATTCCCTAACAAGGGAGTTTCCCATGCTGGGCTTGCTGAATGACATTCTGGTTCAGGAACACCACTTTGGTGAACTGCACTGGGAGACAATAGGAGCCATGTATACACTTACAGACACAAACAGGCTGCAGCTAAGTAGGTCTGCCCCAAGATGGGAGACCATCTGGGAGCAATCTGCAAGCTCCTCCGAACTCTGCAGCTGAAGAACAGGATACAAATAATGAATAAATAATAAGAAGCTGCTGTTTCCTCCTCCACTCCCTTAACCTCTGTTTGATTTCCCCATACACTCAAGATGGCATGCTCCACCTTGCCCCGAGCGCAGATGGTGGAGCAGGCTAATAATAGATCATAAACCTCAGAGAAGCCCAAGGACATGCTGTCTGTGGGTACTTGTTTGTTTTAAATCCGTGATGGGTGAGCCAATGACTCAATCCAGATATTCCAGCTCAGTCAGCACTGATCTCAAGCAGACAGGACCGAGGGACAGAAAATTGGGCTCTTGGCCTTCCTAAACCGATGGATGATGCTGTTTTCTTCTCTCAGCACATGCACAAGAAGTGTGTTTGGTCAGTATTTAAGACAGGGATGAGTAACCAACTCCCATCGGTCTCCAGCCAGTTTGCAGAGACAGAGGTAGGAAAGGGACACCAGAAAATATTAGCAGAATCCACTGGCAATAGAGGAAGAGGAGGATGGGAAGAAATAACAGCCCCACTACTGTTGGATGAAAATACAGTGCATGGAAATGTTTCACCTGAACATAGGAAGCAGGTAGTTGAAGTGAAATGTTTGCTTCTGTATATCGTATTTCACTACTGTGCCAAATGGGAAGTATTTCTGGACAAGCTGGCAGTAGTGTGAGAGAAAAACGTTTCTCAGGGCTAGTAGTACAATGGAAACAGAAGAGGGGACTGAGATATCACAGTGCTACGTTCAAAGCCCTATGGTCAGCCATAAAATTCACAATCCCACAAGTGTTTGGAGAAAAGAGAAGCATTATAAATCATTTTGGTACATTAAATTACAGCAATGTACTTGGATCTTTCGGTTTTAGGTTATCAGCATGTAGGTTTCCATAAATCCTAACAGTTCAAAACAGCAAACATGATTTTTCTCCCAAAACTTTTACTTTTATTAGAATTCTTCCATTAAAACTCTGCATATAATTTCAACCCTGTTTGAAAGCTACAGTGTTTGGTTTTCTTTTTAACCATCCTTATCCCAAAACACTGCCCCAGAACACAATGGGTGTACAACACAAACTACTCTGCATTCCTTGATTTGGACACTGCCACCTTCACAGCCTGGATGATGCCATCCTTATCAATGCCAAACATCCTAAGCAGCTCAGCTGATTTTCCACTTCTTGGTATGTGGGACACAGCCAAGCGAGAGACTGTGATCCCTGGTTCTCCAACCACAGCCGCAGCAACGGCTTCTCCAATGCCACCTAGGGAAAGATAATATACAAATGGATGATAAGTCAAGGCTAACAAGCTTTATTTCTTTGTAAGCAGCTTAATCCAGCTATTTAAAAAGAAAACAATTGGATAGTTCAGAGGGATTGGAAAGGTTGGAAAGGTTGCAAAGTTGTTTGTCCCATGAGAGGCTTTTGCCTAAACAGTTTTTCTTCTAAGAAGATTAATGCTTTGATGCCCAATCAAGACAGCTGATCTCCAAGAGTCCACACAAGCCATCCAAGTAGAGTAGTTGATCATGAAGACACAGGAGATACAAAAATGCTATTTTAGAAATGTCTAAAGGAGGACCTGTGGTAAAATGTTGCAGTGTGGAGTGCTCCTTTTTAGTGTTCCAGCCAGCCAGTTAGCTATGCTTCCCTCCACAAAATTCCATTCCATTATATCATTCCCCCGCCCCTCCACAGCAAACAATCAGCATTCTGAGGACAATGAGCTTGTTCATTCCTCAATGGACACCTTTGAGGTTCCTTAGCTATTCCCCCCCACCCAAAGAATTTTTTTCTGGGAATGTTGGGGTCCACCCAAGCCTGCTGATACCTCCCCATTCTGCGAGGATGGTGCCATTTTGGCTATATAACTAATGGCGCTCATACCCTGAATATCTGAAATAGAGGAAACAATGTCTTAGATATGTAGCTTATTAGATGATGTTGGACCCCCATCAGCCCCGACCAACTAATGGTCAGGGATAATAGAGTGATATCTGGAGAGCCAGCAGCTCCACTACAACAGCAGGAAATGCAACTCCAACACAACAATGTTTAACTGTTGCAAGAGCACACCCGAGCTAGGATTGTCAAGCTAGGATAGTCATGAGAGAAATCTCATTTCTCTAGGTGTCTGTACCATGTATAGGTAGAGCACAGGAACTAGAAAATAACCAGTGTCCATGTATTTCTCATCATCGTTATTAATCACCTTCCATGTATGTCCAATGCAATATACAAAATATAAAAAACCCTCCAAAGTTAGGAAACAGCACAGAAGAGGAATTAAAAAACAAAACAAAAAAATGGACACCCACGGCAGAGACGTATATACAGTACTGAATTTTTTCCCTTTGTTATCGTGTGTTGACCTACCTTCATAGTAATGGTCTTCCACAGTGATAATTCTGCCTTTGGTTGCTCTTGCATTTTCAAGTATAGTTTTCTTATCCAGAGGTTTTATAGTGAAAAGGTCAATCACTCTGATGGAAACTTTTTCTGAGAAAAAGAATGGGAACAGAATTATGCACCAGAGCATGTGGCTCAACAAAACACAGGAGAGGGGACTCGCTAATGTTTAACGTTTCACACACACTTATTAAAGCATTCCAACGGGGTCTTTGAAACCACTAAGTATTTGGTTCTAAGAATGGGCAGAATATAAGTAAAAAAGAAGCTGACTGATAAGTAAGCGTAAGCCTTACTTTCTCGTTTTGTCATTCCCTAGAATGAGGACGCTCATGACCCACTTCCAAGGACCTTTACTATGATAATTGATCTCCAGAAGAATTAAGCCACCCAGAAACTAGCTTATGGAATATCTAAAGAACTAGATAGCACAAGGTCATCATTCAGCTTCAGTCTTCTTAAAGCACAGCTGCCTGCTCATTTATCCAATGGCTATAATTGCATTAACTTATTAGTACTATCATCTTGTGGACTTCTCAATAGTGAGATTTCCTTTATTCCACCAAAGGTTATGTTGGAGAATGCCAGTAGTCTTGGATAATCATGGCCCAGTACACTTCCGATACTAAAATGATGATATCTGCAGTGAAATGAGTAGCAACACATGTCTTTCAAGGAATAAAATGAGGATGGGGAATATGTGAACTACTGCCAGTTAGGTAGCCTGTAACTGAAAGTGTTCAGGTATGGTGCAACCTGTATGTTTCAGGAAAGGTGACATTTCATCTACTGTGAAGCAAACCATGGTTTACTTATCCAGGACCATCCATCAAGTAAGATCTTGTGCAGATGCAATACAGTGGTACCTCTAGATACGAACAGGATCCGTTCCGGTGCCCCGTTCGCATCTAGAGGTAAACGTAACTAGCAACAGCGCATCTGTGCGTGCACGTGTCACTTTTTGCCGCTTCTGTGCATGTGCGTGACGGCATTTTGAGCGTTTGCGCATGCGCAAGCGGCGAAACCCGGAAGTAACGCACTCCATTACTTCCAGATTGCCAAGGAGCACAACTCGAACGCGCTCAACTCGAAGCATATTTAACCCGAGGTATGACTGCATTCCTAATCAATATACCACATGCTCACTGACTTCTCCTTTCCCTCCTTCCCTTTCATGCATGGTTCGTCTTGTACATGCACTGCACTGAGGCTGATCATAGTTACTCCGAACCAGGGTGACCTCAAGTCTTTAGAACCAGTTTGCATCAGATTCACCAGTCCCTGTCAAAAGGGAATCTAGTTAGCTATTCTTAACAGTGATGTTAGTGGCGTAATGTTACACCATTGTTAAACAAACCATGGAAATTCACAAGGAAGAGAGGCCATGCAAATCTATATCACATTCCCAGTCTCTTAACCAGTTTCTATTGTTTGTACCAGGGCTATGTTGCTACAGATAAGGTACATGTTTGGGTTTGATTTTATATATTAAACTAACTTTTTTCTTGTTTTTTTTTATAAATAGACTTAAGGCTCCAAGGAAAGGTGTAGTAATTAGATTACACTTCTAAAGAATTTCCTATCTCCCTCCCCCCCGCCCTTTATAGCCCTCATGTTCTTCCCTACAAGATGGCTGGTGTGCATTTCTCAAAAGAGTTTGGTGTAATCACCTCTCTTCAGTTGCTCAGCTGCAGCCAGTGCCTCGTGCAGAGTTACTCCTGCTCCAATAACCGTGACCTGGTCATCTTTGCTCTTGAATACCACCTGATAACAACAGTAAAACAAAGAATTAGATTTACTGGAAAAAGCTAGTAAAAATCACAGTGTTCAATGACTACGTTCTTGTAGTTCAAATCTTTTAGCAACTTTCAAAATGGCGCTCACCTTGGCTTGTCCAACATGGAAATCTTCATTGCTGCCGTAGATCACAGCATTTTCTGGACGACTGGTTCGTATGAAACAGATGCCCTGTTTTCAAAATGAACACAGGATAGATTGTAACACCCACAATAGCCCATGGAATTAAAGTTCAAAACGGAAAAAAGGCATTTAAAAATCCAAACATCAAAACTAGTCTTTTTAAAGCTGAGTGTGTCTAGTTCTGGATGGGTGACCACCCAGGTATTATAAGCATGACACCTTGGGTTCCATGAGAGAAGAAAAGTGGGGTATAAATGGAATGAAATAAACAGCCAACCAACAAGGAAACTCTGACAAATTCACAGCAATGGACACCCTTCCCTATATGCCTCTGCAACAGAAGAGAGCAAACATCAGATTTGGAGGCAGTAATGGGCCAGATCCTTATCTTTTCTCCATCCCTATGCAGCAACTGTCAATCATCATGAGGATGCCAGGCGATTGACACCTGTCAAAAGTCCCTTGCACATTTCCTTCCTAATGCCCACTGCACTTGGGAAGTGCTGCACAATGAGGAGTCCCAACGTTACCTATCCTCCATCTGATGTCATATATGATGTCAGGTGTAAGGCTTGCCTGAAATGAACTTGCAGGTCAAATGGGAAGGGCCAGCAGGTTTCCCCGCCCCTGCTCTAAAACTCCCAAGCAAGCACCCTGCGGAAGAGTTGCAGACCTTTGTATTTGCAGCCAATTCCACTGCCTTTTCAGTGGATACAGCATCACTAGGATAAAATACAGTTGAATTAGGAATGGCACGGAACATGCACAGATCTTCCAGCCCCATCTGTGAAGGTCCATCTTCACCTAGAAAAGAGATGGTTAGGGGCGGGGGGTGAAAGAAAAATATCAGTGTCGAAAAGTGAACAAACTTCTCTGTAGACTTCTTAAAACAAAAGGCATCCAAAATAAATATAAGGCACTCACAGGACATGGAAGGCTACCTACCCTCTTCTGCTTAAACTTGGAAATAGCAAAGAAAGAAGATAGAAGGAAACTAAAAAGAAAGAAAACTAGGGTTATAAAGAAAAATCATGGAAAAATGCAGACGTTAACGGTAACTGAAACAACAAAGCAGAAACTAAACCACCACTACCACAGAGGCAAAAGGAGAAGGAGAATGGATATGGAGCTACATACATGAGTACAGAAATGAAAGGAAATAAATACACAATTTTAGCCAACAGGCAAAAGAAAAATGTACAAGGTGACAGTAGGCATGTCTCAATTATTGGTGGAACACAAAAGAATTCATGATTCTAGCAGAATGTTCCATCTTGGGAGGGGGCACTTGAAGGTCATAAGAAGCTTACTTTTCAGCGAAGATTGGCTTAATGAAACCCACAGAGAGATGCATTATAATTAGGGATATATTTGGGGAGGGGGTGTAGAGCAGTGAATGGCACAGTTCAAATCCCTCCAGAGCCAGCAGTAGGAAGAGCTGTGGATGAATGTGTGCCCTTCTGGTGGAAAAGAAAAGTATTTACAGGAAACCAGTTAGAAGAACTGAGTACATTTTTTCCAGCTTCTGCTTGGTTGAACTGACTTGTGAACACTGTCTGCCTCAAAAAGGAGCCAGAGGGCCGCTCCAAAGTCATTTTTTTAAAAAAAATGTGGAAAAGTGTCTGCTTCCTGTTTCAGTACAATTGCCACACAGGATGCAGTGAGAGTTACGGAAATGGCACTACCACATTCTTTATATATATACCTATTTAGTCAAGGACCCCAAAAAGCCCCAGTCAGTTGTGCATCTCTGCATTTTAATAAACTTGAGGGGGTAGAGGTTTCTCTCATCATTGGAACTTAAGATCCCATTCCTGATAAGGGCAAGGATTGAACCTGCAGCCTCCTACATACAAACACACGTTTCAGAAGTAGGCGAAGCTTTTATCCTGTTGGCCGTGAGAGATCTACTGAAATAAGATCTTGGCATGTGCAAAAAACAAAAGCACATGTCCCACCCTACAAACAGTAATAGAATGTGTGCACTGAAATACACTGGCACCTGTACTTAAAAGAGGGCTTCACTGTACTGTTGAAGAAGCAACTGGAAATTCTTTGAAGAGAAGCACAAGTGGCAAGTGGTGTTAGAAAGAATCTGAGGCTAATTAATGGCTAAAGCGAGCAACCTGAACATGCGACAGCACTGAGAGACAAGTATAGCAAAGCCCAAGCTGAAAATTCCTGAACCACTGCCAAGCTGTTCAGGCTTCAGTGCTTACATTTCCAGTGCAAACTCTGAGTGCAGCATGAGCAACTCTTAAGCCAATAAGGAAACTTCCACTGTGCTTTCCAAAGCTCAGATTTAAGAAGAAATTTGTGATAAGCCACTTGCAGTTCTAATCAGCTTTTAGTATGGTATCATTACTGAACCATATACTTTGTCAATGAGCTATGAAGGAACAATATTGCTCCCAAAGATTTGGCAGCTGGTGGCAAAGGTGATTAATATTCATATCTATCAGACAAAACACTGTTCACAATAACCCAATTTGCACACACCCTTAAGGCAAATTATGTCTTGGCCAGAATGAGCAAGCATGCAGGTACCCAGAGAGAAAATTATGGCTACTTTGCTTATCTCTGGTCATGCTATTGCACCGCTTGTAGCTAAACCAGGGTTTGACTTAGGGTTACGTCTGAACACAGACTTGAGGCTTGTCTCCCCCAAATAACCAAGGTTTTTGCTTGGTATGAATTCTGGTTTATTGGGAGCGAGACTAACCACAAGCGTAAGTTTACACAAAATGCTAAATTAAAGCATGTATTTGGCTCATGACAGTGCAGCAGAACCAGGGGAATGGCAAAGTGCATCAGTTTTCATGCTGGGCACCCACACGCTTGCTTATTCTTGCTAAGTCATAGTCTGGTTTAGTATTGTGTACAAACAAGGTCATTATCCATATAGCAATAATAGAATAAAAGCTTGGGGGAAAAGCTTGCTTTGCTGTTTTAATTTTGTTGGGTATAGCCAGAGCGTCCTGCACGTTGACACAATGGTAAAGTGTAATGGTCATTTGGAACTAAATGAGAATACACAGCATTTTCTAGCACATGTTGGAACAATCTCTGATACATCCAAAACTCACTTTATTTGTCTCTAATGTATACATGGAATGTCTATTGTAGGCAGATCAACTATGTGAGGTTTGAAAAGTACACTTTGGTCAAAGGACTTAGCAGACCATCAGTTTTACAAGCCTCATTTCCTCTATGATGCAACAAGTGATATCAAATAAAAAGCAGAGAATAAAACTTGTAGACTATGATAATAAGGTAGGGGGGAGAGATTCCTACAGAATTTTGAAATTACTTCCACTTCATGGGTAAAGCAAAGTTTAGATTTGAATATTTGTTTCAAACTCATACGGAGTTAAAACTTTAACCATGCCCCTTAGTTTTATGAGCTGTCTGTGTGCCTGCATCTGGGAGACTAAGGCAATTTGCTGAATAAATTTGAAGACGCTTACCAATGGATACACCACAGTGAGATCCACAGAGGTTGATGTTGCTCTCGGAAATTGCTGCCATGCGGATCTGATCATATGCCCTGGTGTAAAATGTGGCAAAGGTGCTGGCAAACACAATGTTTCTGTCCCGGGTTGCACAACCAACGCCAACGCTCACCTGTAATTGGGGGGGGGGGGAGGGGAAGAGCAGATTAACCAGTTCCAGCAAAATGTGAGTGCTACATGCTGAGTTAGCTAAATGTTTTATGCCTATATAAACTATATACGTTTTATATATTTATATTCTTCCTCCGAGGAGAAGTTCAGGACAGTATACAAAGCTCTTCCCGTCTCCCTATGTTATCCTTACAACAAGGTAGAGAAAGATGGGAATGACTCAAGATCAGCTGGTAAGTTTAATGGATGAATGAACTTGGTCTTCATGCTCTTGGTCCAATTGCTACGTCACTAATTGACTAATAGAGCTGGAGTGCACAGAGGAGTGGGAAAGGAAATAAGAGTTACGTGTGCCGACAGAATGATCATAGCAGTGCAACCTGCTCTCGTGCACATGTTTGTGGTGCATGAAATGTGCTTAAGCTCCTCAAGAAATTAGAAGTAATGGCTCTGGTTACAGCAGCCTGATATGCAGAGCTCTGAAGCAGAAGCTCTCTGACAATGGTAGGCTGGATATAGGGAGAGCAGCAGCAAGCTGTCCAAGGCCTGAGGGAAAGGAGAAACAGGGCAGGAGATGCTCTGAAAGAGGTGGGAGGCAAAGAGAAGGTTAACTATGGGGCTGAAAGAGGAGGAGAACTATGGGGCTGATGCACTATGAAATGTGCCCTTGAATCAACCTGGCCGTTGCATGTTGCAGTGCACCTAGAAACCCTAAGCCCGTGGTTCCCAACATGGGGCACACGCCCCACAGGGCAGCAATTTTATTTTTAAGGGGGGCAATTTGAGAATGAGTTAGACCAAGTTAATGGCCTTTTAGCTTCCTCCACATGAATAGTTCCCTTTTTGAATACAGTACAGTGGTACCTCAGGTTACAGATGCTTCAGGTTACAGACTCTGTTAACCCAGAAATAGTACCTCGGGTTAAGAACTTTGCTTCAGGATGAGAACAGAAATCGCGCGGCAGCAGCGGAAGGCCCTATTAGCTAAAGTGATACCTCAGGTTAAGAACAGTTTCAGGTTAAGAACGGACCTCCGGAACGAATTAAGTTCTTAACCTGAGGTACCACTGTAATAAGAATTATATGTCACTGGGGAGGATCAGGATTTTAGAGATGTTTAGGTGGGGCATGCCCCCCCCCCCAAAGGTTGGGAACCACTGCTCGAAGCTCTTTAGGACATTGTATCTAACCAAGTCATCTTCAGAGGAGAGTCACCAAAATCAACGGACAGCACTAACTTGAGTCTATTGATTTCAAAGGGTCTGCTTCAAGGAAGACTTAGTTGAATACGAAACCTTATTTATAAAGGTAGGGTAATGGCAATGGTTTAATTATGAGAGTGAGAATTTATCCAAAAAAAACCTGCTTAGTTTGAAGGAAGAAACAAACGAAGAAACACCTTACCATGTTTTGTTCAGCGATGTAGCATTCAATGAAACGGCTGGGGTGCTCTTTTTTGAAGAGCTCAGAGAAAGTGGAATTTTTGGTATCCCCATCCAAAGCAACCACACGGTCACAGGCATGGCCCAGTTTGGCAAGGGCCAAGCCATAAGCTTTGCGAGTAGCAAACTGTGGAGAGGAAAAGGGCATAGATGCCCCATTTTCATTATGTTCAATTATTCTGTTATGCTGCAATTGCAAACCACATAAATAAAAAACCTTCGAAAATGAGTCCAAAGCAAAACTCTGCATGACCAACTCTTACACTGAAGAGTTTCAAAGAATCTCTAATGCTCCCCTGTATGTTATAGTATGTTACATCAGTACCTCATACATACGGCCAACATTTTAAATGTTTACCATTCTGATCCTAAGCACAGAGATTATCATAGCTAACTGAAGCATCTATAATATGTCCTTGCAATCCTGGTTAACTTCAAGCTTTCTGGTGTTGTGCTAGTAGTACAAGGGTCTTTATACCTCTAGTCATCAAACACATCACAGCTGAAGCAGAAAGACCTAGGAAAAGGCCTCAGGGGAAACTGTGCTGAGAGAAGCCAGGTTGTCCTCATACAGTCACACCAAGTGCAGTGTTGTCCTTTACTTGACTAAAAGCTAGCCATGGGAACACAACCAGCACTTCCCTAGAGAAGTGGAAACCCCAAACCACCCTTGCATGAGTTTCTCCTTCTGTCTCTGTTTACTTTGGCATCTAAGAGTTTCCATAAGGTTTTTGTCTGCAGGCTCAGGTAAGATTTCCATGCTCTTCAAATCTGAGGACAGGGAGAGAGACTGGTAAGTCTTCCTTTTCTTCTCCCATTTGCTGCATTAGTTCAGCTGCCTGACAGCTATAACTTGCTCTGCATCACAGCAGGTGAAGGAGACAACTGACCAGTATTGTGACTTTGCCACTACTAGGCAAGAGGGACAGACAAACTCTCTACCTGGTTCATTCTTAAAGAAACAAGAAGTCTACCTGGGTCTAAAAATGACAACCAAATTTGATCAGGATGTATCCCTTCCAGTCTGAAGTAGGGACATGCAGCCTTCACTTGCAGCCATCCTGAATGCGCAAGGCATCTCATGTGTGATGGCTCCACAAGTCCCATTCTTAGCAGTTACCTTAGAAGTGACTCACTAGAATTATGGCCTTAAACAGGCATGAAGTAAAACATTTGCTTTGAGACTCACATGTACAAGATCAAGTTTGGCTCATCTTCAATAGTTTGAAATAGCATTTACTCTTCTCCCAAAAGGTGTGACATTTTGAATGGGCATTTTGCTACTATGATGAATTAATTACAATTAGAACTCCACTGAGTAGGCAGCTGAATGTCATCTGGAATATTTTACAGAATTCTGGACTGAAAGTTGTTTATTCTTATTAATCAACTCCATAAAAAACGCAGTTCCCAGAATAGTGAGCAAAAGCACCTTTCCAATCACAAATATAAACCTAAACTAGAATTGCTTGAGGAGAACAGAGAAACACCATCATACCTTCTCTCCCAACTTATAATTTGGTGGTGAAGGCATCTTGACATTTCTGATACTGACAACTGGTGCATCTTCCTGCGGAAGGGCTGGAGAAAGCTTTTTCTTGTTCTGGATTCTATCATCAATCTCTGAAATGACTTGCTCAGCCATGTTTCTGGGAAGAGGTTTGCCATGCCAGTTTTCCTTATCCTCAACACCTGCGGATTACCATACACATAATTTAAAAAAGGAAATAAGTTAAATACAATACACTTCCTCAAAGTGCCAAAATCAGCAGCTTCTTCTGAGTTAGGCCCAAGTAACCTAATAAGGTTATTTGCAAATGCAAACATCTTCCTATGAGGTTTAAGCTAGCAATGCCTTAGCCTGCCTCATTCCTGTTACTGTATTCCTTTGATCCTGCAGAAGGTCTCCTGACATACTCTTCCCTGATGCTCCTACAGCCAAATTCCTTCTCCCTCCCCATTATACTCCCAATTCAATTATTCAAAGATGCTGATGCTGAGCCAGTCATGAGAGTGTCATACTAAGACTGGAAATACTTGGGTTAATATCCCCACTTACCCCCCCCCCCATCCAATGTCACTATCATTCAGCCTGACCTACTTCACAGAACTCCTTTGAGTTTAAAATTGGGAAGGAGATTCCTGAGCTTCTCCAAGGACCTAGCAATCAATTAATAAAAATATAGTCCTAGTAATTCCTCCCTTCATCTTCTCGTCACCTCCTTTCTAGAGTAATCTCCTTTGGTGCTTGGGCCCACTAGAATGCCAATATAACGCACACATCTGCATCAGTTCAATTACAACATAAATGCATATTGCTATTATCCCTTTTTGGCCTCTCTTAGTCCTCTTTAGATCATGAGCCTCTGCAACACGTATCATCACAATTTTGCTTCTGCAATACTGCTAGCTAAACCCTTGGAGCAGGGTGCACTATGTGTTCAAGTAAATGAATAAAATCAAGCCAGCAAATCAATAACCTTGACTGCAATAATGACATGCTAGGTATTCTGTAATTAAGGACCTGAATAAGCAGGCACTCTGTGCAAGCACGAAACGTCTCTTTGCTTCGGGAAAGAGCATCAGACAGACTGAGCTCTCACAGTAACAGGAGCTAAATACTGGATTCTTTTCGCCATACAGAAGTCTCACAGAATGGCAGCATTTGTTCCTGAAAAATGACAAATATCCTAAGTTTATTTAGCTATTTTTGAAATGGCTTAAGCCAGCTGATGGATGCACAAGATTAAAAATGTAACATAATGGGGAGGAGGGGGGAATACATGATAAATGCATAGTGGCACAAACCCCCAGTTGCCTAGCGCAAAGAGATTCATTATTCATTGTGATTTCAGCTGGTTCTCTACCAGAGCAGAAAGGAATTCACATCCTTGCACGTATCCAAATTCAGCAGATGTGCCTGGGCTTTATTTAATTTTTAATGGGCACAGACTGCCAAGCAGGCAGGAGGAGCACAAAGATCTCCGCTGCACGGCTAATGAAACATTTGATGTGTCCTGCCACTTGTGACAGCTCACAATTCATACTGAAGAGCCAAACAGAAGACGATTCCTACCTACTATTTACCAAAAAGTGGCAGATTACTTAACGTGAAGCAGGAGGAAAAGCACAAGATATATTTTGAAGGCTAACTCAAACTTCATTTGATATAAATATATGATATGAGTGAGCATCTCATTCATATTTAACAACTACTGAATTTTTTTTAAAATGTCCATGTGATTCTCTTGAAGTAGTACATTGATTTATGGTTTGAATACTGCACACTCCACTTTTCCTGATGGCTTAATTTTTGGACCATAACCATTCTCAGGAATATGGAAGTACATATACAGGCATTCTCCTTTATGCTAGCCCACTCTTCTTCCCTCATCCCCCTTGAATTGAGCCTAAACTTCTATTTTATTTAGCTTTACATCTCAGCACCATGCTTGACATTTTTGTACCGTGTTTATTGCACAAAAAGCTTTTCCTTTACAATAATCAATGAGTTATGCTCTGTTAAGAACAGGGCTTTAAAAAATATTTCTGCTTAATATCCCAGATGGATCACATTTTATATAATTTGTGTGGAAGACTATTATTCAAGTCCTGAGGTATGCTAATCAGGTTTGTTTAGTGTTTTGATTTGCTTTTGATTTCGTGGTGTATATAAATCTGGCTAAATAACATCAGATATAGCAAAGGGTTATGTTGATATGCTGAATAATTTACGGCTAAACTTGGGGTGAAAAGAAAAGGCTTAGAGTTCAGATCTAGTGTTTCCCACTATGGCACATACTGTGTCACCTTATAGGCAGGGATAACAACATGGTGTCCTTCAACCCCAGCCAACATGACCAACACCGGTGATGTAGGAAGGGGGTGCGGTGAATGCGGGCCGCCCCAGGTTTCATCACTGAGGGGGGTGATCACGGGGCCTGACCTGCAGCACACCCGAGCCACACATCTCTCCTGGGGAGTGACATGGTGGCTCGGACACCTGCAGACTCTGTGCTGCCCGAAACGGCAATGTGGGGCTTGCGGATTCTGTGGAGGTTCCGCGCAGGAGCAGCTTGCAGCGTCCCTGAGTGCAGGGCATTTGCCCCGGGCACTCAAGCAGTTAGCTATGCCACTGACCAACGCTCAGGGATAGAGGGAACTGTACTCCTGCAATGTCTGGAAGGCGACATGCCACCCTGTAATATGGTGTCAGCCATCTTGCCATTTTAGTCACCTGCAAATGCAGAAATGTTTAGCAGGCGTTTCAGCTTGAGTGAGGAACTGATTTCAAAGAACTGGTTCACACTGAAGTGTTACTGGGGGAAATCAAGCCTTTCACACTTAGTGATGTGGCGTAAGCATCTTCTACTGGGATCATTAATGACACTGACATATAATCTGAGGTTTTCTGAAATCAAGCAGTATATATATTGACTTGTAGCTCAGTCTTTTCACCACTATGCTACACCAACTATCACATTTATTTCTCTCTCATTCATATATATGAGTATATATATATATGAGTGTGTATGTATATATATATATATATATATATATATATATATATATGTTTATGTATATGTGTGTGTGTGTGTATATATATATATATATATATATATATATATATATATATGAGAGAAATAAATGTGATAGTTGATGTAGCATAGTGATGAAAAGACTGAACTTGTAGTCAGAAAACCCCTGCTTTTGAATCTCACATCTGCCTTGAACTTACTAGGTGGCCATAGGCAAACCACCCTTTCAGTCTCAGACCCCTTTCAGCAAAACAGCGTTAACGTTAATGCAGGGTTGCTGTAAGGATTACATGACAATATAAGTGTTATGAAAGCACTATGTAATTCCTTATCATCATCCTTATCCTTAATAAAAAAAGTGGCTAAAAATACTATTAACAAGCAAATCATAGCGGTAGCTGCTGCTCAGCTGAAAAGTCTGCCGCCTGGCATCACCTGTTATTCCTTTGCCTTTATAAGTCTTGGCAATAATTGCAGTTGGCTGATGTTTGGCCTGGCCAAAGGCTTTGCACAGTTCCTCCACACTGTGCCCATCGACGACGATAGCATGCCAGCTAGGAAGGCAAACAAACAGATTAGCTTTTAAAAGGATTTGCAGAGGCAAAGCTTTTTATAAGAGCTCCGTGCCGAATAAGCAAAAGCAAGCACTGAACTGGTACATATAGTTATATATTATTAATAAGCTACACGATGGCATTTTTTGTTGCAAGATGCAGCTAAGATCCAAAGAATAGCTTAAGTGCACCAAAGGGCTTGGCACGCCCAATGAGATGTTTTGCTATGTTTTTTGAACAGCGAAGCCCAAGCTGTATCACAGTTCGCTTTATCAAACTCCTCAGTAGTTTACCATGTGGCCTGGGGAGCTGCAGTTTGAAAGAAATTAAGACCAAGCTCTACTGGATGCTTAGGTTCTCTGGATGCTTACAGTTCTCTGGATCCCAGCGACATGTCAGAATCAGAAAATGTTGCACTTGGGCTTGTAGCCTTAGCTTATTCGTCTTCGTCTCTGACTTATGGCACGCTGAACAGTAGCAAATTTTAGTCCTAGCATATTCAGCCTAACCTTTATAAATGAATAATAAAAGAACCAGTAGCTAAGAATATTAGGCAAGAATGTGTCATAGACTAAAAGATAAATATCTTCCAAGTATTCATAAGCATAAAGGACCTTTGCAAAAACCAAGAATTAGCTCTCTGAATAATAAGTTTTTACTTTTTCCACTTACTATCGCATTCTCTTTGTGGGCACAAAGGCTATAAGGTACCTTCAACCTGTTTAACCACTTTATTAAAATAACTATAAACTAAAGCAAGGTCTAGAATACTTGTTAAGGACACAAGAATCTATAACAATAAATCCTTTCTGAAATAGAGGCAACACCTATGTGACCTAAAGGCTCAAATAGTTCAATGGGGCCTTTAAGTGTGTTTTAAGGAGTGAGGAAATAGCCAGTTTCCTCAAATGTGACAAATTTCAACAGAGCCAGAAATAAATGCTATGAAAGCATGACTGTGAACAGCTAAACAAATAAAAAAACCGCTTCCTTGCCATTTTGTGCCCTTCAAATGAAAGAACGGACTGACTCCTGGACAAAATTTAACAACCTGTATTGGCCTTTACTTTTCTGTATTTATGATCCCTTTATACTGACTATCATGGCTCCAAGTTGGATGCTGACGTCTCTGTTTGTGGAAGGGATTGAGATTCAGTGGAGGCTCCCAGTGCATGAAGAAGACAAGGTGATTTTCACCAAATCTGCCTTCTCCGTGTAGCCCCATGCACTCTGTATCCTGACACTCTGGAGCAGCTTTTCAGAGAGCACAGGAATTTTGGGGGAGGAATCAGGGGGGAAATGCCCTCTTCCTTCAGCAGGAGAGCCCTGTGGGAAGACTGCTGCCCATAGAGATTTTGACTCTGCATTTAATGATCCTCTGAACCCAATCCACAAATTGAAAAGAGCACAGAGCAACCAAGGTTGAAGACATCATATATTTCTCAAATACATACATACATACATACATACATACATACATACATACCCAAAGGCTTCACAACGTTTTTGGTAGATTTCAACGTGATGCTGCAGAGGCGCAGGGTCACTTTGTCCAAGTCGGTTAATGTCAAGAATAGCAACCAAATTATCCAGCTTGTAGAACCCAGCAAAGGCCATTGCTTCCCAAACTGAACCTTCAGACAATTCTCCATCACCAAGGACACAATAAACACGGTAGCTGCGTATTGAACAACAAAAAGCAGGGACTAAATATTCAGTATCGTAAGTTGACAAAGGAGGAAAAACACTTTTTCAGATAAGCCTACACAGTATGGACAATACAACGGTAGCCCCAATGAAACATTTTGCCTTTAAATGGCACTCTTCCTACATAGAATTTTGCTTTTAAATACTTTCCTTTCTTTTTACCATTTTTTGTTGCATCATTATTACATAACCTAGTTAGGTGTTACAGCAGCATATCTGTGTATCTGGAGAAAATAGGTTTGGATCTTAGGAGCAAAAGGCAGGCAGGGCACAGGACACCTCCGTGACTTACATCTCTAAAGCCCATCATGCCAGGCACATGCTTCCTAGCCTGATAGACTTTTGGTATAAAAAAAAAACTTCAAGTGACAGCGATGGAAAGTCCGGTATATCACTTCCTTTTATTCTGAAATTCAGACCCTGCCACCATCCCCAGCTTCCTGTGTGGCTGGGGAAGAACTGGATTTCAACACAGACCTGCTGCCGTTACATTCGGTTTCACCATTAGGACAGGGGCAGGAAACTTGTGGCTGCCCATATGCCTTGGACTACAGTGCCCACTATCTCTGAGCAATGGCCATGCTGGACAGAAGTTTCTAGTCCAGCAACATCTGAAAGGTCTTAAGTTTCCCACCGCTGACTTTGCTGTAGTCAGAACGAGTGCGCTTGGCATACTATTACACGGCCTTTCTCAAACTTGGGTCCCCAGATGTTGTTGGACCACAACTTCCATCATCCCTGACCGCTGGTCCTGGTAGCTAGGAATGATGGGAGTTGTAGTTCAACAACATCCAGGGACCCAAGTTTGCGAAAGGTTGCTATAATGTTTCCAAAGCATGCTCTCTGGGTGTATGATACTAAAGGCATTAAGATGTCTTAGGTTATTTCTGTTCTGGCGGCCACTTTATTTTGATTTATTCCTTTAATCAGAGAGAAAGTATACAATCTTCATTAGATGGGTCGATCCAAATGTCTTGTTTGTGTTGGTTTGTGACTCATCTATACTGGAAAAGCTTAAGTGATTTATAGTACTGGATGTGACATAAAATAAAGTTTACAAGCCTAAAAGGTGAATCAGACAAAGGCTCATCTAGTCCAGCTTTCTGTTTCTACCAGCAATTCAGCAAATGTGTTCTGGAAAATAGTCACCAAAACATAATTTTAAAATCTAATTTGAAATAATGAGTCAGTTTTGAAGACAGGAGGAAGAAAACACAACTTTTTAGGGCTGTGTCAAAGTAATCACAGAAAACTTACACATGTGCAGATAAAAGCTTTACGCTAGCTATGCCATATTTCTTATGGCTGCCATCCGCAGGGGTACGGACACAAGATTTATGCCTGCATTTGGGGATTTGGTTTGACAGGTCACACAAGGCTTGTGGATACTCTCCGATGTCCTGTTATATGATCAGGCTTGCACTACAGACATAAGCCTGCCTTAAATGTCATGGCTTCTCCCCTTCCCCAAGAATCATGGGAAGTATTGATCGTATTAAAAAGCCCTCTCCTCCCTTTATGGAATGAGCCTATGGAATGAGCTGCTGCAGGATATGATAGCAGCCACTAGCCTAGATGGCTTTAAAAGCAGATTAGACAAATTCATAGAATATAAAAGGCTATTAGCTGCCACTAGTTATGATGGCTATATGCTACCTCCAGATTTAGACAGGACGCCACTGAAATACGGTTGCTGGAAACAATAGTGGGAAATGTCTTCATATTCTGCTTGTGGGCTGCCATGGGGCATCTAACCGGCTAGACTAGATAGGTCTTTGCTCTGATGCAGCAAGATTCTGTCAGCACCCATGCAAAATTACAGCACCCATGCAAAATTACAGCACCCATGCAAAATTACAGTCATTTAGAAGCTATGTCTGACATTACTGGAACCTTAAGCACAGGTTAATATTGGTTTTAAGATTCTAACTTAAATGTGCCCTGAGAGGACAGCTTTTTTTCATAGTCATACACCATGAGAAACAGGGCTGCAGACAAGTATTATTCAGCTCCATAATGCAGGTTTTTAAGACCAAAATTCAAGCCCTCCTAGTGTAGTTCACTGAACTAACTTCATTTGTTCCTGTAGGCTGCTGTGGTTGTTAAGAGGCCTAATAATGTGTGCCCGTGTGCCCTAGAAAGTATTTAAGGATCTCGTAACGAGCAGCAAGAATAATCTGAAACACACATTATTCTCTACTTTTGGTTTTTCCGCCTAAGTCAAAGCCTCACCTAAAGGTAATCAAAATGAGTAACCAGAGGGAAGCTGTGAGTCATTAGTGCCAATTATTGTAGAACGAGAATGTAACCTTGAGGGGGGAAAGGTGCTCTAACAATGACTCTTACTGTAAAGCTGGAATGAATGCGTGCCTGCTAAACACACCATCACTGTGACTCAGCAAAATCCTTGGGAAAGCTCAGATATTACTTAACAAGTGCTGCTTATAATCTATCCAGCCAGAGGCAAGGATTTGCACATTATTCAATGTGTATATTTGAGTCTAAATGCTTAACCTGTAAGAACTGCTATACCTCAAGGGAAAACAAGTTGGGACACTAAAATGCTTGAAGTTTTGTTTGCTTGTTTTATAGTTCATAGCTCCAACCAGCACCAATGGAAACTCCCTTTCTGGGCTGAAGTGACAGCATGAGGCATATTTAGCAGAGGATAGAATTTCCCACCCACACATTGCTATTAGCTGTAAAAAAACAACAACCAAACATACAAATGCAACTTCCAAATGCATTTAGAGTCAAGTTTAATTTGGCCCTCAGTTGTGGCCTACTGCAGTTAAATAAAAGGTTCAGCCCCACTTCCATTATACTGGGTTTACCCCCACTTCTTTCGTGTCATTAGCATCTGCCACATGTAAAAGCACTGGGAGCGACAGTCTTGCACAGCAATGTTCCTTCTTGGTACGGCTGATTATATTAATATAGATTAGAAATTTTTTGATTTATTAAAAAGGTGCCCAAGACTCAGCCTTGCATTTAAGCACTAGCCTGGTAGTCACAAGTGATTAGGAACTGCATGCAGGTTGAGTGCATGATGCTATTCTAAGCAGGCAAGTGAGTGGTGTTAACAGAGGGATAGACGAGTCTGTCCCTGCTGAGCAACCAGCAGAGAGACTAAGGGAGCTGCCGGAGGATGGAAACCCTTTCCCATTTACTTCCAGCACAGAAATGCCACAGCTTGCTGCAAAAGGAACAGAGCTCTCCATCCATCCTTTGCTAGCCGCCAGCAAGCTTGTAAACAGTTCTGCAGGCTAGTAACTTCTATGGGCTTATTTACAAGGTCTGTGAGTTTTAAAAAGCAAAGCAAAAGAACCGATTTTTAAAACGTTCTTAGAAAAAGCTGCAGAGGGCAGGTGTTGTCTTTGAAGAGGCATCCCCTGTCCTCTCTCTCTTACAGAGGATGAAAGGTCTCTAGTAAGATGGCGCCTACTGCAACATGTGCAGGCATTCAAGAGTATGCTTGCATTGTTGTTTATTCTGATGCAAATTTACACAGTCATAGTCAACTAAAAACCATATGATCAAGTAACTAGCATTTCTTTAATCAGGTGACAGTTCTACTTTATGATTTTTTCAAATGAGCAAAGGCCAATATGGATTGTGATGCATCCTGGTAGGGACAGCAAGGGATAGAAAGAGCCACTGTGAAGTAACTGCTGCATTGTGCAATTTGATGCCATTTTTTTCTGGCAGACATTCAATGGGTGATTTGTGACCCATCCCAGTATCTCATGATGGGGAATGCACTGGCAGCAGCATTTAAACCTAATATGCAGCTGTTAAAAGGCCCAGAAGGCTGATGGAACAAAGTTGACAATCCTAGATGGACTTAACATTCCTCTCTCTAAGATTTTGTGAATCAAACTCAACTTCAAGTGACAGGGTCCCCCCCCCCCCCAGTTTAGCTTTTCTGCATTTCCTACTTCCTCAAATACTTTACAGATGACTGTATAATTTCTGGGCTGATTTGTCTATTTGCCGAAACATCAGTGTGCAAAATAAATGTATTTGTGTGAGAGGTGAGGTGGGGTGTGTGAATATAGCAAGCTGGCAATAATACAGCAAGGCAGGAATAAAAATGGATAAATACTGATGAGAGCAGTTCATGCTATCATCTACAGTAAATATCATTTGTGTTAGAGCACGTATCTGCAAACTTTATTAGTCACCTAGCTAAATTACGACTTTACAAAACCCTGGCTATTCCCCAGCATGACGTGCAAAGAGCCAGTGAGCACCAACCGTAGGCAGAGATAAAGTCTTTCTATGAATACCACCTGCCAGGCTGCATTAAGATCAGCACATCAGTGTACACAGAAATGCTTTCAAGCAAGTGAAGTGTGCAATGTAAAATTGCATTTACTCAGCAACCCAGATTTTCATGCTCTAATACTTTCACAAAAAATACATCAACTTCCCCAATACACACAGACAAATGCCTTTGGATATCTACTTTTCTTTAACACCACATGAAGATTTTCATACCAGTTCTAACAGGACTATTGCCCTTGAACTCACTACGAGTCGCACAACAGGGCTCTTCTGCATAATATCCTCTAACACCTTTGTTGGACAACGCTGTGTTGCCATAACAATCTTTGAACAAAATTCGCTTTCGCTCAAGCTAAATACTGCTTTCATATAAAGTCACCTTTCTATTCCATTGTCACTAGCATTATTTCTGCAGAGATATGGAGATTCTTGCTCTTTCTCTCATACGTACATGGGCACCGAACAAGCTATAATTGCAATTCAAAAGGTTGTGGACCAGATTTGGCATTTCTTTGCTCTGTGCCCAATTTAACAACAGATGAATCTTGTTAATTTAGCAGGGTCTGGATTCTCAAACTTGAGATTGGAAACTTGATTGTGTAACAGCATCATGGGCAGTTTTGCTTCATTTCCTTATCCATCCATACACCTCCATCCAAGCAAAGAGGGTAAAATATTTTCAAGATACCTGGCTTTGTCAAAGTACTTCCCGGTGTAAGCCATACCGCATGCAGCACCCAATCCTTGACCGAGCGATCCAGTAGCGACATCAGTGAATGCTTGTTTCTAAAAAGAAGCAATAGCATGTAATCAAAAGAATATCTACTTCATAAACTCTAAAGCTTTCAATCCTAGGCACACCAGCATTGAGCCCAGTTGGGGTTACTTCCAAGTAAGCATTCTCAGAACAGGCTGCAGGTTCAACCCTGACTCAAAGTTCCCACAGGTACATCTAGTGAAGCAGGGAAAGATACCAACCTAACTCTCTGAAGACTAATTTGTGAAACTCATCTTTTCGCCATCAATACTCATCTTTTTAGCCATCTATATTATCTAAGTACCATACCCCACCCAACCCCACCCTGCCCTTGAAATCTAGCCCTTAGTCAGCCTTAGCTGCCAGATCAAGCACTCCCTCTGAGCACTTCAGGAAGTCATGAGAAGAGCCTATGGGCTGCATCCAATACAACTGGCGTTCCATTCATGCAACAAGACTACTACCCCTACGTCTTCTGTGTGACCCCAAAATCTGCTCTGAATCAGATTTTAAGGGTGCACAAGGGGCTGCGGGGAAGAGGAAGCAGACATTCCCATGTGCAAGAGGTAGTATGTTGTGTGAGCAGATCAGCAGCACCGGATGCAACCCTACATGAGTAAATTAATGCAATACAGGTGTGTCAGGAGTTAAGTATTACTCTGCAGTCATAACCTATACTGCACATCTCTGAAGGTCTGAGATGCAAAAGCTGCACCTGCCCCAAATATTTAAAGCCCCGTTTTCTGCTCTTAGCTGGCAGCTGTTGCAATGGTCATGTTAAATAGATTCTAACAAACGAAGAAAGCATGCTGAACTAATTATCTTGATCAACTGTACATTTCAAAAACAGCTGCTCACTAGGTGAACCTGTGCCTGGCGACGCTCCCTCTTAACATCAGTCCAGAGACAAAGCAGACTGAGACCAGGCAACTGTCCATGGATCTGCCCTTCTACCACGTTCAAGAGCAGAGGGTGAGAGATCAAACTCTACAGCCACTTCCATGGGCTTCTGCATCTAGGGCAGGCAGTGGCAGTGTGTAGAGGGGATTTGTGATGAAGCATCCATCCATTCTCAGAGGTATGAGAGATGTGTCAGAGCATCATAAAAAGTAGCCTGTTTTAATAAAGGTAAAGGTAAAGGGACCTCTGACCATTAGGTCCAGTTGCAGACGACTCTGGGGTTGCGGCGCTCATCTCACTTTACTGGCCGAGAAAGCCGGCGTACAACTTCCGGGTCAGCATGTGGCCAGCATGACTAAGCCGCTTCTGGAGAACCAGAGCAGTGCACGGAAACGCCGTTTACCTTCCTGCCAGAGCGGCACCTATTTATCTACTTGCACTTTGTGCTTTTGAACTGCTAGGTTGGCAGGATCCTGTTTTAATACCATGGCTAATATTGACGTGCATGAAAGTAAAGGCATTGAGTGCCCTTCTAAAATGTAAAAGTAATCTTCTTTGGTTGCTTTCTCGGGGGAACGGGACACCTTTAACTATACTTCATTTGTTGTCAACTCATGGGTTTACTTCTGTTAAAGCATTGCTAAACTATCACTATGAACCAGATGTTGACAGTAGTGTAAAAGGTGCACAAACATTTTGATTCCTAAGGCAATCTCCCTGCGTTTTCCCGAAATACTCACTGGCACAGGGTGGCCTTCCAAAATGGAATCAATTTTCCTCAGGTTTAATAACTCTGATTCATGGAGGAAGCCTGCTTCAGCCCAGGCAGCATACAAGATTGGGGCTGCATGACCCTAGACGAAGGGGAAGAAACAAAATCAGCAATTGCAGACCATCTTAAGAAGAGAGGCAAAATAGCATGCAAGGATATGGAAATGCTCATGTCAACATGTTGTCCTCATATTCTGCTTGCAGGCATCTGGTTGTCTACTGCAAGAACAGGATGATGCTAGAGTAGATGGGATTTCTGCTTGATGCAGCAAAGCTCTTGTGGTTTTTTTTTTTTTTAAATTAACTATTGAGGAGAAAAACTATTAGATATCACACTAGTGACATGGTCTCTGCTGAAGGGTCTTATTCAAATCGGAGAGTTTAAATGAGGCAAAAAGGGACAGTGAACTAGAAGGGGGGAAAGGGGCTCAACGGAAAATGGGGACGGCTGTTCTAGAATAGGAAACAGCATGGCAAACATGGCAAAAACAGGAGTAGGAAGTAATGGAAAAGAGGGTGGAAGCAGACAAGCAGTTAGAACAGCAATAAGGGAAAGTTTAAAAAAAATAGGTATGTCTACATGTGCAAAGGGAAAAAAATATTTGAAGTCAACGACCAGAAGGCTGCAAATACTTTCTCCCAGTCCCTCCTGTGTTCTGCTCATTGTAGTAAAGGTAAAGGTAAAGGTACCCCTGCCCATACGGGCCAGTCTTGCCAGACTCTAGGGTTGTGCGCTCATCTCACTCTATAGGCCGGGAGCCAGCGCTGTCCGCAGACATTTCCGGGTCACGTGGCCAGTGTGACAAGCTGCATCTGGCGAGCCAGCGCAGCACACGGAACGCCGTTTACCTTCCCGCTGGTAAGCGGTCCCTATTTATCTACTTGCACCCGAAGGTGCTTTCGAACTGCTAGATTGGCAGGCACTGGGACCGAACGACGGGAGTGCACCCCGCCACGGGGATTCGAACCGCCGACCTTTCGATCGGCAAGTCCTAGGTGCAGAGGCTTTAACCCACAGCGCCACCCGCGTCCCTCTGCTCATTGTAGAGAGAAGCAAATGCCCAAAGTGAGAGATGAGAAAACAAAATCCCAAGGATCCTGCAATATATGGTGCCTCCTGGTTAATGGTTTGCTTCTCTTCATAAGTGGGTTTGAGCCCCACCCCCCATCTCAGGGTGTACAAAGAGGTAGAGATAAGGAGTAACAGCCCAAAGCAAAAGACAGCCGGCTGAATTTCAAGTTCCACTGAAATTAATGTCCTGTTGGTTAATTGTCCTACTGATTCCAATAGGACTTAGGTGTGACTAACTTGATTGGCATTTGAGCTAATGTCTCAAAAGCCCAAGGAGTTTGAAACAAGTGCATGAATCCAAGGGTCAGCGCAGAAATTGTGAAGGATGGCAAAGAAATTCTTGGGTTTTTTGCATTGTTGTATAAGAACACTGCTGAGGATATTTTTTTCCCCTGTTGCAAAGAGCCATTAGGAAACGGAGTAGAGTATTCAATCAGAGCTAGCCTTCAGGAGAGTAATGAAAAAGATCTAGCTCTTACCTTGGAAAGAACAAACCGGTCATTGTTAGGATTTCTGGGATCCTGCGGCTTGTACCTCATGGTATGGAAAAACAGCACAGACATGATTTCTGCAGCACTGCAACATGACGTTGGGTGGCTGCAAATCAAAGCACACGGAGCATTACAACTGCAGCCTCTTGTCGGGTCACATTTCTGTCACTGAAACACCAACATGCTCATCCTTCCAGGCTTCCACAGGGAAACGTGCCATTAGAAGTGCCTGTGAGAACTCCTTCCATCTACTATCATCCTAGTGTCCATTAGCTCTGATCAGTTAAGAGAAGAGGATGTCGTGTTATCTCCCCCAAAATGGATGCCGAAATGTAAGCTTCGGTGACAGAACACCTTGAGCTACTTTCTCTCCGCTAAGATCAAGAAAGAGCATCAGAATTAGCAGCTATTGTGTTCATGAAGTTACACATTCACCTACTTTTAGAGAAAAGCTTCATTTCCTGTGAAAGGCCCAAGGAGATCTCCTTGACCTGAACGAAGCCCTGACAATACTTAGGTATTTTGGGAAAATGGCCCCTTGCCTATGGTTTATTATACATGGCTACAGGGTATTCGCCGCCTAGATGCCACTGGACTCTACTTCTCACCAGCCCCAGCCAGGATGATGGAAGTGTAGTCCAGCAATATCTGAAAGGACACAAGTTAGCCACTTTGAAAGAGCACTTATCTGACTAGATATTAAGTTTTAATGAGCACTTATAAAGGAAAGTTAAGCTTCAGAAAACAAGTTGGTGCATTATGACATTGGATATGTTTTCTCTCTTTCGAGAGCACAAGTTGAAGGAGATTTGCAGCAGGGATTTCAATGACATTGTGAAGGAGCATGTCATGTATGATTTTCTCCTGAGCTTCAGGGAAGGGTTTCAGTTGGTTTGCAAAATAATCATGTCAGTACATTACTAAAAGGAAGATGAACAGGAGAGATGCCCTTTCTAGCACTGCAGATTATTAGGCTATTTCAGGACAAGAAACAAGCACAATTCTGTTTAACCTAGTATAAACTTGAAGTGGCTTGCTTCCTCCTCCTCTATATCCCAATGTGATCTTAAGGATCAACAGCAAACAATTCTTATAGTACCACACCTGAGTATCATGTTCGGGCAGCAAGAGAGATTCTCCACAGTTGTTAAACTAATTTCTTTAAGAGGTTTCTAAAAGCCCCGACTTGCCTTGAAAAGAAAAAGAAAAACCTCAATAGATCTGGCTTTTGAATGGTGGAGTGGGAATTCTTCCCCCCACTTCATTTTTCATTTGTGAATATTTGTCATACCCTTTTAAGATATTGCCTACCCTGAACGATTATCACAGGGAAACTAGAAATTAACGTTTCTAGGGATTGGAGAAATTGAGAAAGCAAGCATGACCCTGCAGTGTGATTTACTTTGTCTCTAAAAGACAGAATTTATAAGAATGCATACAGTTAATTATAGATAGTATAACAGCATTCCATAAGCAAGGCATCTGGATTTCAGAATTTGGACTTATCAATAATATATCATTTATTTTAATATATTTAACAGAATTTTACAGCTCAACCCTATGTAAGATTACTTAGCCCTGCTTCAAGTGTGGAGAAACCTTTTGGCTCCACAGGCCAGATCCAACTCATGGGCCACATTTAACAAGTGAGTGAGGATGCCTACCTGCCAACCCACATTCTGTCACAAACAATATCAAGGATTTTTGCCCTTTGAAATCCCAAAGTCAGGACCTCAAAGTTTGTAGGAGGCAGGAAGGCACTGCTAACATCTGTTTCACTACAAGGGGTTTACAGTGAAACAGCTGCTGAAATGAAAAAAAAAGCTAGCTTTTAGCAGTGCTTTGCTACCTGCTGAGTGTTCTGAAAGTGCAGCCAAACTGAGCAGATTTGGGTGTGTGAGGGAGTTTCCTGTAGGATCACCCTTTCTTTGCATCAGCCAATGTACCAGGAGGGCAATCCTGCTTAGTGCTGGGTACCAGTTTTGTGCAGCATTTCAAAGGCCCCCCACCCTTATCTGTATGACCCTCAGGTGTTGGACAGGTGAGCATGGCTTGCACAAAATGGCTTTGCAGTCCAAATGGGGAAAGTTGGCAGGCCAAAACTGGCCCCCTGGGCTGGAGGTTCCTCATTCCTGTCCTACTGGGTTCAGTGAGGCTTAAAAGGTAAAGGTAAAGGTAAAGGTAAAGGGACCCCTGCCCGTTTGGTCCAGTCACGGATGACTCTGGGGTTGTGGCGCTCATCCAGCTTTACTGGCTGAGGGAGCCAGCATACAGCTTCTGGGTCATGTGGCCAGCATGACTAAGCCGCTTCTGGCAAACTAGAGCAGTGCACGGAAACGCCATTTACCTTCCCGCCAGAGCGGTGCCTATTTATCTACTTGCACTTCGATGTGCTTTCGAACTGCTAGGTTGGCAGGAGGAGGGACCGAGCAACAGGAGCTCACTCCGCCGCAGGGATTCGAACCGCCGACCTTCTGATCGGCAAGCCCAAGGCTCAGTGGTTTAACCCACAGTGCCATCCGCGTCCCGATGAGGCTTACTCCCTAGTATAAGTGTATTATGGACTGCAGAATTAGAGTAAAACTGTTCGTAAATTTATGGCTGAAATCTGTGACCTAGGATCACGCTCAGTTTTAAACATTACTAGTCTAAAAGCGTCAGTAGCTTGTAATGATCCAGTGGAATGAATTGTCAGTTGTACTAGCTGACATGCTATAGGGCAGCTATAATAGTTAACAGCCAGAAATCCTGTTCATAGAGTAACGGTCTACTAGTTTGGCTGTCACAAGGCATTTTCCCTTTACATTTTCCATGCATGTTAGCATTTTTAAAATCCTAAATCCAAACACATGATACAACAGTTGTATGACATCCACAGGATTTAAGGCTATATAATGTGCTAATTATCAAGCTGCCAATTAAATATTGCTTCCTAATCCAAACTCCTTTGGGAACAGCACTCTCGTTAACAATTTCTTAAAACACATGCAAATGCTTTTTTTAAAAAACAGGAGTAAAGGTTAGTGCTCATCCCTTGTTAAGTGCTTGCACACTAGGAATTAAAATAATTAGATTTAAGTCACGACTCAAAAACATGTATTAGTAAATATTTACACATGGCTGTTAATCAGTAAACCTTACATGCTTGCTTAAAAGGCTTTCATTCCTTAAATCTTATAAATGTTATACTTAACCATCTCTCTAAAGAACTGCTGCTCTGAGGGTAAAGTTTTTAAATAAACCTATTGGTGAACATGTAGAAGAAGAAAAATTAAACAGGGAATGAAAACAAACATTTAAAAAAATTAAAGCAACCAATTAAAAACATTTTACCACAACAATTCTCAATTCCAACAAAGAATCTTAAGGCACCTTAAATGCCAGCTAATTTATTACAGCATATGTTGTAGTAGACAAGAGTCCATTTCATCAGACAAGACTTCTTGCTGTTTTGCTGCAGCAGACTAACACAGCTACCCCTCTGGGCACTCAGATATAGATACAGATATAAATACATAGTTATAGAAATACAGATATTTGTGGTAGGGGACTTCAATAATTGTTAGCATTAAAAAAAAATTTAAAACAGGTTTAAAATTATATTAATAAAATATAAAAACTGAAAATTGAGCTACCTATCCACTGGAGGGGGAGATGTTACATGTGCTTAGGATTGCAACCTTGGTTACCAGGAAACAAGTCCGATTAAACTTGGCAAGATGGACAACACAGTTCTAGCCACATTTACTCAAAAGTAAGTCTTACTGAATTCAACAGGGCTTACTTACAGGTATGTGGGAGTATGACAGCAGCTTTAGGATTAGATTGCAAAATACTGATATTGCAAAAAAGCACACACTAAGCAATAGTGTTCTGCAAGTACCACTAATTTTCATAAGACTTCTGCAAAAGGCTTCAAGCAGATTTCAAAATGAACTAAGGTGTTGCAGAAGACGTAGTAGAGGACACCCTCTACCTTTCAGCTTCCATCAGTAACTGGAATTCAGTTTACAAACCGAGCTACGCTCCAATATCTGAAATTCAACACATTCCACGTAAAAAACAATTCCTGTTGAAACTAGAGATTTTCAACTATTGGCCAATGTGCAAAATAACTTGTTCCCTATACATTTGCAAACATCACTCCCAATACGGACAACATGTTTTGGAAAAGGAATGTAAACACAGTGGATTCTATGGAAATACATTCATACGTAACTTCCTTCTTGCAATTTCTTAAAAAATAAAATATTCCTCTGAAACTACAATAACCATTTGTTCTTTCTCAAACCTCTCTTCTTTCAATCGTCAAATTCTATTAGTTCTGGTCAAACTGCTTGGATTAACACAAAACAAACAGAGCTGCAATACAAAAGATGCCTACTCAGCATGGACAGTTGATTAAGCAAAAACGCACCAAGTGCCAGCGGGTGGGGTGGAATTATGCAAAGGCAAATATGACCAAAAGGAGTAGAAAGGCGTAACAACATGAAAGCATAAAACAACCAATTTCGGCTTTTACCAAGAAGAGACATTTGGAAACATGCACCACAATCTTGATGGAGGTTGTGAACCCATGTTAAGAAAGTCACTTATTCCAGATGTTGGCAAAGGAGGCAGTAGTCAAGAGACTACCTTGACTTGCTGCACTTAAAAGGACCTGCAAAAACCAATGTGATTGCTCAGGTTGAGCATGCAGGGCCAGCTGGGTAGGACAGCCAGCAGCCTACAGCCACCAATCACCAGGTCTGTGAACTCAGGGCTTGTGCTAAAGGCAGGGATGCTTCAGGAAGTTGCTATCACTATGCAACATGGCCCAGACGCCATCTAGCTCTATTTCTCCTTGTTATCTGAATCCTTGACCAGTGCCCAGATGCATGGGATGCTTCTAGTGAAACCAGTGTGGCAACATAAGGAACTTACAGATGAGCTGAGATGTAAGAAGGGAATGAATAAGAAGTGGAAGAAATGGGAAATCCCAAAGGAAGAGTATTCATGAGTTACCAGCAGTTGCAGGGGAAAGGTCAGGTGGGCCAAATCTCAGACTTGCAAGAGAGGTTAAAAATAACAAAAAAGTCAGGAGTCATCAGCAAAAAGCTAATGCTATTCTAGGCTGCGTCAACAGAAGTACAGTGTTCCAATCAAGGAAAGTAATAGTCCTACTCTATTCTATTTTAGTCAGACCACACCTGGACTCTTGTGTCCAGTTCTGGGCACCACACTTTAAGAAGGATGTTGACAAGCTGGAATATGTGCAGAGGAAGGCAACCAAGATTATCAAGGGTTTAGAAACCAAGTCTTATGAGGAACAGATTAAGGAGCTGGGTATGTTTAACCTGGAGAAGAGGAGACTGAGAGGAGATATGATAGCCATCTTCAAATATCTAAAGAGCTGTCACATGGAAGATGGAGCAAGCTTGTTTTCTCCTGCTCTGAAGCAGATAGGATTTGAACCAATGAATTGAAGTTACAAAAAAGAAAGAAAGAGAGACTCAGGAAGAACTTTGACAGTAAGAGCTGTTTGACAGTGGAATGGGAGGTCCCTTGGGAGGTTGTGGACTCTCCTTTGTTGGAGGTTTTAAAGCAGAGGTTGGGTGGCCATCTGTCATGTATATATAGTTGGGATTCCTGCATTGCAGGGGGTTGGACTAGAAGACCCTTGGGATCACTTCCAACTCTATAATTCTATGAGGACCAGTAAGTAGATACTGAATCCAGACAAGAGGGAGGTCCTGTAGATTAGTAGATTGCTTTCTCTGGAATTAGGTAGACAGCCTGTTCTGGGTGCAGTCACAGTCCCCTTGAAAAGGCAGTTACATAGTCTGAGCATGCACTCATTCATCATTGCCATTCAAGGAAGATAAGTGTCCTCATGGACAAAGGCTGCCTCCTCCTTCCAGCTCTGGATTGTTTGTCGCCATCACCATCACCTACTTCTACCTCTGGCTCCTCCCACAACTGGCATGTTACCCGCCCCCTGGTGGTCATGAGACCCTTTTAAGACTCTACTAGATGGCTCAGTCTGGACACAATAGGGAAAGAGGACTAAAAGACTACCCAAGCGTCCTCAGGCACTTTTCTGTTAGTGCAAACAAAGAAGTGGGTAGGGCATATCAACTGGAGACTTGCAGAGCCCCATAACATGATTCATCATGCATTTACTTCTGGCCATTTTCTGCTCCCAAGGAGTGGCAAGAACTGATATCCATCTATTCATTCTACATCTATTCATTCTAGTATCTGGCCCCAGGGATAACAAAGGAGGAATTAGATCTTGCCGAACTGAGTACTGAGTCTCTGCTCCCTGCTTTTTACTAAAGAGACTGTTCAAATAAATATTGATCCTGTATTTGAATGTACTGTACAATCACATTGTTCCCATCTCTTAATTTCCCAGTCACTAGGCTTTGCATCCCCACAGTCTCCTTCAGACAGAACTCCAACTGACCTCAAAAAATAAAACAGGAACCACCTTGATGTTGTAAAATGGTAAATATAGCTATTGCAACACCACACCGAGAATAAGAAAGACAACTTCCTTCTAAGGGTTCTGCTTTATGGTTAGGTACTTTCTTCCCCTACCCCCAGAACCTGCTTCGTTTTCCCCCCACTCATTCCATATCCTTCCTCAGAAATGGTTTTGCCTTAACAAATTACTTTATTACAAGAGATGTAGCCATTTGTGATAGAGTCACATTTTAATGCGCATAAAAATTAGCATAGGCTTTGAAAGTACAGAAGAGCTGTGACCAAGGCTGAGGAATGCTATTTGCCCTCAACTAGAGACACACTCAAAGTCTGGTGAATCCAAACTGCCTCTCTATCCATTTGCAAGCTCTTAAGTTGATTGCTAAAGAATGCATGATATATATTTGGGAAGTATGAAACTGAATTAAAAAGAAATAGAGATTGCAGAATGAGGCTGCATTGCCTGCTCTGGAGAGTCACGGCATTGACAGAATCAATTTGCTGCTCTGGATCCAGATTTGCTGCTTGTAGCTCAGCTGGCAATGGTAGCTAGTTATAAATGATTTTTGCGTGCCCAGGCAAAGTCCCCACCCCACCGGGAGCCAGACCTCAGGATCAAGCAGGAGACACGACAACATCTTTAGGGATTAAAATGGCCACAACTTTATTGAATTTCACATGTTGGAAACTTTGGCATAGGCACTGGGTGTGTATCCCTCTCAGCCCCCCTGCTGGGGGTCTGAGGCAAGTCACAGTCAAACGGGAATATGGGGCCCCTGCAAAATGTGTGTTTACGCAACTGGCTCTCTCCCACGTCACTGGGGGGAGTTCTATGGCCCACTTGTTGTGCCCTTGTGGACAAAGACTCCCCTCAAGACCCCTTTAACAGGGTACCCTGGTGTCGCTGCCGAAAAGGGATAAGTCACCACTTTACCCTCTTTCAGTTGTTAAGACTAAAGGATTCCGCCCAATGCCTAAAATCGCCAAAGTTGTGACAATTGCTATTGGGTAGGCAAAACCTGTAGAGCAGGGGAAATTATTTCCCAGCTGTGAGAAAACAGCAGCCATTGTACAACCATATCAACGCCAGAGAACCTAGAAAGGAGAAAGGTTAGCCTGTAAGAAAAAACAAGATTAGAGGTCAGCTCTGGCCCCTTTTTATGCTTCTGGAGCGGACCAGAGTGAAGCCTGCTCCAACTCAGTCTGCTGCTCTTGCCCCACCCCAAGGCCACCGCGGATAGGCCGGAATTTGAATCTGGGCTTGGTGGGAACCCATCAGGCACTGCGGCAGCCAGGAGGGCGGAGCAACCACCCGCAGAACAGCATGGCTTCAGGAGGACGGTGAAGCCGTGCACCGAGTTGCTAACACCACCCACAACCAATATAAAGTCATTTTGAGCTCCATCTGGGAGAATAAGGTTTTTGCCACCTTCTACATGACTTGGTGAACTTTAGGATCAAGCAGAACACGCTCCTTTCAAGGCAAATCAGGCACGATGATTAGAACTAATATCAGTTTTAAAATACACTTGCATTTAAATTCTTGCTGTTGTTACTTCTCTTACGAAGGGACTCGTTATAAGGCTGTTCCCTGTTTGTTCCAAACTCCTCTAATACTGTGAGCTGCCCTGAACACAGCTACAGAGGAAGCATCTAGTAAGAGTTAGGCTATGAAAGAGGAGAACTATCCTGCCAGCAGAATAGAGCACCCATGAAGATGCTACAACTGAAGTCACATGTGCACTTTCATTTCCCCCAGCTTTTCTGCCTTAATGGTGCACCAAGGCATCAGCCATACCTATGGTGTGTCAATTCAGACAATCATGGAATTACAGCTAGTACAAGCAAACTCACTTCATATCATGTTCCCCGTTGTAATTTTCAGTTCCATTACAAATCATGGTTTCTCAGGTCTGATGTCACATTGAACCAACGTTAAGGCTGAACTATGGTGCAATGGTTTGAATTCATTCAAATTCAAAATGGGTCCATCACTTTTCTTTTGTCGCAACTTTGTTGCCCAACACAAGGTGGAAGGGTTTACATTTATATATATATGTATTATTATCCCTAATCCTTCAGATGGACCTCAGAACAGAATGTGTGGTTGTCAGAATTTAACATTCCATTTAAATGAGATTCAGTGCAGGAATGCCTCCAACGATGGCATTTTCATGCACCTTACAAAATTCAGTGAGATCACTGCAGACAAAAGGAATTTAAAATGTGGGCAGATGTTTCAACCTTACAGAAAACTTTTGCTTCTAAAAATTAAATTTTAAAATGTGACAATGTGAACCTTAAATAATATAGCACACACAATCAACAGAAAATGAAAAAAATACAATCCATAGCTGAAACAAAGTAAATATATTGTAAAGAGATTTTAGAAAATCAGTGTTTGTCAATGGAACATTAAATAAACCTGTTTGATGTGGGGAAATAGCTTGATTTTCACATCAAAAGACAATGGATTTTTCCCATCGCAGAGTACAAGCAAAACTAGACTAACTCTGGAATCTGCAGGCAGAGCCTAAAATAACCTCTATTCTAAAGCCTGAATAAACTGCCCATATGAGACTTCAGGCATTTGAAAAATAATCCCACTTTGGCGAACTTGAAATTTTGCTGATAATTAGTTACGACTGTTGGGTACAAAAGAAAGAATTTGGCTGAAAGCATAAATTGTTTTTCTTCCAACTGTGTGTCAAGAGAGCATTCCTGAGTTCCCTTTCTGTCATATCATACGCATGAAGAACCTTATATCCCAATTCATCTGTGTCAAAAATACACTGTCAATATTATACTCTCACGCTTTCTGGGTGCTCTGATTTTAGCTGCCCACTTTAGCTGCACATGATTAAAGCAGACAGCATTATGGTAGAAGGGTTGATTCTGCACGCTATCCACACGGAGCCAAACATTTGGACACACACACTACATGCATAAACAAACTGTATGAGTATAATCAGAAAAGCTCCTATACAGTATTTAAGAGCAATTAACTCCGTTCTCTTTCTAATCCTAACATTGGTCTATTCAAAAGTTGTCCCATTGAGTTTAATGGGACTTACTCCCAGATAAATGTGTATAGGGCTGCAGGCACCAGCTGAAAATGGGTTTGTTCAGCTCCTTGGAACTTACACAAATCCCAAATTCAATCCAGCTACAGATGAAGCAAATAAGCTATCTAATTCTATTTGCACCTTCACTATATCTGCAACCTTCTAAAGTGATTTGTAATGGCTACATCTTCTATCCAAAGAAAATCCTCCATTAAATTGTATGGCTGTTGAAAGCTTTAGGTTGCCAAACCAGGTTTGCTTATTACATGAGTTGTGAAACATAACTGACACCTAAAGATTGCTTTAAACCTGCATTTCAAAACCTAATGGAAGCTCTGAACTCATTTTGCAACTCAAAATTCAAGGTTTCCCAGTAAGAACAAAGATCTTCAGCTCTATATTTTATTTATCATTACTGCTTTTTAAGAAAAGAGGGGGGGAAACAGGTGGTATGCAAACAGGTATAATGTTTAAGATATCGCTAACCCATTTGGGCAAAGCTGTGAAATAAATTATTGCTCCAAGAGAAACACCCTACTGAACTCAAATACAATGTTTAGGTAACAGTGTATGCACATTGTGGCTTGATGACCGATGCATGTCAATGGATTTCAACAGTCAGATCTCTGCAGAAATCCCCTGGACTGCACACACGCGCAACAGTAAGAAGCAAGATTTGGACCAAATTTCATCCAGAGGCACAGAAGTCCACACAAACAGATGGTAGTGTCAAGGCTGTTTGACACATTAGTAGCCTTGCTCTAGAATCATTTGTAGCAGGACCAGGGAAGGAAAGCACAACTATCTTCTTGGGCTACACAGTACTGTACCAAAGAGACACCTAAGTAGGGGCTACCTTTTGCTAGCTAGGATTATTAAGAGTGAAGGGACGAGACGAGAACTTATCCATCTTATGGGGTGAAATGCCAATAATGGTACAATCTGTTTAAGGAGATAGCAAGTACATTTTCCTACCTTCAGGCAGTTGGATAATGCTTTGATATGTTGTGGGTTGGAGCAAAAAATAGATGTTAAGAGAGTTGACCCCACCTTGCTCAGAAAATGGTAAGGGTCTGTTCTTAGGAGGATAGCCAGCACCCAAGTAAGATCTACCCTGGGATAAAGGTGGCATGGGACATTTACAGAAGGCATCAACAGAGCAACTTTCCGCCCCCACCCCACACTGTGGGTGGGAAACGTGGGGCAAGATCAAAGGCGGGCGGCCAGTGCTGAATATGTCAGGCAGACTGCTGCCATCCCTCCGTGAGTTCATTTCAGCTCTGGAGAAACAGGTCTGCACTCCGGAAGCGGCGTCTATTACAGGGGAAAGGCATGCAAACGGTGCTCGGTTCAACCTTTAGCATCTCCACTGTAGGGCTGGGAGAACCTCTCTGCCTGGAAACCCCGAGTGCCGACTGCCAGTCCGAGTCGCGCAACACTAAGCTACGACCAAAGGTGAGGCAGTTTTCCTTCGTCGTGCTAAGCAAGACAGGCTGCCTTGATCCCTCGTCTGCGAGATCCGGGGCCTTCCAAGAGAGAAGGCGTGACTGGCCGGCAGGCGTGTGAGCCCCGGCACTTCTCTGGTGAGGGAGGTTCGCTGTGCCTGAGTCGAGCCCGGCTCCCTCCCTCCCTCCCTCCCTCTCCCCCTTGGCTCACCCGGAGCCAGCCGCGGTGGTGGCCTTGATGGAGTTGATGCGCAGCCGATTGGCCGTGTCCTTCAGGGCCTGCAGCGTCTGCTGGTCGGGCTTGTGATAATCCTCCATGGCGAAGCAGGAACGTGGCCGGCGGCGGGCTCGGGTTGCAGGCGGCGGCGGCGGCAGGAGCTGGAGCGTGTGGCGCTGGACAGGCCCGGGCTCGGCGACTGAGGCAGGAGAGGCGGAGCTGCTCGGCCGGGCGAGGAGGGGCCAGGCGCCGGGGCCACCTCTGCCAGCGGCGCGCGGGCGGAGTCCTGCCTGCCTGCCTGGCCGATAAGCCCCCGCCTCCCCAGCAGCGCGCTGCCTGCGGACTGAGCTCTCCCGCCCGCCTGCGAAGGCCAGCCGCTCCCCTCCCGAGGAAGGGAGGCGCGGCTGAGGCGCAGAAAACAGCCGCGTCCTCTTCCCTCTCGCTCCGCGCGCAACGGGAGCAGGGCGCGGCTGAGCGCCATTTGCGCAGCGGCGAAGTGGAAAAGCCCAGGGTGCAACTCAGCCCGCGTAGGGCGCAGGGCTTGCTTTCTATCCGGCCCTCCAGGTGCTGTTGGACTCCGGCTCCCATCACCCGCAGCCAGCAGGGCCAATGGTGAGGGATGCTGGGAATTGGAGTCCAAGAACACCTGGGCCCGCAAGTTTCCCCCAGCCACGCCTTGTAATGGCATTCTGTGCTTGCGATGTTGCTGGGGAACGCTCAAAAATGGAGAGAGAGCCAGTGTGGTGTAGTGGTTAAGAGTGGTGGACTCGTAAACTGGTGAACTGGGTTCGCTTCCTCACTCCTCCACATGCAGCTGCTGGGTGACCTTGGACTAGTCACACTTCTCTGAAGTCTCTCAGCCTCACTCATCTCACAGAGTGTTTGTTGTGGGGGAGGAAGGGAAAGGAGAATGTTAGCCGCTTTGAGACTCCTTCGGGTAGTGATAAAGCGGGATATCAAATCCAAAACTCATCCTCTTCTATTTTTCTTGAAAAAGAGGTGCTGGAAGTCACCAGGAACGCCTCCCAAGTTCTCTTAGAATGGCAATGAGGCCCACCTGAGATGAGTTCTGAGTGAAAAAAGTGCTGGGAATAATGTTCTGCACCTCCTCCATTGAAGACTTTAAGTGTAAAATGAACCATATTTCTTACATACATTAGCCTCCACTGTGCCTCAGTTTTCCCCGTGGAAACACTGGGTGAGCACCTGGAAACCCCTGAAATCCTGCTTGGGGGTTCCAAAGTTGGGAAAAGTCGCTGAGAAGGCCCTCTCTTGTGTCCCTACCAAGCGTGCCTGTGAGGGTGGCAGGACTGAGAAGGATCTTCAGAGGGTCTCCTCTGAAGATCTCAGAACATGGGCAGGTTCATAAGAAGGAATATGGTCTTTCAGATAGCTTGGACCCACAGAGCATTATAACTAGCACTTTGACTTATGCCCCAAAACAGACCAGTGGAGCTGTTACGCTCCCTATAACCAGACCCAGTCAACAATCTGGCTGCAGCTCTTTGGACCAGTTGAAGTTTCTGAGCACTTTTCAAAGGCAGCCCCATGTAGAGCGTATTATAGTGATCCAAATGGGATGTAGCTAAGCTGCATGTGTCACACTGGCCAAATACATCTCAAGGAACGGATGCAGCTGGTGCACTAGCCTTAACTGTGCAAATGCACTCCTAGCCACCGTAGAGACGGCATCCATGCTCAGGACTGAGTCCAGGAGCATTACGTAGGGGTTGTTCCGGGGCCCCGTGCACATAAGTGGAATCGCATAAAGTGGAGAGCACCCTCTATATGCCTATTTCCCCCTTCAGCTCTATCTCACGCTCTCTCTCCACTCCAGACCAAATTAAGAGTTTGGAGTTGAAGCTCTGGGGCTGGCTGGAGGCCCCGTGGAAAAGCGGCAGCTGCTGCTGCTGTGCTACCCCGTGCATCAGCTGTTCGGTGGGGAGGCTGAGCGGCTTAAACAAAGCCACACTAAGCCTCTTTCGGACTTCCTCTGCCCTCACTGACATCCTCTTTAGGTTCCAGGGATGGGATGGTTCCATTTACTTACCGTATTGGCCTGAATATAAACCTCTTTCCCCCCAAATTCTGACCATGAAAAGTTAAAGTGTGGCTTATATTCATGACCTTACAGTGACCTTACAGCCAGGAGCGCAGCAGTGCCAAGAGTGCGGCAAAGCTGTGCCTGCCTCACGCGTAGTCCCCTGTCCCCCCCCCACCCCAGGTCAGGAAGGGAGAGAGTGAGGAAGGGGAAAGGCTGCCAGCAATGCAGCACGGCTCCCCCCTCCCCCCCCCCCAGTATGCAGCCAGGAGCAGCAAGGAATGGAGCGGCTTATAGTTGGGTATTTTTCCTTTCCTCCCCCCCACCAATTTTAAAGGTGTGGCTTATATTCAGGCCAATATGGTATTTCTCAGTGCTGTGCATATGTGCGGTCATGTACAAGTATAACGCACGTAAGTAGGGGGATGCTTGTATTCAGGTTACATCTTCATCAACTTGAATGAAACAGTTAATTTCAGAAAACATCCTGGCTTTTTAAAGATGCTAAGCCTGTCAGGTGAATGTCTTACACCATCTCCAATGATGTTTTCTCCTTAGCTTCTTTCCCCAATTTCATAATTGTATATTCCCTGGGTAAATGTGGCATCAGATGTTCGTATAGCATATGTTAAAGATTTATATTAAAGTGTTAAAGCAAACGAAAAGGAACACAGATGCAAGAATCTAGGGTTGCATTCAATGTTAGTCCACATACAGTACCTCCATTGAAGTTAATGGGCACGACTAACTCAGATCCATTAATTTCAATGGGTCTACTCAATGTTAGTTAGCTACAATCCCAAGAGTCACATTTTTGTGTTAAAGTACAGATACGTCTGGTTTTTGAAGACGGTACCCAATTATCAAACCTTCATAAAAGCTTTCAACAGCTCTCCTAAGCTGGACTTCCTTTTCAAAAGGTGAACTGCCACCAAGAAGATATTAGGACAGACCAGAACATTTGTCTTTGAAGTTTTATTACAAAAATATATCTGCAAACATACAAAATTTTCAATGAAAAATGCTTATTCTTAAACATTTATGCAATAACTTAATATTTGCCAATATAATAAGATGGCACAAATTACATACCCATATACTGAAATGTTAATGAAGCATTATGGTGACAGTTTTAAAAGTTGCTCAAATGCTAGTGGGCACAATCCAGGCCACCACAGGTGCAGTGCCAGTATGTAGAGGATTCCAACAAGTTCAATATATATCAGCTCCCAATACCCCCACCTATATATGTGCGTAGAAGGATGAATAACTTCAACCAAGCAGTCAAGGACTACGAATATGAATGAGACGCGCGTACAAAAGTTCCATTCCTCCTCCTATCGGTCTCTTGTACTTCCTATGTGCCCACAAAAAATGGGGAAACAGGGCTCTATTGATCCTATGGGAATCATTCAGGTGTGAATGCTGTGCCTGTGGAACAGGACCATGCCCATTGTTTTCCTATAGTAATCACTTAAAATCCAAAAGATCGGAAGCACCTCAAACTCTTGATATGCATGTGAGTGCAAATTAAAGCGCTAAACCCAAACACTGAGTGTAGTGTGCATTTTTAACAGAGAACCACCATGTGCCCACAATGTTAAATTGGTACAAAAACAAACCACAGGGGGAAGATTATTGCAAATGTTTCCCACTTAAAGTGAAGATATTGCACCTTTAACATGTTCGCGAAAGATGTTCAAAACTGAGGTGAAATATATATTGCACACATTCCTCTTTTTAAAGATATGCTTAAGAAGCAACTCATGTAAGCCAACAAGAGGTGGCTGGGTTTTTGTGTCAGACCACTCCACATTAAATATATTTCCTGGAAAGTTCCACACTAATTATACCCGTGCCTAAACATGGCATTGGTGGAATGCCCTAAATTCAAGCAAAAGAGAACTACGGGGGGAGGGGGGAGATACCATTTAGTATGCCTGAAACATGATTATACTCTCTGGCTTAGATCCAAAGTTCCAGGGAGTGAAATGTCACTCTCAGAAGATGGAAATGTGGAAGCTGTTTCCACCAACTCTTCCTTTCTACCAAAACTACTCTGGAGGGCTGAGGAACCTTCCAGAAAACTGAAGCGGCATGGGGGGGGGGCAAGGAGGAAACGGGGATCTGCAAGACCTTCCCCCTTTCCTTCAGCAACATTTGTCTCTTCCACAGAATGAGCTTTTCTGTTCATGGAAGAAACGTTGAATCCAACCCCACGTCAGAATAAGACATGCTTTTACTTGTCATGCTGTCATATTGTGCCTTAGCTCTTAGCAGACTGTTTACATTTTGCCGGGTGTGTCACAAATACAGAGTTGCTAGGCACATTTTTAACAAAACATTGTTAATGCAACAGAACAAAACAGCAATGAGTTCTTATTGAGTAAGCTGCTTGTTTTAAAGCCACTTTTGGATGGACAAATATTAAGCAATTTTTAATAAAATGCTGCATATAGGCAACGAAAAAATACATGCTTAAGATACTGAATATTGATTTTAGGACAGTCTAAAATCATACATTTGCTTGTGGGAAATAATACCTTGCTAAAATAAAAGCTTGAAAAGAATGGCCCAAGTCGGTTAGCTATGTACTTGTTACTGTTGCATGCGGGTAAGAATAAAATGTTTCATTATAACTCTAAACTTCTACAAGAGATTAAAAGACCAAATTGCACTGAGAACAGACCTATTGTAATCATTCAACTTAAGGAACTTAATTCCATCAATTTCAATAGGTTTACTCTGATTACTGTTGGATATGACAATATGTAATCAGGCTAAAGCTGTCCAGTGATTTCTGCATTTTGTAAGCATCTGTGATTTTCACCTTGCAGCTGAGTTTTGTTTTTCAAAGCAATTCTTAAAATGTTTGGTTTTGTTTCATTTGTTAACTTCTCACGCTACAATAAGCAATAAAAGCAGAATGCTGCTTTGTATTGCCTAGCTTGCCTGTGACCTCCCAGCTTGAGCCTGCTACATACACAAATGTTGTTAACGACGTGTGTAAGATCCTAGGTTAATGCAAATCTACTGACAAAAAATAAATAAATTCAACTTTCTTCTAGCTAAGGGAATTCTCTTTGGAAGCAGAGAACTATTTATTGATGCTGCACATACTTCTATCAGTTGAGAACTCTGACCTGCCAAGCTACCAGATGAGGTTTCTAGGGAATTATAATGCAAAACAGTAAACAGGAGGACAAAGTGTACTGGGACAAATATTCTTTGAAACAGTGATGCTGTCTGAAGCAAAACTCTCTCTCACCTTGAAGTCACAAAACCGTAATGGTACATTCAATAGCCAACGTGCTCCCCAGATGTTGGTTTACTATCCCCCTCAGCCCTACCCAGTATGGTCAGTGGTCAGGGAGTTGCAGTTCAACATCTGGAGGGAACCACACTGGCTCCTTCTGCTTCATTTCCACAGATATTTGGATACAATGCTTACTTTGACCATTATGACCAAGTTCAGCTCAATATCGTTATTCCTCCAATATTATGCTTATGGCTAAGAAGGTTTTCTTCTTTCCATATACAATAATTAAGGACTGTTCTTGAGTCTTTATTATCTACTAACACAGCATTATATAAATCTGGTTCAGGGGGTATGGTTAATACAGCCACTTAAAATAAACTGAAGAGTACTGCAGTGGCTTGATCCCCCCCCCCCGGAAAAAGCTTCATATAGAATAATTCTGTTTAAATAAGCAAGCATGTTTTTCTTGGTGCACATACATGGGTGTGCTATCAAAGGTCCAGCATTTAAGTAGAGCTCTCATGTTTCCTTAAAAAAAAAAAGGTCTAGAAAGCATTTGAGTTTTACCATTAAAGCCAAAACATTAGTTGAATATGCATATCACTACTAACATATTTCCCTGAATTCTGCACATATATCTGATATAAAATACTATGTTTGCAACTAGAAACACTGAGTTCAAAGGCCGAAGAGGTTCTCTCAAAAGGCAGATTTTGCTAAACATAAAAACACCTACTTAAAATCACTCAAAATGAAGTACATATTTTGATTTTTTTAAAATCCAACACGCTATATATCAAAACACTGATTTGTGGTGGAATCATAATTAAAGCTTGGTAGATGAATTACAGATAGTATCTGCACCTTGAAGGGATCATCGTTACATTTAAATTTTAAGAGCAACAGGTACATTCTAATTCAGGACCTTTTCCATTGCAAACTCTACCAAAAGAAGGGGGCCTTTATAAGATCCTGGCTGTGCTTTTTATCAAGCCCTACTCATTTCAGTGGCTTGCACAGGAAACTGATTGTAACACATGGATCCTCCATTCCAGCAATGCTTTGACAAATAAGCAGTGTGTGTTAAAAGGATTACAAAATTACCTTTCACAATATAAAACAAAGACCTTCTACTAAAAAACAAAAACCACCCCATCCTTTAATATTAGTATTGCTTGAACATATTGAGATTTATGTTACACTAGAGTATTGCTAGCTACTATCACATGCCATAATGAAATAAATACAAGTCAAGGAGAGACCGATAGCAGCATATAAAACAACAAGGAGATCAGAGCAACTTCCTTTGGGAAGAAGTTTGATCTTTACAGTGGTAATGAAATCTTAACCTTCTATGAGAACTCACAAAAACCTGCAAATGGAGGGAAAATATGGGGAGAAGAGCAGACTGCATTTGTTGTTTATGTGCCCATTTTTTAACACCAAAAACAAAATTATACACACTTCTCTGGGTTCCTTCCCATCTATGCTACAGGCAAACCTCCAAAATTTGCATTAAGCCTGGAAAGGACAATAAGGGGACCACAATGATGTTCCATCCATTTCTGTTTAAAAATTATTTGCTTGAAAATAGTATCATTAACAAAATATAAGAACACTGCAAGTATTGTTAAAGGGGTATTTCATAATCCACCTTCATTTTGCCTTAGTAAAACTTAGGGATGCATAAGCCAGCGCTGCATATTAAGGGAGTCAGTTTGATGGTCAATACCATGCTGAGTCCATCCAGTTCTAAGGCTAAAAAACCCCCAGCATTTTTACAGTGTTTTCCACTGTTTCCTCCAAACCCTAAAATGATCGTCCGCATTCCTTCCACGGCTCTTTAAATCAGAAGTTAGCTTCACAACTTGTTATCTTTACTCAACTGCCAAAGATGGCTTAGGCCACATTCACCCTAATTATTTAGATGTATGTACCAGATGAAGAAAAATCAAAACGGTTTTTCATATTACTCTAAACCCACTCAAAAATAATGTGCTGTTAAACATGAAGACCATTTTCCGCATACAGAAATAAAACCCTGCTGGTGATTGGTCACAGTGAAACCTAGATCACTTCTGAGAACATTAGTTATGCAATTTTAAGGGACAAGGTCTCCTTACTTTAACAAAACTTAAAACTTCAACTAAAAACAACCTTTAAAAATATTAACAGTTTCACAGAAGAGGCATAATTGTTTCTGAAACAATTAGGTGGTAAGTTGAACTGTATTTACTTCAGTTATAGTTTGATGCTGTCCGTATTCTTGGTCAAGACTTGTAAATAAACTTCATGAAGCGTACTAAGAAAATTCGCATCGTTCTGAAGGAAAGAGAGGGGGAAACCATAATTAAACCAATGACAGAAATAATTCATTACTTTTTCCTACCCAATTCATTATTCTACACCTATTAACAAAACCTGTAAGTTTAGGAGTTGGGTAGGAGGCATGAAGGAGGAAGTTTAATAAAGCTATACAGTGGTACCTCGCGTTACATATGCTTCAGGTTACATACGTTTCAGGTTACAGACTCTGCTAACCCAGAAATAGTACCTCGGGTTAAGAACTTTGCTTCAGGATGAGAACAGAAATCGTGCTCCAGCGACGCGGCAGCAGCGGGAGGCCCCATTAGCTAAAGTGGTGTTTCAGGTTAAGAACAGTTTCAGGTTAAGAACGGACCTCCAGAACGAATTAAGTACTTAACCCGAGGTACCACTGTACTATCAATGATATATAGCTCAGAAATATCACTGAGCATATACTGCACAGAAAAGCAGTTACCACGTTTCTGCTGCCAAAATACTGTGGCGGAGATAACAGAAGGCCAAATAAGAACTGGGAAGAGAAGGGACAACTCTCTTCCTCTCTGGGACCCAGTGAAGGGAGAGACTCAGGCTGCACCTAATAGTTAGGTGGCTGTGATTGATGGCACTCTATGCTTTAAATGGCTCATCCCTGTGCCCACCACCACAATGAAACTAAGCAGAACCATAGAATCCTAGAGTTCGGAGCCCAAGCAACATCTAGTCCAACCCACTGCGTGCAAGAATCTCAACTAAAGCATCCATGACAGATGGCCATCAACTGCCTCCTACATCCTACTGCACCTCCTACATCCAGTGCATGTGGGCAAGGGGACTCTGTGTTCAGTGATAATGAATGTGAGTAATCTGCTTCCAGTTCTTCAGGAAGGGGAGCGGAATCTGCAAACCATAGTCTTATTATATTGTTATTCTATCAAATTAATGAAGTGTTTTTTCAGCAACTCAAGTTGCGAGCCTCTTTTAATGCAAGGTGCCTTTTAAATTTTAAGTATTCCCTTTCAAAGCTACTGTGCTTTTTAAAACTATACAAACACACACACTGAGGAAAGGGTGCAAATTTAATAAAACAACTAATTTGCAGTCTGTCCTGACCTTATGGGATAAATGTAACTGCCCAATTCAGTGCTCAAGGCAATTCCAGTGTAACTTGGTAACACTATCAAAATTCATCTGGGCTGTTTAGATTGTTTTCAACCTGAGGAAGCAGTATGGATTTTAAAATGAATTCTTTCTAGATTAAAGCCGGATCAATCTTATTTACAAGGGTACACTACTGTGGTACCTCGGGTTAAGTACTTAATTTGTTCTGGAGGTCTGTTCTTAACCTGAAACTGTTCTTAACGTGAAGCACCACTTTAGCTAATGGGGCCTCCCGCTGCCACCGCGCCGCCGGAGCCTGATTTCTGTTCTTATCCTGAAGCAAAGTTCTTAACCTGAAGCACTATTTCTGGGTTAGTTAGCGGAGTGTGTAACCTGAAGCGTATGTAACCTGAAGCGTATGTAACCCGAGGTACCACTGTACTAGAAACCTTTTAGAAGGGTGCTTGCAAAGTAACTAAGAGAAGAAAAGGTAAAGTGAATGCGGAAGTACAGAGAAACAGAGAGAAGTGACGAAAACTAGTGACAGGGGAGTATTATGAACTAACAAATCCATGTTAAGTCTCAAAGTGAAAGCTAATGAGGGAAACCTGCATAAGTGAATGCAACTGTACAAGAAGAATCTGAATTAGTACAGCAAGCACACGCTTAAAGACAAGAGGGCTCACTTGTTTTGGATGATAACTAAGAAGCAGACAGCAATGAAATAAAAAGTCAGTATCTGAATATGTAGGATTTTACCTGCCTTGAGGTTTGGATCACTATACTTTTCCATTTAGTCTCTTCCTGTATTTTGAGTATAGCCCGGGTTGAGTTAGGCAGGGCATTTTCACTATCTGACCTCCATGGACCAGCTGAGCTGGCATCATCATCATCATTGGCCAGGCCTCTACAAATCTACCTATACACATGGCCTGGCACTTTCAATGTTACCATCATGTGAATTTGCATCTCAAATTAAACATAATCAACAACAAACATCCTGCCAGTTATTCGTATTTCTGGTTCTTCATTGAAAAAATATACCTTTGTATACTAGGTGGGCAATTCTAAGCCAATAAATTCATGAAAATTAGACAAACATAAAAGATGTGACCGTTGGGTTTTTATGGTCTTATACTAATGAGAATGCGAACCTAAAGTGCCATTTAAAAGGGTGAGAATCTTTTGTAATGCCCCAACAGAGGAATCACCTCCCAGGAAAGGCTCGCCTCTCACCTATTTTAGTATCTTTCCATAGTAAAAAAAATCCTCTCTTATTCTCTTAAGAATCAGCTATATTAATTCATTTATATCTACATTTAATGGTAACTTGGAACGTGGTTTTAGTGAGGATGTGTAGTGGCTCTTCATTACCGTTTTATTACTTGACTTTTAGCCCCTGCTCCAGCTGTTTTGTTTTACAGGGATTCTGTGCTGTCATTTGACTGGTGTTTTATTTGGACTGGTGTTTTAAATTGTTTTATTCATTCATCACTTAAAGAACTCTAGTTATAATAAATGTAACAATCAGATGAGCTTTGCATTTTGGATCCACATATAGCTTATGGAACATTGTAGCACTATTTTTTAAATACTCCTCCACTGAAGGGAAGCGGAGTTTAATACAGTAATAATATTATCAACAACTGTTAACCAGGTCGGACATACACAAAGCAGAGAGCAGACTAAAGGCCAGAAACAGCATTTGTGAAGCTTTAAGACAACACAAAGCACATTCTCAAGATCACTGAAAGTGCGGCATGATTTTAATTACAAAGTAAAATTGCTGACAGTTGACCTCTGTTCAAAGGGGCTCTTCTCCCCTCCCTTCAGTCAGCAAGTCTCTTTGTTTCACTTGCGGTTCTGACAGGGGAAAAGAAACAGCAGGTTGTGCAGAAAAAAAACTACAAAGAAACAAAACAGAGGCCACAAAGCTGATTATGTGACCCGAGTACAGGCCCATTTTATTCCTAACAATTCTATTACCAAAACACTAATTTCTGTGTCCTGTTATTTTTAGATCTGTACTCTGTATGCAAGACTTACTGATATCAGTATAGAACGAACTAGAGAGCCCTGATGTAGCACAAAGGTTTGTGACCCTGGTGATGACAGAAAGGGCAAAACAATCCTCTTAATGTAAGCCTGTCCTAGGTGCAAGATGTCTCTTTGTGATTCACTGGATTTACTGGCACACTTACAAAGCAGCCTTGCAGCTGAAGCCAATATATAACTAAAAAAACCAATTTTTCAAGTCAGCCAGTGTGCTTTTGCTGACTAAATACGAGCGTCAATGACTTCTCAAATATTTCATAACAGAATAAACTGAGGATGGCCAAGCCACTTGGAACTTCTAATGAACAAACTCCTGTGGTAAAGCGGTTGATTTGTGATCTCCAACTACACCTTTGTAACCTATTTTGCTAAACGTTTTCATGTATAAAGTCAAACATCTTCCATCTTTATTTTTCCCATCCTTCTGAACTTACGGATTAGATTCACTCAAAAGAAGTGAACTAAGGGAAGGTTGAGCAGTTCTTTAAAATGCAGACAGCACTTATTTCTTCCTCTGATTGTGAACAATTTTGACAGTTCAAAAATCAGAACCCTCTACGTACCCAACAGATTTCAGGTGCCACGGCCACAGCAGACTTTTAAAACAAAATTTGCAACTTGGGAGGTGCTGATTATCCACTTTTCCCCTTCAGCAGTTATCATTTGGCTTAGAAATATGAACTCCAAATATTTCTGAATCAGTCCTGAAGAGCATACCTCTTGCCTCAAAATCCTTAGATCCTTTTGCGTCCGGCATCCGTTCCGGAGCCCTGGACGTTCAACAAAAGAGACCCTCAACAAAGCGCTGCTCTGCACATGCGCAGAAGCGTGATTTAGTGCTTCTGCGCGTGCGCGAGCAGCAAACCCGGAAGTAACCCGTTCCGGTACTTCTGGGTTTGCCATGGATGTTCAGCGAAATGGACCCTAAACAGGGAGGACTCAAAACAAGTGTACTTGGAGAGTTGTCCTTGGTAGATGACACTTACGTTAGCATATTTAATAATAAAATTGTGTTATTTAACTGAATTAACAATTCTCAGGTTTTTAAGGTTATCAATATCATTACCACTTAAAATATTGATAACAGTTTTCTAGTTGCTGCTTTTATTGCTAAATGATCCAACACACCTATCGGTGTTATTCCTCCTAACCTTCTTTATGGTACCCACTGACAATCGGCACTTTATTCTCAATCAAGAGTCCAAATGAGTCACTGACTGTACCTTTATTAGATATATTAAGGTTTCTTGAAGCTGAGATCTAGTAAGAACTGTCGGAGGTAATGTTGGAACATCCACTGCTCCAAGAGTGAGAGGAGAAGAGGAACCAACTTTGTTTTCGATGTCGGAGGACTTCATAGCTGACTGTTGGAACACACTAGGTGACAAGAGGACTGAAGGTGCCATTGTGGTTGTAGCTGCAGCAAACTGTGGGGAAGCAACCTGCAAAAACAAGAAATCAAATGAGATGGGGATGATTTTTTTTCTCCTTTTTTAAAGAACTATCTAGAAATATTAAAGCCTCTTCCGACATTACCTTTCTGGTACTGTTTGAAGTCCCAGTTAAAATAGCAGGAACTAGTGATGTAGCTCCATGGCACACCGGCAAAAGAAGCGGCTGCTTCACTGACTCTTATGTGACCTGGGCGCTTCCAACATTATACAAGCTGCAGGGACTTGCATGCAGAAATGAAGCGGCTTAAGTTGAAAGGGACTCACAAAAGCTATGGATGCTAACAGTAACCACTGTGACCAACTTGGATCACAACGCCTTTCAGGAAATAATAAACCCAAATTTTTATTCTGGCATACTAATGTGGTAGCTCAAAGAGAACTCTGTAGCAATTTACAATAATATGGATAGCAGTACAATTGTTGATGCCTTCTTGGACTCTTTGTACCAGCATATAAACTTGATATTATAAAGAAATGAGAGATTACTAAGATGTGCTTTGGAAAAATTGGGCACTTTTATAGAGAGCAGCCAATTGCATTATTGTTTTATGAGCTTCAAGGGAAAGGATTGTTGGCTAGGCATATTTCAATTCTTGCAAGACCTGGAGGTCTCCAGAAGGAGTATACTAGCAAAGGAGAACTAAAAGGTAAAGGGACCCCTGACCATTAGGTCCAGTCGTGACCCACTCTGGGGTTGCAGCGCTCATCTTGCTTTACCGGCCGAGGGAGCCGGCGTACAGCTTCCGGGTCATGTGGCCAGCATGACTAAGCCACTTCTGGCGAACCAGAGCAGCGCACGGAAACGCCATTTACCTTCCCGCCAGAGCTGTACCTATTTATCTACTTGCACTTTGAGGTGCTTTCAAACTGCTAGGTTGGCAGGGGGGGCCACTAGGGGGCGCATCGGAAGATGGCTGACAACAACATCTCTCCGACCCACATGAGGTAATTTGGAGGCTATGATGGGGGTAATTAGCCTCCTTAACCCCTCCAGGATTGTGGGGGGGACGGCCCTTGCCTGCTGTGCCCTATACCACCCCGAATTTGTGGGGATGGGGGCACTAGGCACAAAGCCCTCCTGTGGGATTCCGGCACTCCTCGATGCCGTCTCTGATCCGCGCCACTAGTTTGCAAGAATCTTCAAAAGAAACAATTTGGACGAGATAAATTGCACATACTTCAAGGAAAGAGGGGGAGTAAAGACTGCTGACAGAAGAGATCTCTGATAAAACAAGACAAGAATAAGATATGAGAAGATACGTCAAGATACGGTACGGCAAATGACTGAGAGGGGAGGGGGGAAAAAACCCTCCTTTATTTCTCTATGTGATTAAACAAGAATCCCCTCCCCTAATGAGTCAGAAATGTCGTTTTAAGGACTTAAGTTGTGGATTTAAGGCTGTGTGGAGATAAATTTTCGAACCAAAGCAATGTTCCAAGACGAAGCTGGAAAGTTAAGAGTTTTGGAATGACGCAGTTAAAAATGCCATCGCCATTTTGGGAGGCACTGTTGGAGCTCTTGTGTCTGGGAGGAGAAAGAGAGAAACTGAGTTGTTTACATATCGTGGACTAACTCCTCAGTGGGACTTAAGAGTGACAACTGCCTAATTTATGATGGAAAGAGCGATGTTATCTACGAAGGAGATGATATATGGAAACCATCTGGACTTAGATTGGAAGAACGGGAAATTCACACAGGATTATTATATTTGCTTATCGGCTTAAGGAGACTAACAGAAGAGATCGTAAAGGAAAAAGAGAAATTATATGAACAAGATATGATGTGGAAACACCAAGATAAGATTGGATAGAACTATGAACTCTGTTTGGACTGATTGGGACTGATTTGGACATTAATGCAGTAATAAGAAGATGATTTGAATCCCCCTTTGGATCTTGAAGTATGGGTTCCCCCAACAAAATTTAAAAATTTGGCTTTGTAATTTGGAATTTATGTGATGTGATTTAATTTGATGTGATTGGCCAGTTAATAAAAGTTATTAAAAAAACAAAAACAAAAAACAAACTGCTAGGTTGGCAGGAGCAGGGACCGAGCAATGGGAGCTCACCCCGTCACGGGGATTCAAACCGACGACCTTCTGATTGGCTAGTCCTAGGCTCTGTGGTTTAACTCACAGCGCCACCCGCGCCCCCTAAAGGAGAACTAGGTCATCCTAATTAATGGATAGGGATCAGGATTCAAGACACATTGGGTTGTCAGCCTGGATGGAACCAGGTTTTGTTGAGAATTGGCCTTTGCACAAATCCAGACAGGGAAAGACACTCTGGCGATGCAAGGATTTAAATACATACTTGGCTTGCCTTTGACAAAGCTTTGGGGTGTGAAAATGTTTCAAGCTCCTTGCTTTGCTGTGCAACCTACAATTTTAAAGAAAGAAATACGTAGTATCTGAACAATCCAGCATTCCAGCATTCTTCTTACATTCCCCCCTTTAAAAAATGCATACACATGCTATTGCTTCATTTCTTAAATAAGATACCTAAGGTAACCTATTATATGAGTTCGTAACCAAAATTGTCGGTTACGTACTGTACTTCTCCTCACCGCAATGTTGTTTGGAAAGGTGAGACTTGGTCTTCCAGATTCAAGCACAGTTCTCTGACCATCTAGTCTCTACTGACATAATCAACAAATACTGTTTTGGCCGGATACACAATTTCATCTGTATTGGACCAAAGTGTTCTGATCAATACATCACTTTTAAAGACAAACACTGAAAACCCAACATTGCTAAAAAATAAGTACCGTATAGGACACACTTTTTCCCCTCCAAAAATTAAGGGGAAATGTGTGTGCGTCCTATGGAGCAAATGCAGGCTCCTTGGCTTCAGCGATAGCAACGCGAAGCCTCCAAAGCGCAGAGGGAGCGCTCCCTCCGCGTTCCGGAGGCTTCGCGTTGCTTTCACCGAAGCCTGGAGAGCGAGAGGCGTCGGTGTGCACCGACCCCTCTCGCTCTCCAGGCTTCAGGGATAGCCGCCTGAAGCCTTCGGAGCGCAACGCGAGTTCACGCTGTGTTCTGGAGGCTTCAGGTTCCTTTCGCTGAAGCCAGGAGAGGTTGCGCGCAGCTAAAGAGGAAGCCAAGACAGCGAGCGGGATCCATCCTGCTTGCTGTCTTGGCTTGTGACATAGCCACGCGCAACCCCTCCAGCAGGGAGAGGTTGCGCACAGCCTGTACGCTGCTCTTTGGGGCTGGGGGGGAAATAAGATTTTTTTCTTGATTTCCCCCTCTAAAAACTAGGTGCGCCCTATGGAGCGAAAAATACGGTAACTGGCTAGCCAGAACAGCGTTATAAAGCACCCTTTACAAGACTAGTATCCAATACAAACGTCCAATTCACCCGCTAGCAAGAAATAAATTGTGTTGGCACTTTCAGACTCAAATAACATAGTGTAATAACATGAGAACCGCTGCTAACAGCACTAACCTACCAATGTTTTTACAATCAACCTTATTGCTGAAGAAATCTACATATATTAATTTACTAGGAGCCGCAACCCCTGCTCATTTTGCTCGCCCAAGCCATGCACCTTAATTAATTTACTAGGAGCCGCAACCCCTGCTCATTTTGCTCGCTCAAGCCATGCACCACAGCTCGCCTAGGCAGCAGCCCAGGCAAGCCACAGAGGAACAGGCAGGAGAAGCTGGGGCAGCTCCCCAGCAATTGTCCTGCTCTGCTGCCACTTCCCTCCGTGGCCTTCCATGCCGATGAGGCTGGAATAGCAAAAGCCATGAGAGGCGTGCAGTGGCAGCAGAGCAGGACAGCTGATGGGAAGCTGGTCTTCTGCAGCTCACCTGGGCTGCACTCCGCCTGCTTGCTCCACCCACTTGCCTCCATACCTGGGCTGCCCGCCTGCTTCTCTATTGTGAACAGCAGTGTGATAACACTCTAACCATTTTATTATACACTAAGAGAACTGACCTGAACAGGTGGAATTGCTTTACCAGTCAGGGCTTGTTTGGTGTGGGATTCTTTGAAACGATCTGGGGTCGCCAGCTGGCTAGCGGCAGAAGAGGAGTTAGACGCTACTGGCGCTTTATTTGCCGACTGCTGCATAACATCATGTTGTGGGGTCAACCTGAGTTTTTGAAGGAGATCCGTATTTGCAAGCGGCATGTTCGAAGCGCTTTCTGTACTGGTTGCAGCCAAAGATGTTAAGAATTGGTTCTGACTGGGAGTGATGTTCTGCGGACCGTGGTTCATATCAGATGGCTGCTGATTCACAAGCGGAGACATTTGCTTGGCAGCCTGCTGCATAACTTGCAGCATGTTATTGTTTGTGCTGCCGCTCTGAAGCATTTGCACACAGGGAGCTTCTGTGGCCAGAGTGGAATTAAGGTTAGGGCTTAGCTGTACAGCATAGTTTGGAGCTTTATTCACTTCAGGTTGTGGGGCAGAAGGTGAGGCAATCAGTAAAGGCGGCATACACTCCTGTGGCAATAAGGTACAAGAATTACTTTTGAAGCTTGAGCCATCCAGTTTCCCCAGAGGCTGATGGATCACTGTCGACTGCTCAAATGAAAAAGGAAGGAGCAAATTGTGCTCTCTGCATGAGGAATCGGGCTTCTTGGTTCTCTCTGGATTAGAGTAGGGAACTGTACTGTGTTCCTTTGGAAATGAAGTTCCAAATAACTCTTCCACTGTTAGGTGTTTTGGTATGGATGAGCACAGCTAGAAATAGAGAAAAAAAGAACGACCAGAAGATCAGCTTAAAATGTATACAAAGACAAGTCTCCAGTAAATTAGTGGTAGTGTGTAGAATTTAAAAGAGAACAGCTTGCTAAAAGTTGTAGGGCCATGCAAAAAACTCATTATGGGCCATAGGTTTTATCAACAATGTTTTTATACTTATGTGGCACAATATGCTTGTATATCACGATGAAACAATGTATGCTAACAACCAATTCTTGGAATCCCAATTGTAAGAGTTTGTTTTCCTACTGCTTTTCATTGTCCTTAAAACTGCAAAGCATTTTAATCTGCAAATACCTTTAAGGAGAGAAGATTTATCAGGTGACTTAAAAAAATGATGGAGCCATAAGCAGACTTGCCCCAAGAAGCTATTTATTTTCATACTCCTTCACCCATTCTACACAGATATCGCCATCCTATCTCATGGCAGTCCAAATGATAGTTCAAGGAATAATCAGTTTCGCCTCACAAATAAGTAGTTCATATTTGTAAAGATTGCAAACTATAGTAGATAAGTACAAAAAAGGAGTTTAAAGTAGAAGTAAGATCTGCATATGGGCATAGGAAGGAATGAGCTGCTAGAAGGCCAACAAAAGGGTAGTGGGTTACTTTGCCTGGCATGGTGTGTTACTGTACACAAGGCAGGGCTCCAGCATGGAGGAGTAATGGGGTTGTGTGTTATTACTGCAAGGATTTATTTGCTCCCTGTGCACAGAAGGAAATCTTCATGGTCAGAAAATTAGCTCCCTGCCACTTTCAGAACTGCAAAACTCATTTATATTATAATTTTGTTGGAAGCCGTTTCATAATACAATATAATAAAAGACGAACACATCTAAATGAAAAGAAAAAGAAATAGCAAAGTCGTCTCTCAAATAGATCTTAACCCTTGTCTCACAGAGAATGGGGTTGACCCTTCCAGTTATCACCTGAGAGATTCCCTTTCTTCCCTTCCCTGCATCTCACACAGGCTCCTTCACCAGCCAGCCATTACCTTCCATGTGTGTATAATCCCAATAGTGGCCCAGAGTAGAAGACACCAAAAAGGAAGGGAGGGAGGGAAAGAAGAGAATAATAAAAGGGGAAAAGGTGGCTGAGAAAGAGAAATAAAAAGGATGGGAAAACTCCTGTGATCTAGAAGTGTAACATTTTAGAATCTTACAGCACTGGTTCACTTTAATCTTCAATTCCATACTAATAATTGGGACTATGCACCCCAAACCCCATTAAGAGCCAAAAAGGCAGATAAGACTACTTCTGATCAACTGCATCAATTTAAAAATTGAAACTTCCAACATCCAACATTCTCCTTGTAGATCTGTCAAAAACCCTCAGTGGCTTCAGTAAGACAAAATGGCCCTAAAACCCCATTTCTAGAAGGAGACTCTCCAAGATTAAATTGTGCACCACTCCTTTTCCTCCATTAGATGGCACTATTAGCAGGCACAAGACCTACAAGAGCTGCTCATCTTATTTCTTGCAACCAATTTTCTGTATTAGTATACAGTATCTTTCTTGGCTATATGTCTCACTTCTTAGCCAAAGCTCCTGTTTAGTTGACTGATAAGCCTTACAATGTCCAGTGAGGGCCAAAAGCTGGCCAAGGTGGTTGGAATTCATAAAATGTTTAGGGGTATGCACCCCCCCTGTGTCCCCCCAGAAAAAAAGGACTTGATACAACCCCATGATCCACTTATTATAAAGGTAACAAAACAGTGCAGTAGTGTCACAGTGCTTTAAAATGAACATACATGGTCTTGCATTTGTAACATTGATGATCCATGCTCTGAAATCTCTGTATTTTCCGTCTTTGTGGGGTTTGCACTTGGTTGTGTCCAACAAATGAGGTCACTCTTCTGATTCTAGAAAATAAAATGCATTATTGTTTTTAATTCCCACTCAGACGTGTTTATTTTTCGCACCCCTCTATAAACCTCCCAGGAAGATCTCTGCCTCACCTGCTCTTCTTCTCTCTGAACTTTACGCTTTTCACAACATACTATCTATTCAATATTGTGGTGATCACATTGCACAATCCTATGATAGTTCTGCCAGTGTCATGCTAAAGGCACAACTTGATCAGAAGCTGATTAAACATTATGGCCAGCATCACCCAGCTTCAACCCAAACAGTTCTCCCAGCTGTTGTCAGCTAGACAAGAATGCATGACTCAGGCCATTTGGGTTACCCAAATGAATGGAGAAGATACAGAATGTCTACACAACAGAGTTTTTAAACATCTCTCACAGCTATACAACTGGGTGCACGTCCTCTAAAAGGGTAGATGTGCTTACACTTGTGAAAATACACACCAAGGTGTACACAGAACAATTATAAAATTAGCTAGAACAGTCATGAGTCCAGCATGTTTCCAGGCATTAGGCAAATGTACTAACAGCACTAAAATAAAGTGATGATTCAGCTTCATGGTTCAAGAGACCTGCCAGTTTAAATCTTTTGAGTGTGCCATTTATGATGCAGTCAACAGAGCTGAAGTTGACAGTCTTTGCTGCTGTTGGAGAAAAAATTCAGTCGATATATTACCTTACGCAAAGTTTTTCCCCAAGTACAAGCTTCAAGCTTTATGAGCTGACCATCAACACAAGGAAGTTAAGCTGACTGTAGCAAGCTGCAAGCTGCAAACATGGCCAGCAATGGAAACCTGCCACATCACTACAACTTTCGATAAATATGTAAAGATTTACTTTACCTTACAGATTTAAAATTCACAACATAGATTGACAATACCCTCTCTGCTGTGTCCCTGTCTCTCCCCCCCCCCCCCCAATTTCCTGCACTTTTAGTGTGGTTAACATTTTGGTAAGGAATTTAAGCCCATTTTCATTGTTTATAAACGCGATCCCAAAATATCATTGCTTGTTTAATGCCAGGTTACAAAAAGTGTTATAATCTTTCTGAAGAGGGAGGGGAAAAGTTAGCTATTTAAAAAAAGAATCCACCCACTAACCAAACTCATTCATTTTCACATACGGACTGGATGCAGAGAGTACATGAAAGATTAAGCTGGTTTAGAATCCTATATTAAATCACTCAGGCAGTTACAAAGCTCTTTTCTCACTCCTGGCTACCCATTCTCATGCCGACTCTCTGCCCACCACATGTGGGCTGCATAGCAGGATTATTTTATGATCCATCTGGACTGTACTAGGCAGATTTTTCTATAAAACGCAAATTCATCTATAATTATTATAGACTCAAGATAATTGGCAAGGAATTAGTAAGAGGAATGACATAAAAACATACACATGCTTGAAAAAGCATGCAATTAAAAGAATTAGGAGCAATAATGTGTAAGACACATGACACAGCAACAGAAAGAACCCACAACTAAACAGCATAAAACACTAATTCAATTTATACCAGGAGTTTATTTCTAAAGCTTCTCTCTCATTTCTTTCATTAAACAGGTACTTTACAGATCTGCATATTTAGAAGCATCACCTCTGAAAACCAAATTGGATAGCTGTGGTTTAGGGCACATTTCAATAGCTGGAGGAGTTATGCAAAGTATGTGCAAGAATGTGGAGTCAGAGTCCCTGCCTCCCACAGATGGAAGAGGCAGCATTATAATGAATTCAACCTGCCCTGAGTGTACAGAATGGTGTATACATTTAATCAAGTGATTCAATTCAGGCTGTCCAAGCTATTCATATTAGACCCCAAGAGAAAAGAGGGCATGCAGATTTAGACAGAAAGTTAGCTTACAATGATGTTTACAAGACAGACAAGTAGACATATTTTCCAGAATGGTTCACATGATTAAGATTGCCAAATTATTTCTGGGCTTCTCCTTTGTCTTTAACAGCATGGAAAGCAGAAAATTAGGTGAAGGTTTTCTTTATTCCATTATGTAGCTACAGTAATAATAATGTTAATGTCTCAACGTTGTTGAATTGTGTTGAGAAATCCCATGAACAGCGTTGTGGCCACAAAACATTCCACACATGAAGAGGGGGAGGGGGGAGTATTTTCAATGACCTCTCCTTCCTCCCGTCACTCCCTGAAAGGTGTACTCTAGCACTAGGGGACCCTTCAGAAAAGTGTGGCAGGTGGTGAATAAGGCTTCATGGGAAAATTGCCATAAGTCATCTTCTCATCCATGAATGGGAACTCCTGGTGGATCCAAGCCTCTTTCAAAAAATGGAAGGAGATACCCTGGACCCAACTCATTGAAACTGCTCCTTTTCTTAATTTATTCTACTCCACCACCTTAAAAAAATCAAAATCAATGAGTACCTGCTAATTCTCTCGTCTCTTATTACCTCTAGTCCTACCTGATTCATTTAACATCTCTCCTTGAGTAGGGAGGGAACAAGATGGGTGGGGGCTGGAAGTAGATGAGACGTACACGGTGCACACGTTCTGAAGGACTGGACACCCCACCACAGGCGAGTTGGAGGGATGGTGGGGAGACTGCCATAGTTAATAGAACCTAGGCAGTAATGGATGTGTGGGTGCAATGCAATTAAGAAGGCACAGGGTGAGCTAGACAACTCTACATTACAGTGGTGCCCCGCAAGACGAACGCCTCGCAAGACGAAAAACTCGCAAGACGAAAGGTTTTTTCGTTTTCGAGTTGCTTCGCAAGACGAATGTCCCTATGGGCTTGCTTCGCAAGACAAAAACGTCTTGCAAGTTTGTTTCCTTTTCGTAAAACCGTTAAAACCCAGGGTGCATTGCTGGAAGAGGTGCAGTTGCGACTTGACCTCGAGGAGCAACACATTGCACGCGGTGTGGTGGCCTTTCTGAGCTTTTTAAAGAGTTTGCTGGATTTTTGAAGCTTTTCCAAAACTTCTTCTACAGCTGTTTGGTAAGTTGAACTTTTAAAACTTTTTTGGGGTTTTTGGGATTTTGGGTTGGGGTGTTTAGAATTCAAGGACTTGGTGTTGGGGAGAGGTTTGCAAGAATCTGGGAGCTTGTGTGCTTTTTTTTGAATTTTTATGATTTTTTGTGACCATTGGGCCATGTTATTTATTTTTTTTTAAAAAAATCTGGCTTTGAATTTTTGAATTTCTGTGTGCTGGGTGGATGGGGAACAGCTGGGGAGGTGTTTGCAAGAATCTGGGAGCTTGTGTGTTTTTTTTGAATTTTTATGATTTTTGTGACCATTGGGCCATGTTGTTTTTTTTGAAAAAAGTTTCTGGGTTTTAAATTTCTGTGTGCTGGGTGGATGGGGAACAGCTGGGGAGGTGTTTGCAAGAATCTGGGAGCTTGTGTGCTTTTTTGAATTTTTATGATTTTTGTGACCATTGGGCCATGTTGTTTTTTTTGAAAAAATTTTCTGGGTTTTAAATTTCTGTGTGCTGGGTGGATGGGGAACAGCTGGGGAGGTGTTTGCAAGAATCTGGGAGCTTGTGTGCTTTTTTGAATTTTTATGATTTTTGTGACCATTGGGCCATGTTGTTTTTTTTGAAAAAGTTTTCTGGGTTTTAAATTTCTGTGTGCTGGGTGGATGGGGAACAGCTGGGGAGGTGTTTGCAAGAATCTGGGAGCTTGTGTGCTTTTTTTTTGAATTTTTATGATTTTTTGTGACCATTGGGCCATGTTGTTTTTTTTTGAAAAAAGTTTCTGGGTTTTAAATTTCTGTGTGCTGGGTGGCTGGGGGAACAGTTGAGGAGGGGTTTGCAGGAATCTGGGAGCTTGTGTGGTTTTTTTTGAATTTTTATGGTTTTCTGTAACCATTGGGCCAAGTTGTTTTTTTCAAATTTTTCTGGGTTTTGATTTTCTGTGTGCTGGGTGGCTGGGGGAACAGTTGTGGTGGGGTTTGCAACTGTGGGGGTGGGGTTTGCAACAGTTGGGGAGGGGCTGGGGGAACAGTTGAGGTTTTTGAAGACTTTGGTGATTTTTAAAGCTTTCCCAAAATTTCTTTTGCAGCCATTTGAGGATTTTGAAGACTTTGGTGATTTGCAGCCATTTCGTAAGTTAAACTTTTAAAACTTTTTTTGGGTTTTTGGATTTTGGGTTGGGTGTTTGGAATTCAAGGACTTGGTTGTGGGTTTGAATTGCTGATTTTTTTTCTTTTCTGAGTTTTACAAAGGTAACAGCTGTGCTGCCATGGGACCAAGAAGACTGCTGCTGCTGCGGAGGCCGGCGAGAGGAAGAAGGAGAAGGTGACGCTGGAGATGAAGAAGGAGATCATCCGGAAGCACGACGGTGGAATGCGTGTGACGGACCTCGCCAGGGAGTACGGCAGGAACCCATCGACCATCGGGACCATCCTGAAGATGAGGGAGAAGATCCTTGCGACTGATGCAGCCAAGGGAGTCACCAGGATCGTGAAGAACCGCCCAGCTGTTCTGGAGGAGGTCGAGAAGTTGCTCCTCATCTGGATAGAAGAGAAGCAGCGTGCAGGGGACACAGTGACTGAGGCCGTGATTTGTGAGAAGGCCAAGGCCTTGCACGCAGACCTCATCCGGGAACAGCCAGGAACCTCGGCCGAGCCAGAAGTCTTCAAGGCAAGCAGAGGCTGGTTTGACCGGTTCAAGGCAAGATCCGGAATCCACAGCGTGGTCAGGCATGGAGAGGCTGCCAGTTCTGATGTTCCTGCGGCTGAAGACTTTGCCTTGGAGTTCCTGGAGGTTGTGAAGACGGAGGGCTACGTTCCACAGCAGGTCTTCAACTGCGACGAGACCGGGCTGTTTTGGAAGAGGATGCCCAAAAGGACTTTCATCACACAGGAGGAGGCCAAGTTGCCTGGCCACAAGCCCATGAAGGACCGTCTGACCCTGCTCTTCTGTGCCAACGCAGCGGCGACCTGAAGATCAAGCCCCTGCTGGTGTACCACTCGGAGAACCCACGGGCCTTCAAGAAACACAAGGTCGACAAGGAGCGGCTGAGTGTCATGTGGCGATCCAACAGCAAGGCTTGGGTCACACGTGTGCTGTTTGTGGACTGGGTCAATCTTGCCTTTGGCCCTGCTGTCAAACAGTACCTGCTGGACAATGACCTGCCGCTGAAGGCTTTGCTTCTGATGGACAATGCTCCTGCTCATCCTAAAGGCCTTGAGGTGGACTTGTTGGAGGAGTTCAGCTTCATCAACATCATGTTCCTGCCGCCTAACACCACGCCACTGCTCCAGCCGATGGATCAGCAGGTCATCGCCAATTTCAAGAAACTCTACACCAAGGAGCTTTTCAGGCGATGCTTCGAGGTGACTGATTGCACCACCATCACCCTGCGGGAATTCTGGAAGGACCACTTCGACATCGTCACCTGCTTGAAGATGATCACCACGGCCTGGAAGGGGATCAGCCAGAGGAATTTGAATTGCGCTTGGCGCAGCCTGTGGCCGGACTGTGTGGCACCAAGTGACTCTGATGCACCAGAGTCGACAGTGGTGCAGGACATTGTTGCCTTAGGGAGGACCTTGGGCCTGGAGGTCACAGAGGAGGACGTTTGCGAGCTGGTGGAGGAGCACGACCACGAGCTGACCACCCAGGAGCTGGTTGAACTGCAGTCAGAGGTTGCGCAGGAGCAGGCCTCGCTGGAAGAGGAGGAAGCAACTGAGGAACGGCTGTCCTCCAAAGAACTGAGGGACATTTGCCAGAAGTGGAATGAGGTGCAGGCTTTGCAGAGCGGCACCACCCTGACAAGCACGTGGCACATGACCAAGCGAACATTTTTGATACGACGGTCATGTCGCCTCTCAGGGAGCTGCTGAAACGGCGGATGAAGCAGCAGACCATGGACAGGTTCCTCAGCAAGAAGCAAAGAGTGGAAGAGGAACCTTCTTCGAGTGGTCCCCCAGAGTCTTAGAAAATGTAATGTACCCTTTTTGATTTTTAAATGTTTTCCTGTCATGTTTAGAAACTTAATTTATTGTTCCTTCAATTTTTGATATGCTCTTTAAAGTATGTGTGACTTTAAAGAGCAGTTAATAAACTCTTGTTGTACCGAATTTGGCTTTGATTGGACTTTTTTTGACCATAGGAACGCATTAATTGAATTTCAATGCATTCCTATGGGATTTCGTGCTTCGCAAGACGAAAAATTCGCTAGACGAAAAAACTCGCGGAATGAATTAATTTCGTCTTGCGAGGCACCACTGTATATAGATAGATTACTACCGAAGGTGAAGGTTGGGAAGGCATTAAACTTAGAACGAAGAAATTTAAACTGATCAGATGTAAAATACTAAGGCAAAACCATATTTGCATGTTTAACTCACATAACTATGCCCCTTCTCCCAAATAAAACAGAAGCTTGAGGGGAAATCTCTCTCTCTCATTGTTTCTCCTTATGGTTTTCAGTCAATACTGTCAGAGCCAAGACAGATTATGTCACCATTATTTTATAAACCATGACAGGCTACTGTTTTCGTTTTTAAAAGGTACAGCAACTTATTCTAGCTTGGATAAACACCAATGTGTCTAAAATTGGTATTCCAGGATAGATGAAAGCCCTTAGCCATTTGCTTCATGATTCAACATGCCCTGAGGCATTGTAATATTGCCATGCACTGCCTATGATGATTCACTGCTCACTCTTTCTCCTTCAGCAAGTTTGGGTAAGGAGAAAGAAAACAGACTGTATTATAGTACTGAAGACTGTAAGGAAAGTTTCTAGAGTGTGAAGTTGTGCTAGGGGGATACTAAAATACAGGCAACTTTGTTGTTGCCCACTTTTCCAGGACTGTTGGTAATATAATCAAGTTTGCACAGAAGGAACATGAACCTTGAGTAATAGTATGCAACACCTCCATTGACATTTATCTCAGCTTCCAGAAAGGCAGCCATTTGAGATTGAAATTAAATTTCAAAAGCCTAATTATGTAGAGTGACACACAAAAATTACATTAATGGAAATCCAGTTATTCTCAGAAAAACAAGGCAGGACAGCCCCATTTTGCCAGTGCTTACTATTAGAAAAAGAAAAGAGAATGAATGGAAATCCTTGAGGGATAACCATCCAACAGCAAAAGTAGACCAAGTTTATTTTGGCTCCCACTAAAATATGTAATGCAAGTCTGACCTCTGATTTCTAATACAGATACTTTCCTTACCTGTTCATATTCAACCTTAGCTTTGCTAAGCATCTCTAGGATATCAGTGCATCCATTAATCCTGCTGACACTTCTTCTGTCCTGGAACAGCAGCTGGGATCTCTGAGCTTCTTCTTGCACTACTCTATGATAGAGGAGGGGGAAAACAGCATATGATTAGATTTTATTAAAAATGTACAGCAAAACACACCATTCACTATAGAAGCAGTTTGTTTCATATTTTGAACTGAATACATGCTTCATGAATTCTGTGCACATCTTAACCCCAACAGAGCTATACGTTCTAAACCTGAATTTTATAATTTCAATTCATTGCTGGTTTCTACTTCCCAAAACTGGCAGGGTTTTGTACAGTGGTTATGTACAGCATTTAGAAAACCTAACAGTAAAGCCATGTAAATGGGAGCAAGTAATACTGTAAACCAACACCTGTGATTCCACTGATTATGACTAAGTTAGGCCATTCTCAAGGTAGTAGGAGGAGTAAATGTACTTTCTTAAAAAAAGCAGATCACTTATACAAACAAAAAGCTTTCGCGCATTTGAAGGAATTTTGAATTTGGGCTACTTGTAAATGTGCTCAGTCACCAAGACTCCCCAGTTCACTTTTCATGTGATCATTTCCCACTTTTGTAGACATGTACAATATATACAGTGTGAAATACAGCAGCAGCCCATCAAAAAACAACACCAGGAGATTCCTCTATAAAGTCCTTTATTAGCCACTACTACAAAAATGTTTTATTTTCGAACAATAGAGCCCAGTTTATAATGACATTTTTTGGCACAAATTATCACAGGAGGCTCTAAGTGCATTATGGGAATAGCCTGATTCTCATCAGCTGGATGGTGTGTTTGTGTGCAAAATTCTGTATAAGAAAGAACAAGATTAGAGGGAAAGAAATACAAATGATATAGTCTAGTCACTGAGAGCTATGTCTGATCCCTTCATGGCCTATTTTCAAGTGCACACTTACAGACTATTTTATTTCAACTTGCATTTTTAGTCAGAGCCTTTTAAAGGTTTGTTTTGCTTCTGTTTTGCAATATACTGTACTAACCCCTTTAGATTTCAGTTGATTACATTGTCACATTTATTTTGTTTTAAATGTAACTTTCAGTGTACATATGCATAGAAAGATGGGATATCAATTTTGTGTGTGTGTGTGTGTGTGTGTGTGTGTTTTAAAGGAGACTATTATTTTACCATAACCTCTCTCACTGGTCCAGAGCAGGAACATTGCTAGAAATTTAAAGGATCAGGGCACAAGCCCATGACCCAAATATGCATTACATAGGAGCCATCTCCAGGGGGCCGTGGGCACCCACAGTAACGACTTGTGGAGGCTGAGCCACCTCAAAGTCAATGAGAAAAGCCAGCAGGCGGCAGCGGTGCTGCCTCTGAGAGAGAGAAGCAGTTCATCTCCGTCCTCGCAGCCAGTGAGCGAGGCAGCCTTTTCCAGGGCGTGGGGCTCGGACGTGGAGGCAGAGTCTCTCTGCCTCCGAGTCTGAGCCTCTCCCCACAGAAAACAGTGCACCGCTGGCTGCGGAGAGGAGGAATAAGAGGAGCCACCACCGCCGCAACATGGACATGTGATGTCACACACACACGCCTGCATGTAGTGTGTGTGACGTCGCACGCCCGTGTTGCAGTGGCAGGCACCCACCATCCCGAGGATGAGATGGCACCCCTGATGCATAATATTTGGAGATGCTAATTTATAAACATAGATACCTCTCAGCAGTTGAGCCCACAACTGCACTATATATTTAATATAGTATCATACCACATAGTCATGGCTTCCCCTAAAGGATCCTGGGAACCATGGCAGGGTAGCAATCACTCCCTCTTTCCAGGGAACTTTGGGAATTGTAGCTGAGTAATGGAAAATAGAGGTCTCCTAACAAATCTCTGCACCCTTAACTACAGCCCTCAGGATTCTTGAGGGAACTCATGGCTATTTAAACTGGTATGATAATGCTTTAAAAATGTATAATGCAGATGTGGCTTAAGATGATGGGTGGCTGGGTATCAACACCACTCTGCTTCAGAGGGCATCCAGTCACCCTATAAACAAAGCTTCCTTCAACAAAGCTTTTAAAATGGGAGGGAAAGGGGCAGGAGATCTAGGCTCTGGCTCAGAATAGCCAGTGCTTGGTCCCTACATGGTAGCCTGCTAAAAACGTAATGGTCCACTTTCCTGAAACAGGTTAGATCAAAGCCACCTGAATTAACACACAGTAACCTTCAATGAGATGGAGTAGTGATTTTTTTTTTTAATCTAGTCTCCTGCAGTGAGAGTAGATTTGATTATTAAGAACAGGAAATGCCATGTCAAAAGCATCAGGCTATATTACAGGCAGCTGATGGGAAAGCCAAAAGGTGATATCACAACAATCACAGAATATGTCAATCACGCCATATCTTCTCTTCATGAAAGGATGCTAGGGCAAGTTAACTCCCAATAGCTTACTCCATCATTACATTAATGTTTCCTCAGTCTAGAATGAAAAACTCACAGAAACAGAAGATCATAAATACCAATAAATTCCCTGGAGAGGGTTGAGAGTGGTCCGTTCTCTGAGCTCTAAAGTATTTGCTGATGCAGCTATTTGATGCCAAATAAGTGCGGTTTGTCCTCCAAGACATGACATTACTATAGGTAATATAGAGGGCATGCTGGGCACATGCTGCGATAAAGCCACCAAGTTACACAACAAGAAGAGAGGCAAACCTTCGCTAATTGGCACAGACGATCTTAATTTGCATGATTCAGATCTGAGTATTTGGATTCTGTATCAGTGAATCAATGCAGATGTAATGCTCCTAACATTGTAACCACGGTTAAAAAACTGGTAGCCATGGGATCCTGTGCTACTTGGTATAAATCCCTCTCTCTCCAGCACAAATCTAATCCCCACTCTTATCCATTGGTTTGACCAGAATTTGAACCCAGCATTGGGTTGCAGAATCAGGAGTGTTATGTACAGTGATCCACTGCAACTCCTCACTCATTTTGAGAAACGGATCGCACCCGTTCAATAATTCTGTTACTTTACAATTATAAAAATGAACCAGTTTATTATAAATTCTTGACCAAAGAATTGTCCTGCTGGACCTGGCCCAGGGCCTATCAAGTTCCGTATTCTGTTTTCACAGTGGCTAACCAGGTGTCCACAGAAAGCCCACAAGCAGGACACAGGGGCAACAGTGCTCTCTTGACTGTGATCCCCAGCAATAGGATTTGTCTAGTCTGAATCTGTATCAAATTGTTCTATTCACTTGCTGTTTGCCATTCTAGGCTTCTTTCGGAAGAAATGGGGGAGGGGAAAGTTAATTAAACAAATTAATCCATCCATCAAATAAGCTAGTATTCAGAGGCATGTAGTGTCTGATACTGGAGGTACCAGGGCTATCTGATATAGCATTATCCTCCAGATATTTTGACTTTGCATGCACTATAAGAGAGCTCATATCACATTGCCTGGGTGCTAAGACATAGTTTGGCTTAGCATTGCATGCAAACAGGGAAAGTAAATGGCCTTTATTCTAAGCACAAAATTAAGCAGTACATTACAAACCAAGTTAACATGAATTTTTACTGACGGCACAAATATTGGAAAAGATACATGGTTTTATAGGAAATGCTATAAAATGCAAACTAGAAATAACACAAAGTTGCTTTAAAAAATGAGATACTTACTTTGCCATGAGTTTTGCTATTCGGTGACAGTCATTCTTGTCATAGAACCAGATACTGTAAATTGACACTTGAGGAAGGTATTTAAAAAAAGACTGTTAATTTATTATTATTATTATTATTATTATTATTATTATTAAATCATTTTGATTACAGAATATCTTCAAATAAAAAACAGCAGGATGCATTAAGTACAAATTCTGTACTTAAAATGATTTATGCACATATGAGCAGTTCTACTGGGTAATTTCAAATATTCATGGAAACAGGAGCAGCAAATAATAAAACAGATGTTAGGTTATGGTATTACACTTGCTAGTGAACAATTTAATATGTACAACCATATTGAAAACAAACATCTTGTTCCCAGGCAAAAGCTTTAATCTTAGGCCAAAAAAAAAGGTTACATGTAAAAAGCTCCTGATCTGACAGGTTAAATTACAGGCAGGTCAGATAAAATGAGCACTTAAGACTAGTGCAGAACCCAAAGTGCAGTGCAAATCAACATAACATTCAGCCCAGTGATATGTGTATGATAATTATGAACCATTCACTTAGAAGTCAGTAGCAGCTTAAATTAGACTTTGGATTTAACATTATACAGTTAACTGGATGTACCAGTCCCATTTAGTTCAGTGGGACTTACTTCTGAGTAGGTATGTGTATGCTTGTACCATTAAAATGAAGTTAACAACATTAACTCAAAAGAGAATTCTGTATAAGCGTTAAATACATTTAAAAATGTATATTTCACTTTCTGCCCTGGGAGTGAAAAAGAAAAGGTCTAAACTAAAGGAACCAGAAATTTGTCAGACTGCATGAGTCTTTCCTTTTCCTTCTAGCCTTTCATCTGACATGCATATACGGAGTCCTTTCTTTGTCACCTTCCTGGCTATAAACCTTCATTCTATTCTTGCAAAGTAGTAAAAAGGATCCAGCAAGAAGGAAACTCAAGGTCAGGAGGCAAGGCAGCCGGAGGAAAAGAGACAAAGTAAGTAACGGGCTAAATAACAGAGTCCCAAGAGAGGATGGGTAAAGGAAGCAAAGGATATGAAGCAGAATAAACAAAGGAAAAGGCACTGTTAAGAAAACCATCGCATGGGAACAGGAAGAAGAGTAGCTCTGCTACTGGGGTAGAGACAAAATGAAGACGCAGGATGAGTGATGCCCAGTTTAGTAATCTGATTTGAAATAACTGTGGACTCTAAAAAAGATATAATATATATTTGAACAGCTTTAGGGAACTGGATCAAGCTAGCAGGCCCATAATTCCATGGAACAGGAAACTTGTGGCCAGGTCTCAGTGTTAAGAGATTCTGGCTCTATTCACACAAAACACTAAACCATAGTTAACAAAAATTGGGATTCAGTAAGGGACAAATTCTTAAATAAAAATGGGGAGATGTGATTCCATTAAGCATTGTGAAATATTACCATATTTTTCACTCTATAGGACGCACTTTTTCCCCCTCCAAAAATGAAGGGGAAATGTGTGTGCGTCCTATGGAGCGAATGCAGGCTTTCGCTGAAGCCTGGAGAGTGAGAGGGGTTGGTGCACACCAACCCCTCTCGCTCTCCAGGCTTCAGGCAGCTATCCGCAAGCCTTCTGAGTGCGGCGAGAGTTCCCGCCGGGCTCCGAAGGCTTGCGGATAGCAGCCTGCAGCCTGAAGCTCCCCGCGCAGCGCCAACTCCCCCGCACTCCGAAGGCTTGCGGATAGCAGCCTGCAGCCTGGGGAGTGCGGCTGTCTTGGCTTCTGCCAAAGCCGCGTGCAGCCTCTCCCGGCTGGAGAGGTTGCGCATGGCTAAAGAGGAAGCCAAGACAGCCAGCGGGATGGATCCCGCTCACTGTCTTGGCTTCTTTGCTCTTTGGGGCTGGGGGGGGGGAATATTTTTTTTTCTTTATTTCCCCCCCTAAAAACTAGGTGCACCCTATGGTCCGGTGCGCCCTATGGAGCGAAAAATACGGTAAATCTTTGAAAGCAGGTGACTATTGCAATGCAAAACTATCTTTTAAGGAAACTGGTTCATAGCTGTGTCCTAAACATAAAAAATAAAATAAAATACTCAGTTAGAAAGTACTTCTGAATCCACTGCTGTCACTTAGGTTCAGGTGGCCTCAGTGGGACAGAATGCCTTCTATCAGCTTTGGCTGGTGGCCCAACTGCACCCCTATCTGGATATGCCCAACTTATGTCATCTAGGCTCTGGTAACCTCTAGGTTAGATTACTACAACACAATTATACGTGTAAGTCTGTCTTTCAAGACAGTTTGGAAAGTTCAGCTGCAGCAGAGTTTAATGGCCAGGTTGCTCACTTGGGCAAGACAGTTTGAGCATATTACACCGATCCTGGTCCAACTGCACTGGCTGCCAATCAGTTTCCAGGCCCATTTCAAAGTGATGGTTTTCACCTATAAATCCTTAAATGGCTCAGGACCACCATCTCATACGAAGCCCTTCTTCATGTGGCTCCTCCACGAGAGGTCCAGAAGGTGGGAACATGAAAATGGGCCTTTTCTGTGGTGGCTTGCCGTTACATATCTTGAGGTGCCAGGCAAAAACATTCTCCTTCTCCCAGGCCCTTGGCTAATTCAACAATCTCTGGCATTTTAAAGTATGTGGGGTGGGTGGGTACAGTACTGTTTTTGTTTGTTATTATGGTATGTACAATTGGAAACTGCCCTGTGAGGAGGGCAGTATAGAAATTTAATAAATCATAATAATACAGTGGTACCTCGATTTAAGAACAGTCCTGTTTACAAACAATTCGGTTTATGAACTCCGCAAAACCAGAAGTAGTGTCCCAGTTTGCGAACTTTATCTCAGTCTAAGAACAGAATCCGAATGGTAGAAGGGCACCGGCGGCGGGAGGCCTTATTAGGGAAAGTGAGCTTTGGTTTAAGAACGGTTTCAGTTTAAGAACAGACTTCCACATTGGATTAAGTTTATAAACCGAGGTACCACTGTAAATACAAGTCACATCTTCTCACAAACATTTTTTAACTCAAGGGAAAACTTGTAAGACCAATAATATGAGCTGAATTCATTGCAAAGTAGCAACAACTACCATCTGTAGTATAACTTATAAAAGACAGGGTGTAACAATTCAAGGTTTTGAAGCATGGGTAGGCAAGCTAAGGCCCAGGGGCCGGATCCGGCCCAATCACCTTCTAAATCCAGCTCGTGGATGGTCTGGGAACCAGTGTGTTTTTACATGAGTAGAATGTATCCTTTTATTTAAAATGCATCTCTGGGTTATTTGTGGGGCATAAGAATTTGTTCATCCCCGCCCCCCAAAATATATAGTCCGGCCCCCCACAAGGTTTGAGGGACAGTGGACTGGCCTCCTGCTGAAAATGTTTGCTGACCCCTGTTAAAGGTAATGCCAAGAAAGAAAGAAAGAAAGAAAGGAAGGAAGGAAGGAAGGAAGGAAGGAAGGAAGAAAGGAAGGAAGGAGAGAAGAGTCTTTGATTTAATCTGGAGTTATTAGCACGGTGAAAGAAAACATATGTCTAAGGGGATATCAAAGCCAAGTACTAATGGATTTGTCCTGAACAAAGCTAGCTATCAAAGACAGAAAAGAGATAACTGCTTTGCAACAGAACAAGAAAGTGACTGCTGTTTAACACATTAGCTCATTGCGCCACACTATTCTACATGTTTGGCTGCCCTCAACTTAAACTCCATTATAAACACCCTAAATGCAATTTTACCATTTCTCTCTACAGAAATAGCAACAGCAGTCCCACTCCTTATCTTTCTTGAGAAGGCAGAGTTAAAGCAGTTACTAAAGATCCATTCCTCTTCCCTGATCAAACACATGTCACTCTGACAACACTGCTGATATCCACATGTGGATGGTCTTCAACTTTCTGGACCCACTTTGATATTTTTACAGCAACGAAATAAGACTGCCTGGCTACAAAGGTATATTTAGGGAGCAATCTGTTGTTACCACCAAGGTAACAGAGTTTCAAGTACATCCTTCTGGAATTATATCTCTGCTGCTGCATTTCAACTGGAAAAAGGACATACAGAGCTCAAAAAAGAAGAAAAGGAACAAGTGCAGGCAATATCTTCATTTGAGAATTCAGAGTTGTATACCACCACCTATCTTTTAATATTAGCATGGAATTTCGTTATCTACATCAAGACAGTGACATTAGATACAAAGGAAGAATTGTGAGTGAAACTGATTTGGAAGCATACTTCTTTAAGACCTTTAGAGGTAAGTTCAAAATTGTTGATTTAAAAACCCAAGGTTCTGAAATTTTTGATCACATTTGTATCTATGAATTTATTAAGTGGTTGATGCTTAGATTTTAAGCCCTTTATGGAGAAAGGCACAGTTACCAATGCTGTAGGACACTAGAAATGTTTTTACTTGCAGTCATATCCTTTTTGTCACTGAGTGCTTTATATTGCTTCCCGTTATGCAGTTTGGTAACTACAGCATATCACTGATGTTACAAACATATTTAATATATTATGAATAAAAGATGGGAATTCCATAATGGTCTTCTCTAGAACTTCTGAAGTTAACTTAGTGACTTTCTCAATACAGATTAAAATTGGTGACATACTGAATAATTAGCATAAGTGATTCTAGCTTTTTAAAAATATTTAAAGAATAATCCAGCTGTTACTGTTATCAGGAAAAACACAATTTTTCCTAAAACAAATAGCTGGAGATCTGCATGCCTTGCTCCCTCAGCTAAAGATACTAAAGATACTAAAGAGAGGACAGTGATTTAGCAGACTTGCCAAACTGATTCAAAATATCTTGCTTTTTGAATTTCTCAGGTCCTTGCAAACATTACCTCTAGCGGCAAGAAAATGGTTATGTGACATGTGTTTGATCTCATAGCAAAGTCCTGAATGAAAGGAAATAGGGCTGTGCCAAACAAAAGTAATTAAATTATGATCTTTGGGGATAATTTGCTTGTGCCCATTTCCTATCTGGAATATAGTTTTAATGAAAGGTAGGACAGAAATGCTGAAAATAGCAAATACATGCTATGCTGAATAAGGCCCATCAGGTTTGGCGCAATTTGCCTCCAGCTGGCTGGGGTGCCAGCCCTAATTAGCTCTGAGCAGTGGTGACTTGGAGAAGGGCTACAATGCACGCTCAAATCTAGCATGGCCTCCCCACTGCATGCTGCTTCCCAAGACATTTTACTTCACCCCCCCCTGCCTCTCCCCTAACCAAGCATCTGCCCATCTCTGCTAGCCTTTTATATTACCCTACCTCAACACATCAGTTAAGAACCATTATTTGCAACTAGTCAATCAATTGGAATTATGGAGACAAGTGTTCGAGGACACATAAAGACCAGAGAGGTGTTGAAACAGAAAGACAGAAGACTATATAACACACTGAATTAACACTGTTTATGGATGGAACACAGCTGGAAGAGTGGCACCCTAGAAACTGAACTGGTGTTTAGAGTCTAACTAGCTACTGCCACATCACACGTATATTACTTTAATAGCAGAAGTGGTCCAGGGCAGTTCAAAAAGTGGGGTCTCCTAAATAACAACATTATTCCAAGTTTATACTCACAGTTAGCATTTCTGTACAGAAGAAAGGGCTCGTGTAGTTGAAACTCCAAGTCTTTGTTTACAGGCTCAACCAAGTTGTGCATATTCAGTCGATTCACAATTGTGAAGCCATGGTAAGGTGACGCAGACCTGTTATTTCAAGAGAATAACAAAACAACTGTGTAAATCAGTGGTGGCCAAACTTGGCCCGCCAGCTGTTTTGGGACTACAATTCCCATCATCCCTGACCACTGGTCCCATTAGCTAGGGATGATGGGAGTTGTAGTCCAAAAACAGCTGGAGGGCTAGGTTTGGCCACCACTGGTGTAAATGCATAACATGGATATTCAGAGGAAAAAACTATTAAATAAATGCATTATATGAATAAACCACCTGCTTTCAGGAAAATAATCAATAGCAATAATGGTGATGAAATGTATCCAACACTATGATGGTGAAGCAGAATGGGGGGGGGGCGGTTCAGCTATTTGGAGAACCTTTTTTTTATTTAATAATTTTTATGCCACTTTACAAGAAAAATTATTTGCAGAAAGGGGGCTCCAGTGGGCAGATAGAATCACCAAATTGCTTTCCTCCTGGTTCTGTTGACAGAAGCTTTTCCATCAGCAATTACTCCTTTGTGAATACCCAAATGACTTTAGTGAAATCAAAATGCCTTGCAAGCTTGCTATTTGAAACACAAGGTGTTTCACAAGCATAAGGAATTCTGGGAGTGGTACTGTTCTGTGAACTATTGTTCAATGGCTAATGGAAGATATTATTCAAGAGCTAAGACAAAAGTTCATGCAAGAAGAATAGCACTCCTCCTAAATCAGACAACACACATGTGCTTGTGGAAGAGGCCAAGCTCACAGATTGGCACCTTTGGATCTAACCAGATGAACTGTTGTATTTCTGTATCTGAATATCAAAAACATAGCAATGATTAGTCTACTTAGCAATATTGTAACTAAAACTAGGGGAGGGGAGGAAGAGATGCACAAACTTTTTTTAAAAAAAAGAAAGAAAAGAAAACTGATTTTCAAGGCTACTCCAAAGAGGATTAAATTCATTCTTCTCCTTCATTTAAAATTATATAGCAAGTTTCACATGCCATGAAAAAACACCGAAGGATATTTCGGTATGCTTACAACCTTATATGCAAAACTTTTAGAGCAGAATGGTAAACAAACATTTCAGGTTATCAGTAGCAATTCAAAGAGAGGGAGTGGGAAACATAACTCGTAGAGGCACACTTAAATCCAATTCTCAAACTTTTCATAAATGCTAATTCATGCAAAAAAAATGGAACAGTGCAGGTATACAGTCCCCCCCCCCCCGAAATACACTTCAGAAAGCACTTCAGGATCAAAAGTATCAAATATACCAAAAATAGCTATAAAGTATGTATTTTCAATGATGAGATATTTTCTAGGAACCAAGCATGTTATTTCAAACATACCCTTTCTTATATAAATAAAAATTATATCTGTGTTAAGAACAGCTGTGTTAGAAACCAAATTAAATAACAATAAATTAAATATTTATTAGGAATGCAAGAGAAAAACGACACAAACTGCATTCTAGCACACTGTTAAGAAGCTATCCCATAATGTTAACAGGCCTAAGGTGTCATTGGGCTGTGTCTGAGAAACATAAGAGGTCACTTTAATACATACTTTCTTCTTTATTTTCTACATCTATTATAACAGATGGACTAACAGCCTGAGTTAGCATGTCAAAAATAATTAAAATTCAACTGGAGTCATGATTACAGCAGTAAAGGTCTGGAAATAGCATGTGTAGAAAGCCCAAAGGCATTACAACAGCGTAAACAAGAAGAGTGACATTTTTGGTTTTGACTTATTTTCTCTAGATCTCTAAACAGGTTTTGGAGAAAACTGATCATATTGATACTTTTCTTGCTGCCCAAAATAAAATAAATGGTTCACAAGAACAGTTTTAAAAGCACTGCTAGCATTAAAGCATTACTGAGAAAACTGTTATTAAAGAGTTATTTTTGAATCCTTAACTGTATACATGTACACAAGCAGAAGGAAATCAGAACAGAACAATCCTAACCATGTCTCCTCAGAAGTAAGTCCTTTTGAATTCAACGTGGATTACCGTATTTTTCGCCCTATAGGGCGCACCGGCCCATAGGGCGCACTTATTTTTGGGGGGGGGGGAATAAAGAAAAAAAAATTATTTCCCCCCGAGCTTGCCGGGCTGGGGGCAGGGGAAGCCCGAGCTTCCCCCGACCCCAGCCCCCAGAACGGGTCCGGGAGTGACAGCGAGGTTGCATTCAACCTCGCCGTCGCTCCCCGAGCTTGCGGGGCTGGGGGCGGGGGTTAGTAGGGTTAGGACTGCTGGCTTAAGTACCAGGAAATAGGCCTGGAAGCCTACATTAAACTGTACAGACCACAAAGCTCCCATCTCATCTTCTACGGATAACTGAGTGGGTCAGAAAAGGACTTTCATGTTCTGCACCCCCCAAGTTATATGTAAGGACAATCCCAACTAGGGTCATTAGAGATGTCCAGTATGCATGATAAGGGGGATGAGAGTGGCAAGTTCAAGAACGGAAACAGAGAGTTAAAGACCCCCAGCCAACAGACAGAGTAGTTAAAAAGCATGCATATTCAGTTGCAACCTGACACTCCATCTGCAACAGTCAACCATTAGAATGAAGCACACAGCATATCTATGTTACAGGCCTAAGTAAACCCAAAGATTAAATTGCTTTAGTGATGAAGACATTTCCTAATCTCATCACCCACAGATTACAACACTCTGCTGACCACAAGTGTCCACTACCTTGTAAAGTGATTCTCCGGGCCCCCTTCAAGCACCAACTCATCCTCTAAATATTTCCAGCAGTTAAAGTTGGCCTCCTCCCTCAAAAAACTCCTGCAGCTCTATTTCAAGATTATACCCTCTATTTACCATATATTTAAAATACTCCCTTTAACCTCAAACTCTAGTGTCACATTAAATTATTTCGTATAATGATGATACACTGCAACTACTATTCTTTTGCTTAACAGCATTTCTATGGCCATTCTTTCAAGCCAGTTTAGTTCAGTAAGTCAAAACAGAAAGGAAGGAAGGAAGGGGAGAATATTATATAAGTGTCACCTGTTACTTATTGTTAATACCATTCCTCTACATCCCCTCTACCATAGGTCTGAAGATACTATGGGAAACTCTCACAGTTATACACTTCCTCTCTTCATTGCAAATTCAATGTTTACTAAAAACAGTCAGGGGGAAAGGTACATTACCACTGGCAGAGACTGCCACCTGAAGAGGCAGCTAAGAACATAAAATGGCCCATCTAGTCCAGCATCCTGTTTTTACAGTGGCCAACCACATGCCTATATGAGAAGTGCAAAAGCAGAACCTGAAATAAACTAGGTTACCTCCCCTTGGGCCCTATTCTGCATGGGAACCACTAGGGGTCAACCGCTAACATCTATGGAAAGAGTAGCTGAGCATTTTTGATGTAATTAAAAATATTAAATCATTATTATTTATATTTGTTTGTTACGGACTACAAACATGTCTCTAAGCAGCTAACAGTTATAAAAGTATATATAATACAAAATATAAAATACATAAAAGAGAATCTTAATAAACCAGAAATGCTTGTCTTGCAGCAACATTAAAATCCTACCCCACCCTATTAAATATGAAGATCAAATCTTAACCACATATCACTAGATCATTGTCTTACCAAAAACCTTATGTTATTGTCTAAGTGAATGTTTTGCCATTATTTACAGAAGGAGTGCGCAGACTTGAGGGAGCCATTTCATTTTTTTTAACTAAGAGCCTGGTGCGAAAGGCATACAGTCAACATTCTGAGCCCAGGAATTTGTTATGAGTAGCAGAACTGGACTGGACTAGATGACCCTCAGGAATCCCCTCAAACTCTACAATTCTATGAACTGAACTCATAAGGCTTCCACACAAAATTCCTCTCCTGAATATTCCCACTTTTGTTCATCTCAACAGTATAAGTTAGTGGGGGAGCTGTTTTGTTGCTGTCACTGTTAATCAGCTGGGGAGTCAGAAATCCTTGCCAATCTACTTCAAATTGTCAAGAAGTGTACAATGGAACCTCGTGTAACGGTCAGGATCCGTTCCGGAGGCCCATTCGTAACACGGAACTGATGCAAGCTGAAGTGCCGCGTCTGCACAGGTGCGCAATTTAGCACTTCTGCGCATGCGCAAGCGGCAAAACCCGGAGGAACGGGTTGCTGTGGGATGCAAGACGAAAACATGCAACCTGAAGCGGACACATGAGATATGACTGTACCAGAAGATCCCAATCTACCCCTGCATGCCTATAATTTACAGTGCACAATACACATCATATCCAGATTATGTCCTTCCTCGTGAAATTTACAATCTAATTATTATTGTACATTCTACAGGAGCGCCTGTATTATGAAACTAACAAGTTTAATAAATAAGAAGAATTTTGACTTTGGGGGAAACAAATGGTAGAGAGGGAAAGCAGAAGCAAGAAACATGAGGGCTCAAAAAACCAAGTACATATTAAGGTTGCCTTTTACTTGGGGATAAGGACTAAACAAGTTAAGCCAAAGGCTTCACAGGAAAGGCGCATCATGATGAAGGATTTGAAAGGAGACAGTGCTCTGGGCATAGGCACCAGCAAGGAATGTATAGAATGGAACTTCTGGGAGGGCTGAAGGGATAAATTTTGAAGAACAAAAAGTCACAGGCATGTATATAATGGAAAACAAGGGTAAAAAGAAAGGATATTGCTCAAAGAGTAAAAGATAACAAGAATTTTGTGGCAGATGCTGAAATGAAGCCAATGGAAAGCTTTATTGAGTTATAAAGCTTTCCACACTGAAGGCATATGCCACAAGCCATGTCCTGTGAGAATTTGGCTAAACTGGTTGTGATTATCCAGGAAAGATTTATCTGGTTCACTGGAGGAAAAATCAGTGAAATTTGAAAGAGGCAAATTTAGTGTGAAAACAGTTACTAGGAAAGTATTTTCTTTCTTTATTTAAGCATACTATAGCCATTTCAAATGTGTACAGTACTAGTTACCCCTTCTTAAGAAGGATATCCAAGAATTGGGGAAGGTACAGAAATACCATTTAATGTGACCAAGGAACAGGGAGGTTCTTCCTTACAAACACCAGAATTTGAAGCATATTTGTTTACATAAAATATATGGCAAATTTTTAAATAATATCATATACAGGGTTGCTAACACCAGCACAACACAGTAGCATGTAAGCTTTCCTGAAAACCTTGTTTATCAAAAGAACGCCCAAATTTGTTTTCTTAGAACTGCAGGTAGGGGAAAATAGGCATGCTCTATTTGAACAGCAAATAGTTTTGCAATTTATAGTGTTGAAAGCAAAACTGACTCTAGAATAAGATTGATATACACTTACCTTTTATATACAAATAAAGTACCTTCAATGTCAGTCTTCTCCTGTAACAAACAATAAGAAATTGTAGCAATAAATTAATTTAAGCATTACAGCCCCTGCTTTATTTATTTTCTTACATTTATATCCCATCTTTTTTCCATCATGGAACCCAAGGTGGTGCATTTGTGGTTTCTAAACAATCGCTGACCAGAACTACTTGCTTTCAGCTCAGGTGCCTTCAGCTCATTCCCTGAGCTTTACATTTAACATAAAATTATAACTATAGCACTTAATGGATCCTAGTTATTTTCATGGTTAAGAATACAACTGTTATGGCTGAATGCTATGGCTGAGAGCTGTCAAGAAGGTGGTTGAGTTGTACATACTAACATCTGCTCCAACATAATGAAAACAAACCCTGAAATTATGCTAGAGGTCTAGAAAAATACATCAATACAAATGTTTATACATGGTGGCATTTAATATTGCTATATATAATGTAAGGTGACTCCAAGCAGGAAGGCACAGCACTCCACACAATATTTAGAACTTTAAAAAAATCTATGGTGGATTCACTGGCATGGTTCAAAAGGTAATGATAAATAAATAGGGTGTTAAATTGCATGTACTTTTACATTTGATCTGTCATGCTAAATTCGTATTAAAAAACTGAAGTTTAATTATTTGTTGTTTTTCCATGAATTCTGTGGGCAACTAGGGACAGATAAAGTGAGCTATTAAATAGCATCAACTACACCACACAATGGGCAAATAAGATAAATCAGACAGTCAAAGTCAAGGCAGAATTGCAGTCTGCAAATTTTTTTTAAGCACATGAAGTTTTCCACATTACTATTCTGTTTCTGAGTCGGGGTTGCCAAGATGATGCCCACAGACATATACATGCCTGCAGAGGTTTTCCTTAGAGCCCATAGGGTCCCCTGCCTCTGATGAAATTAGTCTTGAAAGAATAATTGTAGCCAATAGACTAGGTTGTGCTATGTGTTGTGCCCACAACAATTTATCTGGTGAGCAAATGTGCCCACGTACCCAAAAAGGATGGTGACCTCTATTAAGAGCTATAAACTGTAACATATACCGAATATTAAAATGATGTATATGTTTGCAAAACTAAGATTTGTCATTACAGAGACAACCTGCATGGGAGAGATGAAGTGGCACATGCAGGATTCAAAATATGCTTGCAATAAGGAAAAAGTCCAAACAAAATCAAATCAAAATATGAGATCACTGGAGGCAAATCAGAACAACTCAGTAGAACAGAGCTTTTCAAACTGTGTTGCAACACATTAGTGTGTCGGCTGCAATGTGTAGGTGTGTAGTGCGAACACTCCCTGCGCTCCTCCCAGGGCTGGAAAGGGGTTAGTTTAACCTCCGGTTTGCTAGTAAAACTAAATTACTGTGTCATGAAATGATGTATGTCTAAAAGTGTGTCACCAACAAGAAAAGTTTGGGAAGTTCTGCAGTAGAAGATCAAAGGAAAGAGCGGTAACCCATTCCTTGGTAACATGTTACCACTATGTTACCATTCCTTTGTAACATAAGTGGTAACGTAGGCTCACTAAAGAGCAAAAAAGATCAAGAGTGTGTGGTACTATCTTGGAAAAGATTGCTTTAAAGACTGCGCACAACAGCAGAAAAGGCTCTTACCCACATATTCTCCATCCTAATATCTGAAGGCAGGAGGAATGGGCAAGTTCAGATGAGAGGAGGTGGCCTTTAAATGGCTGATACCGACCCATTTAGGAAAAGAAGTTTCTGCTACCTCTGCAGTGCTTCTAATGAATCCCAAGACTTACTGTGCAGATGGTTCAGTGAACACAAAGGAATATTTCATACACTAAAATTTTTCTCACATAAACATATTATTCCTAAGTTTGCATGACTTGTTGAAATAGTGGAGAGGGTAACAGCTGTGTTTGTTTGTTATTGCAACCTATATGTTTGCACCACTAACCACCATGCAGAAATGTCCTGCAAGGGCAGGTGGGGAGCAGTAAAATTATTGCAAGCTATACCATAGCTCAGTTGTAGAACACATGTTTTGAATACAGAAGGCCCAGGGGTTCAATATCATCTCAAGGCAGGGCTAGGAAAGACTCCTGTCTGAAATTCTGGAGAGCCACTGCCAGTCCGTGTAAACTATACTGACCTGTATCTGACTCAGTATAAAGCAGCTTCCTATACAGTGAGAACAGAGATGGCATATGCCACATTGCTCACTGAAAAAGATGTACATCAATTAACTATATTTGTAATGTATTTTTGTCGGCGTTTGTCCTTTGATGCTATGGCCTGTTGGCTATGCAAATAAAGTCCTTGTTGTTGTTGTCGAACCTTTTGGATGTCAAACAGTTTTCCAGAACAGATTTCGGATGTACATCAACTTCTGATTTGGTCCCAAGAAGGGTCCAAGCCTTGTCAATCCACATGGAACAGGTCATGAATTCTGGATGACAATGACCTAGAATCCTGTTTGGGTACAGTTGTGTGCAATCAAAAATGTATAAACAGTCCCTATATAGGACTAGTACTTTCCACCTTGTGATCTCTTTCATGTCTAAGTAAGAAGCTGAGTGCACCTGCAGAGTCTTCACCAGTCCAGTAATGCCCCCTTTAAAACAGAGATGGGGAACTTGTGACTTTCCAGCAGTTGGGTGGGTTACAACTCCCATCAGCCCTGACCACTAAACATGCCAGCTGGGACTGATGGAATTTGGGAGTCCAACAGCATCTGGAGGTGCACAGGTTCCACACACCTGCTCTAAAATATGTGGTTAAGTAGGAAACAGTGTAGGTGGGAGCTCTGTTATTTATTTATTTAGCCTACCTTCCCCCAAGTAACTCAGAGGTCTTTCCACAACCACATGTTTTTTTCTAACAACAGCCCTATCACGTAGGTTAGACTGCAAAATGGTGATGGGTTGAAATCCACCTTCAAACAACCCTCAAGCTTTGTAGCTGAGTGGGGATCTGAACCTGCGTCTCCCTCATCCTAGTCTGAATCATAGTGATAATAAGGTAATCTAAAAGAAAGCCTTGAACTTGGGCTGGCTCCGACCTATGAAGGAAAGGAGGAGAGATGTACACAAGTCAAGCTGGAATCCTACTTGGTTCAAATGAAGTTCAGTTCCAGCTTTCATAATCCTGCACTATATTATTATAACCTGTCGCTAAAACCTTGCTCTCTCACAAATATACACACACACCAACAGATATGAGCCCTGACAATATACACACACCAACAGTACATAAGCCATCATTCTCTGGATCCATAATTTCAACAACTAATGCAAATCTGAAGGCTGGCCAGGGATGCTATTTCATATTTTGGAGAGGAGGGGACAGCAAGATCCAGTAAGACCCATTCTAGGATGTGGGCATGGCTAAAAGCAGCATTTTAGGCATATTCAGTCTTCAGAATCTGTGGACCAGCAGCCAGCCACAAGGGCCTCCTAGGACTCAGAAAAAGCACCGACGGAAAGAAAAGTTCATTCCAGTACTAGTTCCTACCAGCAGTTTTTAAACCACCCTCAACTGAGGCCGGCTAATTTGAAAGGGTGTGTTAGGCGCTAACTAATCCGCCCTGAATTTTGAGCCCAGCGAGTTAGTGGCAGGAGGAGGAGAAGAGCACGAGGAGGAGGTGAACCACGGAAAACCAAGGTGGGCGTGTTCCTCCTCTCTTCTCCCCCACCGAAAACATTCCTCTGCGGACAGTCACGGATATATAGGAGGGGTGGGGAAGGAAAGCCGCACGTGCGCGCCCGCCCCCAACCCAACCCACCCTCTTTCCTTGCGGGGGGCAGGCGCCAAGCGAAGGCGCTTTTGTGCGCCTCTTCCATCGGGACCTTCCTTCTCCGTGAGCCTTTGGACCCCGCGAGGAGACTTTGGACGAGGGCGGGTGGGGTGGAGAGGCTGGGAGAAAAGGGTTAACAGCTGGGGCTGAGAGGGGGGCGCCCACGGCCGCCTGCCCCCCCCCCGGCCCCCCGCTCAGCGCCCCACTCACCCACTCGTTGGCCTTGGGGCTGAAGCGGTACAGGGCCACCTGGCCGGTCACGTCGGCGATGCTGGTGATGTAGGGGTCGTTCTGCTTTAAGGCCGCCAGGCTCATGTCCTGCCCCGCTTTGCTCAGAGACTCCATCTTGGACCCGGGATCTCAGCCGCGGCGAAGGGGGGGGGGAGGAAGGAAGGAAACAGCCAGCCCAGCCAGCCAGCCGCGCGGAGGAGCCCTGTGCGCAGCGCTTCCTCATCCGCCGGCCGGAAACCGCTACCCTGCGCCTTCGGTTCCGTCGCTGCAGCGCGTCGGGTCCCGGGGGTCCTACAAGGGTTCCTGAGGATGCTTAACCTCTGGTCGCTCTGTCTTGTCCTCGTTTCTCCACACGCCCAGGCTTGGCCAGTTTCACAATCGAAATGCGTCGCCCGCCCCCCCCCCCCCACTCACCCAGAGGTAAAACCCGGCTATATAACCAAACCAGCTCCTGCAGAAATGCCATGAGCTCAGGAACACATCAGAAGTAAAGTGAATCCGTTGCTTTCTCCTGCTGGAGCCTCTTCAAGCTGAAGATTCCATAAGTTATTGTTGGTTCTCAAATAGTTCCACGGTTTTTGTTTGTTTGGCGAAAATGTAACTACTGTACGTTTAAGAAAGCCCTGAATGTAATGACACCGTTTTATTGTTGTTGTTGTTGTTTAGTCGTTTAGTCGTGTCCGACTCTTCGTGACCCCATGGACCAGAGCACGCCAGGCACTTCTGTCCTCCACTGCCTCCCTCAGTTTGGCCAAACTCATGCTGGTAGCTTCAAGAACACCATCCAACCATCTCATTCTCTGTCGTCCCCTTCTCCTTGTGCCCTCCATCTTTCCCAACATCAGGGTCTTTTCCAGGGAGTCTTCTCTTCTCATGAGGTGGCCAAAGTATTGGAGCCTCAGCTTCACGATCTGTCCTTCCAGTGAGCACTCAGGGCTGATTTCCTTAAGAATGGATAGGTTTGATCTTCTTGCAGTCCATGGGACTCTCAAGAGTCTCCTCCAGCACCATAATTCAAAAGCATCAATTCTTCGGCGATCAGCCTTCTTTATGGTCCAGCTCTCACTTCCATACATCACTACTGGGAAAACTATTTAATTAAAAGCTAATCACAAATTCAGTATAGAAGTGGGGAGGTGTGTAGCAAGAGGGGAAGGGAGGGGGTTTTACGGTTTATCCAGATTTGGGTACAGGCACCTAATTTTTTTTATATAAAGAAAACATTGACTTCATGTAAATAGCTTTGTGAAAAGCAGCACTGCTTTCTAAATCTCTTAGCATTCTGGGATCATTGGAAGTTAGGATATTTTTGTTTTGCTTTGTTCTGCATTCCACTCTGCCAAATGAAGAACGTGAAGAACGCTTCATTTATAAAAACACATATGATAACAATGAATAATCTACCAAGTATAGCCATGTTATAACCTTAGGTTCAAACAGGAACATAACTATTAGTTTTTGTTTTACTTCCAAAACTGATAGCCATGCTCAATGTACGGCAAGGGTAATTTTACATTATGCAAATGTAATTTTACAAGTATGCAGATCTACCTTAAGTTGCTATTTCTCAACCTGACTTACCTCCTGGAATGTTTGTGAGGATGGAATGTGGCTCTGAGCTCTGTGGAGGAAAAGTGGCATATACATGAAATAAAGCAGGAAAGGGCTATTCAAGCCTGCTTGTGGACTTTTCATAGGAATCTGATTGGCCACTGTGGGAGGCAGATACTAGACTACATGGACCTTTGGTCTGATTCAACCTGGCTCATCTTATGGCCCTGGGTTCACACCTTTGTTGTTAGTTAACTGAGCTTCAGTAGAAACTCAGAATTAACTTCGCCCTCTCAGAGTGTAAAGGGGCTGTAGCAAATGTAAAGAGGAATTCTCAGTGAAGGCAGCTTTCAACTTCTCAAGTGCTTAAGTCCCTGTGAAACTGCAATATGAAGCAGGCTGATACATAATAGCTTCTGATAATAGATTATTTTCTTAGTTCTCTAACACCACTTCTGGTGGATTTCTTATTAGATGCTATTTTCATTAACATAAGAATGTGAGAAAATAATAGGAGCCCGCAGGATCAGGCCAATGGCCCATCTAGTCCAGCATCCTGTTCTCACAGTGACCAACCAGATGCTTGTGGGAAGCCTGCAAGCAGAACATGGCCACAACAGCACTCTGCCCACCTACAATTCTCAACATCTAGTATACAGAGGCATAATGCCTCTGACAGGGGAGTTAGAATGTACCTGTCATGGCTAGTAGCCATTGATAGCCCCATCCCCCATGACTTTATCTAATGTTATCCAGGTTTGTGGACATCACTGCCTCCTGTGCAAGTTCCTGTGCAACCATGCACTGCGTGAAGAAGTGCTCTCTTTTATGTGTCCTGAATCTTCCAACGTTCATTTTCATCGACTGTTCATGACAGAGCATCATGACAGAGTATAAGAGACATTCATCCACTTTCTCTATGCCGTGCATAATTTATAAACTTCTATTTGGTTTTACATTAGTCACTTTTTAATAGATGCATTAAAAGACACAAATAGCAACCATGGTGTTTCAAAATGGACCATAGAAGCTGGGAGTTTGGCCCCTTGGCAAAGTAATACATTGGTGCCAACATGTCATATTGGGCTGTCGTAATGTTTTCTGTGCATTGCCAGCCACCAAGCTCATAAGGAAAAGACAGTGTGCCTAAGCTTCAATAGCAATGCTACCTGCCAATTCCCCCTGTTCCCATCAACCAGTGTACTGGCTCCTTCCATGCCTGCTGATAGAAGTGCGAGGTTGCATTCTGGAAGTGCAAGCATGTGTTCCTTTGGGTTTGTGAGGTTTGTGTGCCCTGGTGTCTCCATGACCTTGGAGGCAGAGACAGGGTTGGCACCAGCTCAGCATCTGATTGACTCTCAGTCATCTCTCCCAAAGGAGGAGGCTCATCACTGACAAGAGGAGATGCCAGCTCAACAGCAGGAGGTGTCTGACTAGGGGTGTATCAGTTTTCACAGGGGTGGAACACTCCTCTTTCAACCTCCTCAGGATCCAGCGCTCTGTCCCCTGAACAACTGGCCTCCTTCCTGGCCTCTGGTACTTATTGATTTAACCTGGCCCATCCTGCTAGCACCTTTTCCAGGGTCTTCAGCCCCAACTCCCATAGCTCCTCCTTGGAATCTGACCATGACATCCATTACATGTTCACAGGATTGTTGTAATGATAAAATAAAGGAGGCAGAACTCTGTACACACCTTAGAGAAAATGCAATAAATAAAGCACCAAAACCATGCTACATTACTGCCTTCATAAAGTATCATAAAGAGCATTGATAAAATAATAATATATGCACCAAAATCCCCCGCCTTTCGGTTGAAATTTCCATCCTGATATTTGTAGAAGCTTTTATTTGTTTGTTTTGCTCAGGGCTAATCTCAATCAATCACAGTAAATAAACTGTAATGTACAATTGCTCCAAAGTGTTTGCAACATAGAATAATTATTTTTATCTATGTAGACTTGTTTTAGGAGCCTTCTGATTCTTGCATTTGATCCTTAAGTTTACACACCCCCAGGCCTCCAGGAAAGGATAAAGTGTGGGGAGGCTAATGTGAATCAATACACACTGCTTGCTCTTTCCTGTGAAGCCAGTGAAATCCTTTAGGAAATAAATGTAGAGTGGGAAACATTAAAGAAATGGTGAATAATTGAAACCATGTAATTTAATAGAGTACAAGTATAACAGCATAGAAGAACAATTTATGCTTCTGTGTGCTCCCCTATGGTTGTGGAATTAACTAACCATAACTAGTGGCTGTTCCAGCTAACAGATGTGGAATGGCCATTCCTGAACAAAAAGGGCTATAAACCACCCTGATGATCCAATAAGAACAGCTGCCGATGAGCAGCCAGTTTCATTTCTATACCAAGGCTGTTCTCACCACAGCAGTAGGAAAGGTTGAAATAGGTCACAGGCAGCCCTCCTTACATTGCTCAAGAACATTAGAAGGATTAATAATTTATGGATTATCTCCTAGAAACAATGATCTGGTGCAGACAGGTAATCCAATCTCCTGCATCCTTCTGACATGGGATGCCATTTCATCAGGGGATTGTGCAAAGGCGGCAACTTCTCTGGAAAGGCAGCATCGGCCTGCCAGCTGGAGACATACAAATTGCAGGAATTTGCTTCATGAATATGACATCTTCCGTCTGAGGGCGGTAAGCGGTTCTAATGACACAGGTAAAGCTGGAGCTGTAAATGTGCCGCTCACAACTTGCAACCCGTTTTTTTTAATTATTATTCTTAAGAGGATCTGTTTTCTTAAGGCAGCTTGTGGTAAAATAAGACATCCTCCCTTGTCATTAACGCTGCTTAGCCAACCACAGATGCAATTTGCATTTCTGTTCTGCTTCTTTTTGTGTAAGAGTCGAGAAAGCTGCTGATTTCTTTGGCGCGTTTAGCAAACTTGCATGCACTTTGCAAAGTCTCGACCAATGCAAATGGGAACTCTCTTGTTCCCTTACAGTATACAAATATTTGTTCTTCTCTTTTCCTAAATGTTAATGTTCTGAGCAATAATTGGTCACAGGTAATATAATTTCAATAGGACTACTGTAGGTCTGCAGCAAACTGCTTAAATCTGCAGCTGTAACAAACATAAACAGCAAATGTCATTCCTTTGTAAAATAGTGGAAGATCAGCCATTTTTGTCATTAGAAGGTGAGCAAATGCCATAGAAAATAATTGTGGTTGCCTAATGGGGGAAACTGGGGACGTGGGTGGCGCTGTGGTCTAAACCACAGAGCCTAGGGCTTGCCGATCAGAACATCGGCAGTTCGAATCCCCGCGACGGGGTGAGCTCCTGTTGCTTGGTCCCTGCTCCTGCCCACCTAGCCGTTCGAAAGTGCAAGTAGATAAATAGGTACCACTCCAGCGGGAAGGTAAATGGCGTTTCCGTGAGCTGCTCTGGTTCACCAGAAGTGGCTTAGTCATGCTGGCCACATGACTCGGAAGCTGTCTGCGGACAAATGCCGGCTCCCTCGGCCTATAGAGCGAGATGAGCGCGCAACCCCAGAGTCATCCGTGACTGGACCTTACGGTCAGGGGTACCTTTACCTTTACCTTAATGGGGGAAACAGCTCCTGAACCCCTTGGAGTAGGGCTCACTGCCTCCCCACCATGCAAAAAAAGAGAAAGGCAATCTTATGCATTCTTACCTAAAAGCAAGTCTCACTGAAATCAATTGCAAGCACTTCTGAGACAACCTCATCAGCAGTCTTGGACTGTCTGTCTTTGATTAGGTCCAAACTTTTTAATGTAAACTATGCCTGCAGTGGTATATAGCAACAGGGGTGAGAGAGAGAGAAGAGTCTGGGTCCTGAACAGTATACCTTGAGATCCTGCAGCTGCTTTGCCTACGAATCGTAAGTGGCAGCA